CCCGTTCGGTGTTGGGGTTCTGTGACTGGTCCATGGTTGCTTTATTGGGCGATATCGGGCGGTTTAAGGTTAGAGTTCAGTAGTGACGTGGGACACGTCGAGCCCCAAATCGGGCGAATATCACGGTGAGAGTAAAAAAGTGTAAAACTCACGTATAGGGGGGCGCAATCTGTAGCCCCTTTCCCGCAAGTACTCTGGTCCGGGCTCTATTGAGGCTCGGCGTACTCGTAGGATAGTGGGGCAGGTAGAAAGGCTGCCCGCACTAGGCGCGCGGGTTCCGAATACCCGCACGCCGCACGCGTCTATCTAATACATCATTATCTTATCTCTGCCCAGCGCGTACGGCGCTGGGCTCGTGGATGTACGATGCCCGTAACGACCCGATCCTGGGTCGTTACACTAAAGGTGCGTTGAGTCGGTCTCGAAAGCCTTTCGGCTTTGATATTCGCAACCTATGAGTGCCGTGCAACCAAGTCACTCACCCACGACTCTCTGGGGCATCAGTCCATCTGTTTACTCGGACGAGATGTTGGATAATTGCGCAGCAGATAGGGAAAATGTCAAGTTACGAGTCGCCATTGAGTCACACGGCCAGGGAGCTACCGCAGCACAGACGGTATCCCCCCCGATGAGGAGAAGGAAGACATCTCGTGTGCCTCATGTACCATAGCGCTGGTTCATAAAGGTGCGCACTCGGCACGCTTGCTCCTTTTCATAACCCCCCACTCACCCTCCTCTGGTAAACATGGCTACCAACAACATCCAACAGCTTTGCCCTGACCAGCTCTTCACGGGGTCATGTACCACTTCCCAGTGTCCTCTCCGCCACGATGCTCGGTTCTGTGAACTCTGCGTCGTTGTTTGCTGTCCGGCCTACATGTACTCGTCCCACGTGAGTGGCAAGTATCATCGTGCAAAGGTGGCCAAGGGTAGCGACATCACCATCCTCTGCCCAATATGCAACACGCGCCTCGCCGGAGAGGCAACTTGGCTTCAGCACATAAACAGCACCGATCACTGCTCCAAAGCTCAAGCTACCGGGAAATCAGCCTCGGTCTACCCTCGCGATCCTTCGACCCCCAGCGCGAACTTCTGCCTTATCTGCAAGAGGAGCGTCCCAATGTCCGTTTGGACTACACATCTTCGTGGCGTCGTACATCAGCGGCTTCAGCAGAACGCACAGTATCGGTCGCAGTACGAACAAGCGGAACTAGGCCAGCACGGCGTTGCCATATCGAATGGGGATGGTGGCCTGGATCTGGGTGTCGTGAGCGTGGAGGACGCGAAGAAAGGATTGCAGCGCCAGCTGACCATCACCCTCGACGCTTCAGCACCTGCCGTGTCTATCACTGGCGTCGCGATCTTCCCAAGTGTCGTCAACAAAGCAACATCGTGTGTCTTCCCGTCCACAGCTTTACTAATTCTCTTCGCCTCATACATGACTAGGTTCTCTGCATCAACCTCCAAGCTTGGGAAAACGCTCGTGGCCGGGACCTCAAAGAACGTTCACGTCATATTTCGTCAAGAGCATCGTGGTAGATTTCAAGATCGACTCGAGGTCACATTCAAGATCCTCTCTACCGAACGGACTTTCCTTATTTCCCGCAGCTTGCGCGCCGTGGTTGGGAATGCAGCAGATCACGAGCTTCTTCGGCCTGCTGCGCCATATGTCCGCCGCGGGCGTGCTCCTTGGAAGCATGGTGAGGTCGTAGGAGAAGGGGACCGTCCGCCAGCGCTGGATGCTGTCCAGTGGGCGAAACCATTGCCACCATCCCTCATCCCGTCGAATCTGGCCGACATTCTGAGCGATGGCAACATACGCGATGTGCTCAATCAAGTGCGAGCCAGGTTTCTACCGGAATTTCGCAACGCGACGCATGGTCAATGGTTCCGCGTACTGTTGTGGGTAGAAGAAAGTCGTATGGTGTACGTTGCTTCCCACATATATGCTTTTGAAACATAGCTGAACCCCTCACTTTAGGGAAGATCTTCACACATACGATATTGAGGGGGCCCAATTCACGAAGGAGGGACGCCTGTACACGTAAGGATCCTGTTGCACCACTACAGCTTATATTTCTCACATTGGCCAAGACTCCCTGTCCCCGGACTGTCTGAGAAACGGCCAAGCGTCGTTAAAGGTAGGTCATATCGACGCCTGTGATGCCGTTAGACACTCAAATTCCACTAGGCGACGCGATCTTAGCACAAATCGGCGGCCAAGGTCATACACACAAAGGTTACGTTCATCACGTACGCCGAGATGATATCTGCGTCAGCTTCAACGCATCCTTCAAGGCCGGGGCGCGGTACACCGTGCGCTTCCTATACAACCGTACGCCCATTCGACGTCAGCACCAAGCACTCCTCGCGTCGTCAGCAGCCTCTCAGCGGCTGCTCTTCCCGATCCCGGGGTTTGAGGGCCTCGCACAAGCTATCACCCCCGCGCAATACCCCTTGACGCTCTACAATACGCAGATTGCCACCAACGCGGCACAGCTGCAAGCCGTGAAGTCGATCCTACAGCTCAGAACTGGCGCTGCGCCGTTCATCGTGTTCGGACCGTGAGCTGAGTTGCTTTTTTGTATGAGTTACTGTGTCTAATGAGCTACGTAGACCCGGCACTGGGAAGACGGTCACCATCGTCGAAGCGATACGTCAGATTCTGCGCCGTCAGCCGGATGCGCGGATCCTTGCCTGTGCCCCGAGCAATAGCGCCGCGGACCTACTGTCTCAGCGACTTAGCTCGCTCAATCCCTCTCAGCTGTTCCGGTGCAACGCTGTGCACAGGGATCTTCTCGGACTCCCCGAAGACCTTGTTCCGTATACCTTCCGCAGAAACGACCTCTTCACCCTGCCACCCATCGCCGTCCTGCGGACCTACAAGGTGATCGTGACGACATGCGGCAACGCATCCTTCGCGTACAACATTGGCATGCCCGAGGGCCATTTCACCCATATCTTCATCGATGAAGCAGGGCAAGGGTCTGAGCCAGAGGTGCTCACCGCCATCAAGACGGTCGCCACGGTCGGGACTCATGTCGTTCTTTCCGGAGATCCGAAGCAGCTGGGGCCGGTGATACGCTCTAGCGTCGCTCGAGAGCTAGGACTGGGAAAGAGCTACTTGGAGCGCCTGATGGAGATGCCCGTTTACGACTCCCAGACTGGGCGGGGCCGCTCGTGCGTATCCTGTTTCGGTGAAGCTCAGCCGAGTGCTGATATTCGTGACTCTGGCAGCTTCGTGAAGCTGTTGAACAACTTCAGGTCCCACCAGGCGATCCTTGACTACCCCAATGCGCAGTTCTACAACAACGAGCTCCAAGTGTGCGGCGCCACGACGACCATCAACGCACTGCTCGGTTCGCCTGTGCTCGTGAGCCCCCGTTGGCCGGTGGTGTTCCACTACATCTCGGGCGAGAACGAGCGCGAGTCCACCTCGCCATCGTACTTCAACATCGACGAAGCCACGGAAGTACTCGACTATATCAAGAGACTGCTGAAGGACCGCCAGCACCCTGTCCGTGAGTAGCTTACATTATATGTCTCTCTTGACAGGCCCATTAATCGCAGCCCCACTCATAGGCGCAGAGGATATCGGCATCATCACCCCGTACTATGCTCAAGTGCGGAGGATTCGTCTCCTCCTAAGTAATGAGTGTATTGAAGGCGCCAAAGTGGGGAGCGTCGAGGAGTTCCAAGGACAGGTCAGTCTTTCATGTCGCGTCGGCCGACTATAAAATTCTTAGGGACGCATCTCTACTACAGGAGCGCAAGGTGATTATCGTCTCGACCGTGCGAAGCACGCGCGATTTGCTCTCCTACGACGCCAAGTTCACGCTTGGTTTCGTGTCGAACCCGCGTCGATTCAACGGTGAGCCTCAGTATTCGTCCTCGTATGCCTACATCGGCTCAACCGATGTGATCCCCTCTAGTGGCCATCACGCGTGCGCAGGCTCTTCTCGTCGTCATCGGCGACGCCTCCGTCCTGTCGATCGATCCGCTCTGGCGAGCGTTCATGAACTACGTCCACCTGCACAACGGCTGGCGCGGCGACGCGCCGACCTGGGACACCAGCGCCCCGGTCCAGATGGACGGGAACTACGCTGCGGAGATCCGTGACGCTGCCGCGGCGGATGTGGAGGCCTTCATGGCGCGGCTCGGCCTCGACGACGACGATGTTGAGGGGGATGCGAACATGGAGCGTCCTTTCCAGGAAACGGAGTGAGCTGCTGGCTCGTCTCTCGGAACGGCTGCGTTGTGTATCTGTATCTAGTACTATCTTGGACCGATCTTGTACCTACACCTATGGCTTGTATCAAGGACTGTTTTCTTGCTGTATTTTGACCATACGTGTCTCCAAACCATGCGGCAAGGCGAATATCAGATATCATAACCAGCCGAAAGCCTCATTCCCATCCTCGAAGACCCGCTCAATGAATCGTCTATGGCGATGCACAGAATTGGGCGTGCTGGTTAACACATGACCAGCAAAGTAGTATACCGTCGTGGGGCACCTGCATGCTCGAGGGAATAATACTGCCACGGTCCTATTCCTCGACGTCCGACCGCTGGTATACAAATAGCACGAGTATATGATAGCAATACCTTCATAGTCCGATTATAACAATAGGAAAGCACGGTCCATATATCCTCACCGCCCCTCAGATCCTAGGCGAATGCCGCGGGGAGCCGCTATGGCTGCGCGACCCGTGCCGCCGCCCCGAGCGCAGGTGCGTGCGCTCGTCCGCCTCGAGCTCGTCGTCCTCCGCGCCCTCGTGCAGCGTGTTCAGCCCGACGCCATGGCGCGCAGCCCCATCGGCATCACCGTACTCGTACTCGTCCTCTCCGAACGCGCTGAAGAGCGTCTGCGTCTGGTTGCGGTAGAGCGAGCTGCGCCGCCCGTGCACGGGCGAGAAGGGCACGCCATGGTGCGAGCCGCCGATGGGCGTGCCGGCCGCGCCGTTCCAGCCGTCGATGGACATGCGGCCCGAGATGCTCAGGCGCGGGTTCATGAGCCCGGCGGTGAGCGCGGTGTGGTGCGGGAGCGGCTCGGCGCCGGGGTCGGGCTTGCGCGAGATCTCGAGGAGGTGCACGCCGAGGAAGGTCGTGATGAAGCCGGCGAGGAGCGAGATCGAGTTCGCGGGGTCGGTGGTGTTGAAGCCCTGGAAGAGGATGACGGAGGCGACGATGGTTGCTGTGGAGAAGCCGACGTAGTACATCGGGTTGACCCTGGGCAAGCGTGTCAGAGTTTGTCAATGCGTCTGTATCGGCGGGACGTACACGTTCGTGGAGAATGTGTCGAGGGCTTTGTTAAAGTAGTTCATCTGGACCAGGATGCACCCGACGACGGTGACACCGAACACGTACGTGCTCGGGTGGGAGAACTGGTTGTGTCCGGCCAGAGTGAGTTTGACCGCGACTCCGAAGCCTTTGATGGCCATAACAGATATCGATCCGACGAGGGAGCAGATGGAGATGTATACGGCCGGGTTGGTCCGCCCGTATTTGGGCACAACGGCGTATATCATGACCAGGCTGAACACGAGGACCGTGAAGCAGTACATCATGAAACCTAGACAGCATTGTAGGGCCAAGGTTTTTGGAGGAAAGCATGATGAGAACGTACCTGGTTGACGGGCATAATTCAGTATTTCATCTACTGTCTGCACATCCTTGTCCGGAGGAGCGTGCAACACTATTATGAGGGAACCTAATAGACATAGCGCGCAGCCGACACGTCCAAGATGGCCGAGCTCTTCGTCAAGGAGGAATGAGGCGAGGATGGCGCTACCCAGTGGATAATGAGGCTGCAGTGCAAATCATAGAGAGCTGTAGCGTACCCAATGATCACACTGAGTGCACCGAGAGGCGTAACAAGTATTGCAGGGGCAAAAGTATATGCCGCAAAGTTCGCAACTTTGCGGGACCTTTAGACCAGAGGATACAGACATAGGTGACATGAAAACGTACTTTCACCAATGATTACTGCTCGAGCACCTCAGCGGCCCGCTAGCACTAGAAAGACGGTGCGAACTCACGCGTTGACATTCCTGCCCACCATAGTGGATTCTTGAAGTAAGCGTAGTTCTCGGATGCCGATGCATATGCCGAGTCGCCTGATTGATTAAGACCCTGTGGCGACAGCTAAGAAAGCCGACAGGTGCGAAGGTTGTGCGGGCCATGCAGACCTTTTTCGTGAGGATGAAGCTCGTACCGATAGCTAATGAGCTAGAGACGGCCAGAGAGAGACCGATATACTTGTCTTCGACCATTGTAGAGATGAGAAACAAGCCGTGGTATAGATGTGAAGCGAGAACGAGCGTGGAAGGGCCGATGTATTGGCCGGATGTATTCTAAGACAGCCAGAGGATGAAGACAAGCCCAGTCAGAGCCCCAGCAGACGCGTCAAACTGTCGTAGAAGATGCAAGAGACGACGCCGAGGTCGCTGCGGACGACGAGCGCAAGGAAGAGGTGAGGGATGCGGGGCAAGAGGAGGCGTGGCACGCTGCTCTCGCGCGCCCGTCGCGCATATTGGAATTTGTCCCGCGGCTGCTCGCGAGCGTCGTCCCCGTCCCGGTCATCCGGCCACCGCTCTCCCGCTCTCCGCGCGTATGCTCACAGTCAGGGCTGCCCTCCGCGCCCTCTCTCCTGCCTTCCCTCATCTGCGGACGGTCTCGTTCGCATTCTACGGGTCATCTAGCACTGCGCGATACCGACGATTCTGTGGCACCATGTCTGCGCTTGCAACGGTCGACACCACGCAGCGGCTCCAGGCTCTCCGGAAGCTCATGGCGAAGCCCGAGTACAATGTTCAAGCTGTCGTGATTCCAACGGAAGATCAGCGCGAGTAGCTTTGGTCATTCTCTTACCCAGAAAGGTGTGCGATCGTGGTTGACGGCCCTTTAGACTTCAGCGAGTACATCGCGCAGTGCGATGAGAGACGCGCCTTCATCTCCGGCTTCACTGGATCTGCTGGTGGATATCATCTGTGCCCTCTTTGCTTGTCGCTGGGTTTACATCAGTCTCCACTTTGCCAGGATGCGCTATCGTGACACCGGAGGACGCATATCTGTTCACCGATGGACGGTACTTCCTACAGGCGTCGAAGCAGCTGGACAAGTATGTACTGTACTGTAACGTCGTAAACGACGAATTGAATAACCTTTGCATGATCAAATAGGAACTGGACCCTTATGAAGCAAGGTCTGCCAGGTACCTGTCCTCGTCGTGTGCTGCTCAAATACTTGACTGAGCTGTCTCGAAGATGTCCCAACCTGGCAAGACTTCTTGTCCAAGGTAAGAGTCAGCGACGCATCGTATGCGGACCTGACTCACAGCTGCACGTAGAACCTTGGAACGCACAATCGTATTGGCGTCGACCCCACGCTCATCGCTGCTTGTGAGACCATTCTATACGCGTCTTAGACTTGAGTCATCTTACGAGCCTCTGATCTGCATAGCCGACGCAGAGGGTATACAGAAGGCTCTTGAGCCTGAGCAGTCCGAACTCGTGTCCATTCAAGAGAACCTTGTAGACTTGGTATGGGCCGACCGCCCGCCACGACCTGCGAACAAGGTCTTCCCGCTCGACGTGAAATACTCCGGTACGTCATATTCCAAACATACCCTGTTACATCCCGCCAACACGTGGCCACGAAAGGCCAATCCCACCAGGACAAGCTCAAGCTGGTCCGTGAAGAACTCAAGAAGAAAGAAGCCAAAGCGATCGTAGTCAACATGCTTGACGAAGTCGCGTGGCTGTTTAACCTGCGCGGATCTGATATTGACTTCAACCCCGGTCAGTCGCCCTGTTATTGTTCGCTGACGAGCCGGGCATAAGTTGACTTCAGACCTGCAGTGTTCTTCGCGTACGCGCTCATCGACCAGGAGAAAGCGAGACTATTCGTGAATAGGACCCAGCTCGACACCAGCGTCAACGACCACCTCGGGCCTGAGGTCGAAGTGCACCCATATGACACATTCTTCCCGGCTCTCACACACCTGGGCTCAGAGTTGCAAGCAAGCAAGAACTCTGGCGTGAGTTTGAACTAAACCGTGCTCATATGTCTACCTTTCTCATACAGTTCTCCCTGAAATCAGAAAGTGCTTGTCAGTGACAAAGCCAGTCTCGCAGTAGCCGAAGCGATTGGAAAGGTGTGTGCTCTTCTCCGTATCTACTTCTATGGGCCTCGGCTGACTTTGCCTGCTTGTGAACTTTATGAAGGACTACATCACTGTCCTGCGGTCTCCTGTTACCGACCTCAAGGCGATCAAGAACGAGGTCGAGATCGAAGGTATCTTGCTTGCTGCATTGTATGAAGTACGAATGATGACAAGCGTCTGTATGATGCAGGCTTCAGGCAGTCGCACATTCGCGATGGCGCCGCTCTCGTACGCTACTTCGCGTGGCTGGAGGAGCAGCTGGATGCGGGCAAGGAGCTCTCCGAGAGCCAGGTTGCAGACCAGCTCGAGAAGTACCGGTCGTGAGTTTGGATTTTCGAATCGGCAGAACGTGTTCTCATCCTTGTGCAGAGAGCAGGGTCTGTTCAAGGGTCTCTCGTTCCCAACGATCTCGGCGACAGGACCTAATGGCGGTATGTCGCGTTGCCATCGAGTGGATAGCTACGGTGAAGCTGAGCCGGCCGGCTGATACAGCTATCATTCACTATGACCCGGATCCGAACGACTGCGCCATTGTGAAGAAGGACCAGGTACTGTGCTCATAAAGGTTGAGGCTGCATCTGTCTAACCGTCTTCTGCAGATATATTTGTGCGACTCTGGCGGTAAGACCCACTTTTGACCGTCCGTCTGCAATCTGTACTGAATGATGCCATAGCACAATTTCTGGACGGAACTACGGACGTGACGCGCACCTTCGTAAGCACTTTCCGCCCGCTTAGCTATGTTCGTGCGCTTATGTAGAATCATGCAGCACTTCGGCACGCCTAATGCGGAGGAGAAGCGTGCGTTTACGCGCGTTCTGCAGGGGCATATCGCAATCGACACTGCTGTCTTCCCTAACGGAACCACTGGTACGTTCATATACAGTGTTATCCCTGTCTGTGCTGATGCGCGTCGTAGGATATCTGCTGTAGGAATTATCTGCGTGTAAATCCTATTCGGAGGCTGACATTTCGACAGAGATCCATTCGCCCGTCGGCCTCTATGGGAAGATGGGCTTGGTAAGTTACTGGCGTACATAGCTCCTGACGCGTACTGATGTGTCTTGCAGACTACCGGTGAGCGATGTAAGGCATGCGCACGAACGGCGCCCGTCTAACGCCATATCAGCCATGGTACAGGCCACGGTGTAGGTTCGTGAGGTAGCATCCTTACGGGCGTAGTGCTACTTACTTAGCTTCGATGCGCCCACAGGACATTTCTTGAACGTGCACGAAGGGCCTCATGGGATTGGTGTGCGCATTGGTGAGTCGTACTATTTTCGCGGGGTTCAACATAACTTAAAGCTGAAACTTTCCAGCGTACAACAGCACTGCGCTCAAGCCTGGCATGACTGTCTCCAACGGTCAGTCCGACATGCATCCTTATTCAAACTAGCTTGTATGCTCGTATATTGACGATTTCACCCGTAGAACCTGGATATTACAAGGACGGCGAGTACGGGATCCGGATCGAGAACATCGTCATCGTCCGCGAGGCACAGACCCCGAACAACTTTGGCGACAAGGGCTACCTCCGCTTCGAGCACGTCACCATGGTCTGCTACACCCCTTGTACCCTGCGGCATATTCGGAATGCTGACGTTCATATGCGCACAGTGCCCTATGGGCAAGAACTTGATAGACGTGCCACTGCTCAGCGTAAAGGAGCGCGAGTGGCTGGACGCGTACCATGCGGAGATCGAGAAGAAGGTCGCGCCGTTGGTCGAGAAGGACGAGCGGGCGTTGCGGTGGCTGAAGCGCGAATGCTCTCCGTTGTAGCTGTAGGAGCTGGACATGCACAAGTTGTAACAGAATTCACACATTAAGGGGTGCATCCGCACCTACTACCCATGACCCAATGTAGTGTACTGCGATGTCTGTCTGCTGAAATTCCTTACATGGCCAGTTCGACTCAGCGCAACTGGACCCTTAGTTTAGACGCCCGGAGGCCAAATTCTGGCCAACGAGCGCTTGTTTGCGCGACCGGTACACTTCGTGCGACGACGGCGAGCACTTTACGTTCCACTTCTCTCTCTCTCTGCGCGTTGGCCTCTGCTTTCGACAACCTGCCTCTATAGCCATGCTTGCAAGCATACGGCATTCGGCGGCTAGGGTGTCGCTCCGTCGCACCGTCAACATTCGTACGTTGGCCAGCAGTGCAGCCCCGGACGCAGCGAGGGAGGCCGGCCCCGACGCCAGCGAGGACCCCATTTTCTCCGCTCTCGACACAACAGGGCCTCAGGCAGTCGCGAGCAGCTCCCATCTCACTCCTATATCACAACCACCCATTTCCACCGCGAACATCCGCGTCCCGCCAGCCGAGGACCCACTCTTGCACCTCTTCACGTCCTTGGTCATGAAGGATGGCCGGCGGCACGAGGCTCTGCGCGCGACCTCCCAAATGCTGCTGCACCTGCACGCGTTCACGCAGCAGGAGCCGCTACCGCTTCTGCGCGAGGCGGTCACGCGCGCGGCGCCGCTCCTGCGCTGCCAACAGTTCAAGCGTGCGGCGAAGCAGTTCGTGTTTCCGACGCCGTTGAACGAGCGCCAGCGCGCGCACAAGGCCCTGCAGTGGATCCTCGAGGCGAGCAAGAAGAAGGGCGGGAAGAACATGCCGGAGCGCGTGGCACGGGAGATCATCGGGGTGCTGAACGGGAAGAGCGTGGCTCTGGACCAAAAGGAGATGGTGCACAAGCTGGCTGTGTTGCATAGGTGCGTGGGCGACTCGTCTCTTCCTACAAAGTCTAGGAATGGCTATCTGACCGGCTATTGGTTCACAGAGGGAATGTCTTGCGGCCACCGAGAGTTTGATTCACTCCAAGCCTGCGTCAATATCTGTACCCCTTTTCTATAATGCGACCCCTGGTGAACCTATCACTCGTTTCTACTGCAAATTACTAGCATACAACCTGGCTACAACACAGGTCACAAATATACAAAGCCGCAGGTAATCGACCTTCACGCGTCAGGTATCTTGACTTTGCCGGGTGCACAGGCGAACTGGTACTTGTCGTCGGTGTATGGGCGATATCTTCCCTGCAGGAACGGCTCTTGGCTGCGAAGAAGGTGAGTACATGTCCCACAAATCAGGCTAGCGAACAAGACATACGCGGAGGATATATTGATGTATCCGCGGAGGTGCGTAAACGTGTCGAAGCTCGCCTGGCCGACCCACATTCCGTCTGTACGTCTCGTCAGTTTCAACGTGTTTAGATGAATTGACAGTATACTTACATCCAGACTCTCCCTGGCCGCCGAAGGGCATCTCGTTTACTGCACGTATGGTCTAGTATCATGTAAGACGTGTGGACCAGCAACACGTACCTGCAAGCTGCATGACCACGTCGTTTTGGACCAACTGTCCGCTTTGTGTCCGTTGGAGGACTGCAATGCATGTTAGGTATGGCGCATATACTTCGGTATGTCAAGTTTACTCACACTTCTGCTTGATTTCTTCCTTATCCGTGAACAGGTAAATCACCAGTGGAGTGGGCCTAGACCAGGAACATCAACATTGGGTTAGTGTGCGATTCGACAGCAGGCTTACTTGGAATTTATCACGCGGATGGCGTGGTCCACGGCGTCCACGGCAATAATCGGAAGAATGGGACCAAAGATCTCCCTGCGCACATGTGCCACAACGGACGCAAACAATAGTGAGTCCGCTGACACTTCGAAGACACATTATCACTCACTCTTCCATCAAGACGTCGTCTTCGGGGACGTCTGTCAGCACCGTCGGGGTAATGCCCTTCTGTCCGTGCGTCTCCCCACCAAACGCGATCTTCCCCTTTGTGCGCTTCAACATATCGACGAGCCTTGCATGATGGCTTGCGTTGATGATGTTGCTCAACGGGGCGTTCCCCGTCAACGGGTGGTCGCCCTCCGGCCAGAACTCCGCATGCGCGCTCTTCAGCGCCTCCACAAACGCGCCTACGCGCCCGCGCGACACCACCGCATAGTCCGGCGACACGCACAGCTGGCCCGCGTTCTGGATCTTCCCGTGCAAGATGCGGCGCGCGGCGAGCGTGAGGTCCGCGTCGTCCGCAATCACCGCGGGCGACTTGCCGCCCAGCTCGAGCGTGACGGGCGTGAGGTGCGCGGCCGCCGCTGCTGCGACGACGCGCCCGACGCGGCTGCTGCCCGTGTACAGGATGTGCGCCCAGCGCAGGCCGAGCACGTGCGTCGTCTCGGGCACGCTGCCCTTTACCACGGCGTACGCGGTGGGGTCGAGGTAGCGCGGGAGGAGGGTGGCGAGGAGCTGGGAGAAGACGGGGACGAGTTCGGACGGCTTGAGCACGGTGGGGCAGCCGGCGGCGATTGCACCGATGAGAGGATTCAGGGTGAGCACAAGGGGATAGTTCCAGGGTCTGGGTGACGGCAGTCAGTATGGGGATCTCGGTGGAATCAGGACGTGAGCTGTTTCGCTTCGCAAATGGGCGTTTCGCTAATCGGTTCGCAGGAGTTAGGATGGGCGTACGCACGACGCGAGCGTTCTCAGTGTATGGATTGGCCTAATGGAATCGCGGGGATCTGAGGAAGACCAACCGTGGTACTGTGCTCAGGCTTCAGGTAACTCAACATCGCGCCGTGCTAAAGCACCAGGCGTTACACAGCGTCGGAAACTGTTGCCAGATGTCCAATTCTCAAGACGCGCAAGGTCATCCGGATGCCTCACGCAGCCGTGGCGCGGTTGTACAGTTGAGCCGTTCCTACCTTTCGTGCGACAAATTTACGACAGGCGAAGCGCAGACAGTTGCACTCTCCGCGCGCCACCGGGGCTATATCAGGATTAGGACAACACCTTCAGACTCATCAAAATGGTCATGGCATGCCCTCCCGCGGTCAGAAGGTACGCGTGCCTATGACCTCAAACGGCTTCGCTCCCTCGGTATGCCGAGATTCTGCATTCGATCGCAGAGGCTCACACCCTGTAGCGTCCGAAGAGGGCACTACAGGGTTTGATCCCCCGAGCGGAAAGAGACGCGCCAGAATTGGCGTGTACGGCACGGGGAACTCACGAGATGATGAGGGCGACACCCTTCGGTTCCTTGTGGAGCGTCGCGCCCCAGTCCGCGCGCCAGGCTGCCGTGGTTGGACACGGTTTGGGCGCGGCCCATGTCTCGAGGCTGTCGGCCGCGGTGAGGGCGTTGGTGAGACAGTGCACGACTTCGGAGAGACTGGACTCCAGGCGCGGCTTGCCGATGTCGGCGAGGAGGGCGTCTTCGAAGGCGACGTGGTTGTCCTGGAGCATGCGCGCGAGCTGCAGCAGCTGTTTGCGGCGGTACGCGAGGGGGCGCGTCACCCCCGAGTAGAACGTCCGCGTGAGGCGGGCATGGATCTAAGCGTGCGGGATGGGTCAGGGACGTCGATGTCGTCACCGGACACGGCGCACCTCGTCGATCTCGGCCGGAGTGTTGTAGGTGTGATCAGAGTTGGTCTGAGACATCGTGAGCTGCGGTGTGGTGGGGGGAAGGATAGGTACAAGCTCGCGCAGCTTATAACCGGCGGTGGCAGGACGGGGAGCGTACGGCGTGCTCGGCGTGCTCCGTCCGGAGATCGTCTGTCGTTTGTCCGAGGGTTCCATGCTACGTTCGGATGATCAGGGTAAACCGTTTGCCCTGCGCGATCGTTCAACGGAACTGCCAAGTAGAACGTTTTCCCCTTGTGTCAGCGTCCCCAGCGCCTCCCGATGTTCGATTGCAAAGTGGCCGTGGCTGTGCCTTAAATGGGCTGCCGCCGCCACTGGCTGCTGCTCCAGCGACGCTCATTCGTCCCCCATCTGCCCTAGTAACTTCCGCAGACGTAGCGACTGCGTCCATTGCATCCGTGAGCTCACGTCTCGCCTCCCCAGGCGCCGCAGACGTAGAGTTGGCAGATGTGTGTTAGGGGCGGCTCACATGCGCACGCGCGTGCCGTCACTGCTGTAGGGGATTGAGGGTGCTTTCCGAGCTAAGCGGAGCAACGGCCGCCTTGGTGATCTCATCGAGCGAAATCAACGATCACCTTGTGATCATACGGATTTTCTGACGTGTTGTTTACCTCCTTCAGGCCCCTGGCATTCCTTCAAGATCGTCCCCGATTCCAAGGACGTTTCGGATGGCGTTGCTTTCAAACGTTGCACGTACGAATGGTTGCGGCAACGGGAGACGTCGACTCGAAGGGACAGTCAGCTAGAGGGAATCTAGGAGATAGCAGCTGCGCATCATATGTCCTTCTTGTCCTCTAGCACCTCGGCCTCTCCGATAGTGACCGTTATTGGCGAGCCGCCCACCACAACGCCTTCCTCTGTCTTCCATCCCACTTCCTGCGCGGCTCGCAAGAACAACGGAAACATTCGCGACACGTTCTCCAGGGCGTAGCGGATAGCGACAAGGCACTCGTTAAATCCGTGCGCGTGCGACTCCCGATCGCAAATGTTAGCAATCTCGTGGGCGTGCGCCCACGCCTTCAGGTGATCGTGGGGGCCGTGTCCGTCCTTGAGCACGACTGCGATTTGGGGCGGATTGGAGGCGGGCCACAGGATGTACTTTTCGTGGGCGAAGACCTCGAGGAGCGTTGCGATTTGCTCGTCGCTAAAAGGCTCGCGTCCGCTCAGGGACAGGAACGAGACGCCTAGGGCGCAGTGCGCGTACGTTCCTCGAGCATGCTGGGAGATCGGTATGCGTGCCGAATCGGTGAAGATGCGTTCCTGGCGCGCGACGTGAAGATAATCTGGGACCACAGTCACCACTGGCGTTGCGGTCGCGTTGCCCTCATCTATAGGACGACCTTTCGTGAGGAATGATTCGCCGCCTGGGAGCGGAATGTGCGCTCACCGTCGAAAGAGCGGCGGAACTCGCACCAGGCGATACCGGCGCGTTGTCTGTTGAAGGCGCGCATGGCGATAACGCGCACGGCGATGAAGTTGGCGGCGAGGTGGCAGAAGATGAGGCCGAACAGGACGACGTAGGTTGCCTGCGCGGTGTGTACGTATCTGAGAACAACACTTCCGGACTGTTACGTATGATCAGTTCTGGAATTCATATTTATGTCGTCGGGGACATACCAGCATGCCCAGTAATGCGAGCACGGTCTCCTTGCTACCATCCTTGGCACTGAGGTCCCCGACATCGCCCGGGCGCTCGCCGGCGGTGGCGAAGTGCACAGTGAGAGCCGCCTTCGAGCCGCCCGCCACGGCGCCGCAAAGCGCACGGAATGCACCGCTCATGCAGAGTGCGACGACGCGTAGTGATGAGTTCGATGCCGGGACGACGAATGGATAGCTGAGGGAGAAGGAGAAGTGCGCAAGGTGTGGAGAGAGGGTGTCGGTAACCATCGCTGCGTCGTTGAGGATGTCGGCGAGAAGGCGGTATGTCTTGGCTTCGGGGTAAAGCGAGGTTCCCAGGTAGTACCCGGAGACAATGGCTGAGTAGAGACATGATGAGCATGAGTAATCATTCGTGGGACGTGGTCAAAAGTTTCGCGTACTGGTTAACCTGCTGAACACGTCCTGGAGGATTGTCAGGAATATAGCATCCGTGGCGGATGCTGAAGCGTTTCCCACGCCGTGTCCTTCAATGCCAGCGCATAAGCGAGACATTTGATAGCGCGAGGACCTATGCGCACCTTGCAAGACCGCTCTTGATGCGAATAGGCCCGCGAGCGAGCTGCAGAATGCTTGCACTGCGTTCCATATCTGGTACCTGACGCATTGGGGTCTCATCGCAGTGCCAGCGCGTCATGGTTGGAGACATACTGGAGATAATCTGCATTGCGAGAGTTTGAGTGAGGATGCAATTGAAATATGATGTAGCTAGATACGAACCTGACGAGACGGTGAAGGGGTATCCCTCGGGAAGAAACACATCATTGAGCAGTCGGCGCCAGTGACGGCCCGCATTTGTCTGTGAAATTAGGTATGGTGAGCTCTGATGCAGCACCATGACTCATTATAACTAGGACCTTTGCGACAGGTTTTCTGGGAGGTAAACTGGTGGTGTGTTTGTGCCCTGTGTGAGTGCTGTAAGTCGCAATTACTTGACCAGAACCATCCTTTTCGCGAACGGTAAAGCCTTCAGCCATGATAATCCAAGTGGAGTAGATGATGAGAATGAGCTGTTGTTAGAGGTATAATCCCTAGGTCGATCTATATGTCTATGTGTCCGTCCTAAGGCGACGCGTCCTACGCAGTGACGGTAGAGAGGAAGAGGCTTGCAGGCGCTAACCGCTAACCGGCAGTAAGATTCGAATCTCGATCGTGTCCGTGAAGCGCTCTAGGCTAAATGCCACTAAACGGCGCCTGCAACCCTCTTTCTCTACGACTGCATACATCCTCGTATAAAATCCCGTTCCATTTCCCTTCACGGAGACGTATCCCGCATAATATGTGCATTGTGGAAGCTAAACGCTATGGACGCCCCTGAAAGCATTCCGTATTCGCCAGCAGCCCGCCAAGTCTATGGCCCGACACCAGCCTACTCCTGTGCCGTCGCGCGTACGGTTAATGAAGCCGCTTCTGTAGACCTAGGCCGGATGTCGCACTTGAACGGCACCGGGTGACTGACATGGTGCGTCAGCATCGGCCTGCACGACTACAGTACGCTGACATACCTGATGAACCCCCTGAAATCTACCTCTGGCAGAATGTCGTCGCCTTGATCATCCTTTGCTTTTGATATGTCGAAGACGTAGAGCATCGTCGCGATCCCGATGAATATCGAGTTCATCGCAAAGAACATCCCGGGGCAGATTCTGTACAATGGATTGCTCAGCTGTAGGCGCAGTTGTGTTCTGCAGGTGGGCCCCGAGACGTACCGCCTCCCGAAACCGAAGCCGATTATTGATGGGTCTTCGTGTCGTTCCAGCTCCTTGAGCGTGCCATCCACATTGAGATACCGCTCTGGGCGAAACTCGGTCGGCTCTGGGAACACCGCCGGGTCTTGCAGCATCGACCTGACGTCGTGTTCACCGATTCCATTCAACGGAATGACACGGACGACGTACCAGATGTTCGCCCAAACGACAGTCCCCTTAGGAATAACGCAACCACGGTACACGTCATCTTGTGTTAACCGGTGTGCGAGCCCGAGCGGAACGGCGGGGTTCCAGCGGAGGACTTCGAGCACGATGGCTTGAATGTACGGCAGCCGTGCGCGGTCGGCGAACGTTGGTAGGCGGGCCCAGGATGGGCCGAGGACGGTATCGAGCTCGCGCTGGGCCCGTGCTTGGACTTCGGGCCGAAGCAGCATTGCAAGGATGAACGCGGTCATCGAGGAGGGCGTCTGTTGCGAATGGCAGATCACCATGTGTTAGAGGGTAGGAAGGAGTGAGAGGAATAATGCCTACAGTGTCCGCACCGCCTGCGCAGCGATAAACCAAAGAGAGTTACCATTGGTTTGGCAGCTCTTCGGAGTCCTTGACGCACTTACCTGAGTACAACGAAGCTGCTGCTGCTTTGATTAACTCCTCGTCCGCAGGAGTGGGCGTTCGCTTCTCCTCCAGATAACTCAAGGTAAAGGATGGTCGCGCCTTTCCCGCTTCCTATACATGGAAGATCTTAGGTGCCCGATTTACTCTCCACACACGCATATACTGACCATCTGCTCCTTCACGAACCCAAACGGCAGGTCATACATCTCGTCGAGCTCCCTTCGCATCCTGCGCGCGACGGCCTTGAACCCCCCGCGTGGCATCAGCCACTCAGGGACGTATCGCAGCACCGGAAAGTTGTCGACGAGGAACGCCCCAGGCTCGGAGGCCTTCGCAAAGCCCTGCATGGCGATCTCGACGACCTCAACGAGCGGGTCCTGGCCCTGGTCTAGGGCGGCTTCATATCCATACGCCAGGCGAAGGATCAGTGCGCCGGTAGACCTGATGATTCGGAGACTCAGTTTCGACACAGACCAGACTATGGGGCGAGTTGCGTACTCTCGTGGGTGGCGGTAGAAGTTCTCGGGGTCGTGCAGGAAGCGCAGCATTAGGCGGTGCGTCTCCTCTTCTTGCATCGTGAGGATGGTCGCGTCTTGGCACGCGCGTGGTCCGATGAACTGCTGGAACAGGCGCCGGAACTCGCGGAAGCGCGGATTGTCGGGGCCGTGTGCGTATCCCAGCCCCCGATTCCACCCCACCCTATTCACCGTGCAGTCAATGTGTTGGCAAAGCATGCGACATAGGGTCTGTGGGATGGGACTCACAGCTCGCCTGCCATGACCGCGTCCGGCCGATCTGAATAGATCGCACCTGGTACAGGAGGTTCGTTTTTGAGTGATGCGTACCCGTATGCTGGCGCGCCGTACCTTTGGTGTCAAGGAGATCGCTTGCGGCGCGGAATGAGCCTAGGATGAGGGTTGGTTGACCCATTACAGTCGTGCTAACAACATCGCCTAATGCGTATCAGCTGGAAGCCCGATTTTGTAGCTCAATACACCCCTCGTTGAACCTTTAAGCTTCAGCACGTAGGCGTCGGAACGCGACATCGTTCATGCGCCCGACTACCTTCCGGAAAAGACGGAATACACACCGTAGCGTGAGGTCCACTCATGGAATTTCAGCCACTGCTTATCATCTGGGATGTGGTACGCGACGCCGACAAACGGCAACCCCGCGGGGCCAGGCGGGGACGCGGACCTGTAACGGCGCGACAGTCTCCAGGCTATCCACAGGAAGGCAAGGCACAAGACGGCATCGGCGGCAGCGCGCATTTCGAATGCGTCGAGGAATTTCATCGCGTTGGTCCAACGTTCAACGTTCAGGGGTGCTGCCGAGCACGGCAGGTGTGCGCATCAAGGTCCTGGTCAGTTAGTGCGTAAGAGTAAGTAGATCGCCAGGGACGCTGTCGAAGATGATACGAGCTACTAATTAACCGGCCCTTTGAGTTTTCGGATGCTCGCTCTTCGACGGCATGCCGAGACACGGCACGGGTGAGCTCGCGAGAGCTGCAGAAGGCCACGGAGGTTATCAGCCTGGGACCCGCCCTCGAAATACTCGCCGACGCATGTGTTGCCCACTCAGAGCGCGATCATGTGATCACGACTGCTTCCATCAATTCTCGAGCGCCCCATGATTGCACCGCGCCATGACGTTACGAAACGCCAGCTGTCCAGGCCGATAAAAGTCTAAGCAGGATGGTAGGTACGCCGGTGCAATTAGGCACTAAATACTGATACTGATGCTTAAGCTTTATGCCACATGTACACTCATATGGTTAACCCTTTTTACGCGGATTAACAGTAACGGTACCTGACGACTGCTAGGGCCGCATCTTTCGCTGGTTCTCCATAGAACTTCCGCCCTCATTTCGGCCAGTTTAATAGGACGCTCTGAGGTCATCTGCATCACTTTCTCCTTTACGCCATACCCCGACTCCGCCTTCCGTATATAAAGCAACCCTGGGTCTACTGCGGCCTCTAAGGGACTTGCTGTACTCTCTTTAATCACCATGCCGGGCGCGCTGCACTCGCTCCTGCTCACCCTCGTCGCTGCTCTCGATGTTGCTCTCGCACTCTCTTTATCTCCGCGCAACACGACCGTGCAGTCGACCCAGCAGCTTCTCTCCGCCTACCAGCTACTGAACTTCACCGTCGGCGGCAGACTCGCCTCTGCAGTGCCGCTCGAGAAGCCCTGTTTCTCCTCTTACGAAGGCAAGCCCGTGGCAGCCAATTCTGCCGCGTGCGCGGCCGTCCAGGCCAACTACACCGATCCCACATTCAGGGTCACGCAGTTTGGCGCGTACATGCTCGTAATCCCCGCTCTCCCACGTCCGCCACCTGCTTAGGCACTGATTCATTCACACCCTATCGGGCAGCCCCAATGGGAGACCTGTCAAGCGCAGGCGTCGAACGGGTGCTTGCTGGATTCTAATGACCCGACCAATCCTTTGGCGTTCCAGGGCGCGGATTGTCGGTTGGGCAATATTCCCCCTCATTATGTAGGGTTTCCTGCTTTCGCTGGGCGCCTGCCTTGTATATTAACGTCATCCCTTAGATTAAGGTCAAATCTGCTTCGGACGTCCAGGCCGCGCTCGCGTTCTCGAGGTCTACAGGTATACGTCTGTCGGTGAAGAACAAGGGTCACGACTACAAGGGCAGGTCCAGCGGCAAGGACACGCTCTCGCTGTGGGTACGTAGCTTTCCCTGATCTCTACGCAATATATACTGATGGGTTAGCCGACTTTACTAGACGACCGGCTTGAACTCGGTGAGCATGTCCATCTATTTGGCGCTAGCCGCAGGCAAGAGGGCGCGCGTTGCGACCGCAGCTGCGACAACTCTCGTGGGTTTCCACCAACCTTACTGACGCTACGACGAATAGATCTCCCATAACGCGAAATTCAAGCCCACAGGTTGCCAGGCGACTTACGACGCGATCACGGTTGGCGTACGTCCCCGCAGTGTTCGGGGCGCATGGGGACGGTGCTGATATTCGACTATTGCAGCCGGGTGTGCTGACGCAGGATGTCTACGAGTTCGCGGACAGTGTGAACCGGACAGTTATTGGCGGCTACCACCAGACGATAGGCTTCGGCGGGGGCTACTTTTTGGTGTGTAGCAAACTCATCGAGCGCGATGCACGAAACCTGTCTGAACAGCTATAGGGCGGCGGACACAGTATCCTCAGCCCCGTGTACGGCCTTGCCGTCGACCGTGTTGTAAGTCCACAGGCGTTCGCTTTCTATCCCGTTTGGCGCTAAATTGAGGTTCGCTCTCGCAACGAAGGTGCAAGTCAAAGTGGTCACACCCGACGGTGTCCTCCGTACCGCGAACGCGTGCCAGAACAGCGACCTGTTCTTCGCGCTCCGCGGCGGCGGAGGCAGCACGTTCGGCGTCGTCATCGAGTCCTCGCACCGCACTGAGCCGCGCATCACTATTCAAGCGTGAGTGACAGCATGCATCTCAAGCGTTGTGGTCGGAAAGCTGACCTCGAAAACGCGCGGAACAGATCGGTGCTCAGGTTCACGCCGAGCGCATCGGACGACCTCGCAGAGTGGTACTCGCTCATGGTCAACCAGTCGCACGGCTGGGCGCAGGCCGGGTGGGGCGGGCACATCGTCGTATGTTTCCTGCGTTGCGTGCACTGCCTCCTCATCGCTAACGAAACGCGCGCAGGGCCCAACCCTGGTCCACGTGAACCCGCTACTGAACCATACAGCCGCACAGGCGTCCATGAAGCCTGCAGTGGACTTCGTGACCGCGCGCAACGGCTCCGTCGTCGTCGAGGAGCTGCCGTCCTGGCTCGCGTTCTTCAACAAGTACGTGACCATGGCGCAGGCGGTGCGTCTATTCCCATTCGCATATTCCTGCGCGGGACACTGACCCCAGGCGGCGTATTCCTAGGCGGTGGGTCCGGAGCTCGAGCTGGGCACGCGGCTGATCCCGACGAGCGTGTTCACGAGCGAGGCGGGCCGCGCGGCGCTCATCGCGCTCATCAAGGAGAACCTGCCCATCGCGAGCCCGTACATCGTCGCGGGGACGCCGTTCAACTTCAAGGCGGAGACGAACGCGACGAGCGTTACGCCCGCCTGGCGCAACTCGGTCTGGCATGTGCGTTCTCCCTGTGCTTTTTTGTTTCGTGGTGTGGAATGGGAATGCTGATGAGGGGGCGTAAACGGTAGCTGTCGATCAAGGCACAGTTTGAGTACAACACGACGCTGGCGGAGCGCAAGACACTGTACAACGGCCTTGAGACGCGCCTGCAGAAGTTCCGTGACCTCACGCCCGGGAGCGGCGCGTACTTCGTGAGTGTCGCCGCCGCGCTGCTCGTGCGCAGGGGATGAGAACACGCTGCTGACGATGCGGATGCGCCTGGCAGAACGAGGGCGACGTGTATGAGCCCGACCACGAGACGTCGTACTGGGGCGCGAACTACCCGAAGCTCCTCGCGGTTAAGCGTAAATAGTAAGCAGCATTCCGAAGCGACGTGTTATATGCGTGTATGGCTTACATGCGCTTTGTGCACAGCGATCCGGAGGGTCTTTTGGACTGCTGGCAGTGTGGTGAGTTCTCTTGGTTATTTGGTGGGTGTCATTTGCTGGTGCTAACAAACATGGACAGTGGGCTGGAAGGGCGCATCCGACCCTTTGTACCAGTGCTACGTCAGTTTGTGATCGCCTGGAAGTGCAAGCCGAGCAGGGAACGCGCTACCATAATACATACCATAATGCAGGGCTCTAAGAGTACGCATGGGTGACAGCGCAGTAACAACTCATCGTGGAGAGTGTCATGCAAGTACTAATGTTCGTCGATATGTACGCGCTGCCAGTGGGCCTAGTAATGCGCATCGTGTTGCAGCTGCGCGTATATGCTGGTGCGGCACGTCGGGTCCCGGGCATAGCAGTTGGGCATAGCAGGTACGTGCGAAGCCAAGCTGGTGGAAGCTCGTATCGTGCGTAAGTGCTCTGTATTCCGATCGGAGGATACATAATTGCTGTTAGGCAGGCGAAGTCGAAGCTCCAGTCGGCGTTGCTGGCAACTTGAAGGTAAACCGTGCACCGGTTCTCACATGGTCCTCACCACGCTACTGTGGTCGCCCAGCCATGCCCCCAGTGAGTTCCGTCAAGCAAAGCCGCGAACTCTACTGGGAGTCTCATGTAGCAGGCCACAGGTGATCGACGTCGTGGTTGGTACCAACCCTGGTTTAGGCGCTTGTGTTTCCTCAAAGTTCCACAACTTGACGGCAACGGGCTTAGCGCTCAGAAGCGTTCTCTTGACCCACTCGCTCTTCCGTTTCCTACTTTTGCGTGTGCAGCTCAGCAGCACTACCTCGCTCATCCTACAAGGCGTGTGGACGAGTCCGAGCCGTCTTGCCTCCGATCCGAGCCGATGGACGCGCCTTCGTTCCACATTTGGTTGGTGAACGATCGACTGTCATGCTAAGGTCAGTGCGACACCACGCTGTACTCGGCATCGCTCTTACTAACAGTCAGAAGCACGCCCACAAGAACCTCTCCATGTATTCTCCGAGCGGGAATTGCCTCAAAGCCATATGACGTGCCGTGCCACGAAAACACATCGTAGAGTGCTATCTCCGCTTGGGCGATTTTGACGATGTGAAGACGCCTTCACATTATGGTGTATCGATCGGTGCGCAGTGGAAAGATCGACGGTGCCAGTGCCTTCTGTGGCCTTGACATGAGGTGTATAAAAGGGACGTCGAGCGACGTACGGGCAGACTCAGCAATACCGCCCACACCGACTCTTCTCGCAACCCACCCAGATCAGTCTACATGTCTCTCCCCACCCGCAAGATCGGCAACACCGATGTCTCCGCCATCGGCTTTGGCGCGATGAGCATCGCCGCATACTATGCCACCACCATTGGGGAGGAGGAACGCTTCAAGGTGCGCGGTTATTCGCGGAGGGTTTGTTACGTCGTTGGTACTTATTAAGCATTGTCACGCACAGCTCTTCGATGCCGCGTACGAGAGCGGTTGCACCAACTGGGACACGGCGGATGCATACGGCGACAGCGAAATCTCCATCGGCAAATGGTACGAGGACCATGCGAGCTTTCTATCGCAGACTGCGGCTAACACAAATAACAAGGTTCAAGAAGACGGGAAAGCGGAATGAGATCTTCCTGGCGACCAAGTTCGGCATCGTGCCCGACGAACGTCTTGTCTGCGGCGACCCGGAGTACGTCCCGAAGGCGCTTGCCAAGTCCCTCGAACGGCTTGGGGTGGACTATGTCGACCTCTGGTATCTCCATCGGTATGCCCCTTTTCACCTCCATATACTCGCATGCTAACGCGAACGTTTCTAGCGCGGACCAGACCGTTCCTATCGAGCTGACCGTACGTGCTATGGCCGAGCAAGTCAAGTAAGAATACCCGTGTATCCCGTCCTGTCCCTGCCTTACCTGTAACCTGTCAATAGGGCTGGCAAGGTCAAGTACCTCGGTCTCTCCGAAATCTCCTCAGCCACCCTGCGCCGTGCACACGCCGTGCATCCCATCGCCGCCATCCAAGTCGAGTACTCCCCCTTCACGCTCGACATCGAGTACGAGAAGATTTCCCTCCTGAAGACCGCGCGCGAGCTCGGCGTTGCTGTCGTCGCATACTCGCCCCTCGGGCGAGGCCTGCTCACCGGCCAGATCGTAAGTGATGCTCCCGCATCGATTGATCGACGAGGATAATGTGCTCACCAAGCTTCGCTCTCGTAGCGGTCCCCGGCTGATTTGAAAGAGGGCGATTGGCGACTGGCGACGCCCCGCTTCTCGGCGGAGAACTTCCCCAAGGTCCTCCAGGTCGTCGACAGCGTCCAGGCGATCGCGAAGAAGTACAACGCGACGGCCGGCCAGGTCACCCTCGCGTGGCTGCTCGCCCAGGGCGACGACATCATCCCGATCCCGGGCACCAGCCGCATCCCCGTACGTCGCCTGCCCCACTTTTTCCTCCGCGTGTATGCAAACCACAACTCACTGTGACTGCCTGCATGTAGAATCTGCTCGAGAACGTCGCCGCGGCGAAGGTGAAGCTCGCGAAAGAGGACATCGACGAGATCCGCAGGCTCGCGGTGGCGGCTGACAACACGCTTGGCGAGAGGTACATGGCGCAGGCTTCAGCGCTGTGCTTCGCGGACACGCCTCCGCTGCCGTCCGCGTAAACACGGAGGATATGGAACATACGAGAGGTGTACACTTTGGAGGTTCATCTGTAATACAAGTCATTTCCTACTCTCAGACTTTCGTTCCGCGCCTGAGCTGCAGGAAGCATGGGTGAGAACGATCCCAGACGTGTGACGTCCTTACACTCCTCCTGGGAGGGCATCCTAGATCCCTTATTTCCAAAGGGTAGCGACGCACACACATGAGGGTATGCATGTATGCGTCGATGTTCCACTCGTCGCACCCGAGGGTGGCAGTGTCAAAACATTATGCATTATTCCATACCACCCGCATCACACTCCTCTTCACGCCATGCACCCGCTCCCAGATCGTACGCACCACCCCGCCGCGCTCGCCCTCCACGGCGTCCACAAACTCGCTCACCCCGCCGCCGACGCCAAAGTACACCGTCTTCGCCGCGACCAGGCACAAACTCTCTTCCTCCGCGAGACGGCGCAGCTCGCCCTCGTCCGTCAAGCTTAGCCGCGACGCCCACTCCGCGATGCTCGGAGACACCATCCGCTCGGGTTCCGCGGGCCCTGGGGCGGTCGCGCGCTGGAGGAGGGCGACGAGCGAGGGCAGGCTGTCGGTGCGGTAGATCGTCTCGGAGGTGAGCACGAGGTGGTGTGGCCCGCCGGAGGCGGGGATGTCGAATGTGGACCAGGCCCCGGAGAAGAATTTGAGGTGGACGCCGTAGGAAAGGAGGGAGGCGAGGAAGGCGGTGGTTAGGGCGGGCGTGATGGGGAGCTCGCCGGGCTCGGTGACGTCCGCGGGTGGGAGGGGTTCGGGTTCGGCGTTGGGGTCGTCCATTCCGTTACTATGAGGGGCTGGTGGGGGGTTGGACCGGAAGGAGGCGGAGGCGGGGGACATGTCTATTGTTAAGGATCAGCTTTTGTCATCTCTCGCATTGAAATCCTCCACGCGCGCCGAGTAGAACACTTACACCACGCGAGAATGACGTTTGGTAGCGTCACAAGACGAAGTACGAGGTCGTTGTAGTCTTGGAGATGTATGTGGATGTTACTTTCCGCAGAGGGCTCTGCTGCGAATATAGTAGATAGCAGGTACAGGGAGGGGATGGCCGTGCCGCACCCAAGCTATGTGGCCGCAGGAAACCTAGTTTATGTCTGATCAGCTGTATATAGGGGTAGGCGAGAACATGCCTCTAAGATGCGTTTTTGTTTGAGGTTACTCGCGATGCCGGGCCCGTAGATGGTGTCGAGGCAGTCGACGAGGTCGAGACTGCACTCCCAAGTTTTTAGACCGCCCTCGTAGACCCAAGGTACGAGGTCCGAGGGCGCGTCGAGAAAGTCGACGTCCGAGCGTCCATTTTTAGCTTCTGTGCCCTCGTCGGACGCGATGAGCTGAAACTTGGCGTCGAAGAGGTCTCTGCGGGCGAGCACGACATCGCGTTTTGACGCAAGCACGACGGCGAGCGGCGAGAAAGAAAACGTGTGCGGAAGTGCAGCGATCTATGCGGAATATCTGTTAGACTTTCTCTAGGTAGAGTTCATATACATATGGGGTAAGCTCACGAGGTCTTCGATGGGGATCTCGGTGGAGCGGTCTTCCTCCGCGCGAGTTTGTTGTTGCTCGCCTGCCGACCCGGCGGTGGCGACGGGGCCGAACGCGAGGTCGGCAAGGGGGTCGTCCGCCTCGTCTACCTCGAAGTTGAACTTGAACATGTTCGGATCCCACAGATATGCCCGTAAAAGAGTGGCCAAAGGACAGAAGGCTTCGGCGGATAATCTTGTACCCACCCAAAGAGGAAAAGCGTGGAGTTCAGTAGATCGGTTGTCCCAGGCGCTCATTCGGGTTAGGGTTTTTGGCGCTTCGCGATGTAGTAGACGCTCGTTCGTCCTCCTTGAACCTGCCGACGACCTTGCTTTCCGTTGATCAAGAAGAAAACATCCCGATACCTGGCTTGCACGGCCGTTATCATATATAACGTAACACTTTGAGAGGATGTCCTGCGTTCGTTCGCGCCACGTTGTCGACCCGCCGTGCACGGAGCAGTTGTCACTCGGAAGTCTGTAAGTGTGGCAACACCTGTACCACATCCCGTTGCCCTGACTCATATTCAGACCTACGTATGTATACAGCGACCACCATACGCATTCTCCGAGCGGGAATAGCTTGAATTTGTATGATAAATCATACTACAACGGGTGCAAACTGTATACTGCTATCTCCGCAGAGACGCGTTTCACGATGTGAAAACGCATACAGTCCCCTGTATAGTACGTTTGCTAGCTCGCAGTGGAAAGACTTACGGTGTTTAGCCGTCCGTCGAGCGCTGGGAGGAGAATAAAAGGGAGTTCGAGCAGAGCTCAGCCAGAACAGCATCCACACCGACTTCTCTCGCAACCCACCCACTCATCCACATCGACCCACATGGCTCTCCTCACTCGTAAGATTGGCAGCACTAATGTCTCCGCACTTGGCTTTGGTGCGATGGGTATTGCCGCATTCTATGCCACCGCCATTAGCGAAGCGGAACGCTTCAAGGTGCGTAACAATTCACTATCCAGGCCCTCTTGTATCCTTAGCAGTGCGACCACTAACAACTTTCCATAGCTTCTAGACGCTGTATACGCGAGCGGTTGTACCAACTGGGACACTGCTGACGCGTACGGTGACAGCGAGATCTCTATTGGCAAATGGTGCGAGGACGTTTAAGTGTACACCTTTCCAGTACGTGACTAACGAAGATGACTAGGCTCAAGAGGACGGGAAAGCGCAACGAGATATTCCTCGCTACGAAGTTCGGCCTGGCTGCTGGTATCCCCGGCCGCGTGGTCTGCGGCGACCCCGATTACGCCCCGAAGGCGCTCGCCAAATCTCTCGAACGGCTCGGCGTGGACTACGTTGACCTCTGGTACCTCCATCGGTACGCGCCCTGTATCCCCTATAGAATGTTCACGCTAACAAAGCAACGTTTTCAGCGCGGACCAGACTGTGCCTATTGAGCTGACCGTACGCGCTATGGCCGAGCAAGTGAAGTACGTATACTCACTCTCAAGCGTTATATACTTCTTTCTCACCTGCGACTCGACGGCAGGGCTGGGAAGGTCAAATATCTCGGCTTATCTGAAATATCGGCGGACACCTTGCGCCGTGCCCACGCTGTGCATCCCATCGCGGCCATTCAAGTCGAGTACTCGCCTTTCACGCTCGACATCGAGGACGAGAAAATCGGACTTCTCAAGACTGCGCGCGAGCTCGGCGTGGCCGTCGTGGCCTTCTCGCCCCTCGGGCGTGGCCTGCTTACCGGCAAGATGGTAAGCAACTCTATTCTACCCAGTTGGTAGGCTATTATGCTGACGGGGTTCCGACACATTCAGCGGTCCCCTGCGGACCTCAACGAAGGCGACATCCGTCTGCAGCTGCCCCGTTTCTCCAAGGAGAACTTCCCGAAGGTGCTCCAGGTCGTCGACGGCATCCACGCGGTGGCGAAGAAGTACAACGCGACGGCCGGCCAGGTCACTCTCGCGTGGCTGCTCGCGCAGGGCGACGACATTATTCCGATCCCGGGCACCACTCGCATCCCCGTACGTCGTCCCTCGCCCTCAGGCCTGAGTACGAATACCCCGCTCACTGTGCGCGTGTAGAATTTCCAGGAGAACATCGCGTCACTACAGGTGAAGCTATCGCAGGAGGACATTGACGAGATCCGTAGGCTGGCGGTGGTGGCGAACAGCACGATCGGCGAGCGGTACCCTGCGCAGTGGCAGGCGCTCAGCATGGCGGACACCCCGCCGCTGCCGAAGGCGTAAGGAGGGTTATAGCGCCTCATGAATCCTTACAATTTGACGGTTTGCATGTACAAGGAGCCAGAACCCCTGCAATCCGAATCCAAGCTTTGGAAGCTCATTCTTCGCGATATCATAGATGTACTAGTGTGGTACATCTCATGCTATAGTGAGATGCGTGCGGGTAGTGTGCGAGAAGTTCAAGGTATCGCATTGTAAAGGTGGGCTCGAGTTCTACTTTTGATGATGAGGGCTCTCGCTCAAGCGCTTCGTATCTACCACAGCAGCGTCAATATCACACATCCTGATGGACGACCTCGCCATGTTTGCTGATTCTACGCCTCTCACGCGATCACCATGGCACCCCTCATATGCGGTATGGCGTGGTGTGGACTCGACTGGCTCCCGTGAGCTTGAGCTTGAACCCTGGCGAGCGCCGGTATCTTACAGGTTAGGCATTGCCGTCGTGATGACCGGGCTAGACGCCAGGCGTAGTGGGCTGTCGCACCTCAAGGATTCCGTGTGTATACCCGGCATGGACCCACTACATACTGGCCGCTCGCTTTCTTGTTGATGTCGGTGTGAACGGCCTCACCTCCGACTCTTGACATGCAGTGCTGACGACATAGGTCAAGTTCACCAACACTTCGGCTGTGGTTACGGCACAGTCTGCCCGAGCCTACGCGAGAGTGGTATAACCCATAACCTTGCAATGCCGTTGCTCTCACGAGAGTGACGAGTCCGAACGGCGCGCCTATAGCTTCATAGGCTATCGCCCCCCTCCAGGAGGATATAAAGGAGGCTCGGAGAAACAGTACAGAGCATCGGCAAGACACTCTCAAGCACTACACATTCAACGACCTTCACAAAATCAGCTCAAGATGTCCTCGATGTCACGCAAGATCGGCGGCTCTCAAGTCAGCGCGATCGGCTTTGGCGCGATGAGCGTCGCCGGTCTCTATTCCCAGGCTCTGTCCGACGAGGACAAGATGAATGTACTCACCTGCGTTTCCGCGGAGTTTTTTGAGCTTGCGCTAACACCGCCGATACACTTGCAGCTTTTGGACGCGGTGCACGCGAACGGATGCAACTTTTGGGATACCGCCGATGCGTATGGCGACAGCGAGGTGGTCCTCGGTAAATGGTGCGTTTTTCAGCGCCCTCGGACCCGCTCATTCGGACCTCATGGTTGCTGCTTCAAGGTTCAAGAGGACGGGAAAGAGAGACGATGTCTTCCTCGCTACGAAGTTCGGCGCAGCGGCTGGCATCCCGGGGCGCATGGTCTGCGGCGACCCCGAGTACGTCCCGAAGGCGATCGACAAGTCTCTCGAGCGGCTCGGGGTAGACTACATAGACCTCTGGTACCTCCACCGGTACGTAGAACGCGACATCAATATTCTAAAGGCTCACGACGGTATCTCGTAGGGCCGACTCCACCGTGCCGATCGAGGTATGGCATTCGTGCTGCCCTCCTAGCAGACTGGGAGCTGACAACACCTACCTTTCGTACTAGCTCACTGTCGGCGCTATGGCCGAACAAGTCAAGTGAGTGCGCATTTACGTTTCTGTGCGACTTTCTCGTCTAATGTGTGTCGCCGTTCGCAGGGCTGGAAAGGTCAAGTACCTCGGCCTGTCGGAGATCTCGGCGGCAACCTTGCGTCGAGCACACGCCGTGCACCCCATCGCCGCCGTCCAGGTCGAGTACTCGCCGTTCACGCTTGACATCGAGGACGAGAAGATCGGGCTACTCAAGGCCGCCCGCGAGCTCGGCGTCGCCGTGGTCGCGTACTCGCCCCTCGGCCGTGGGCTTCTAACAGGCAGATTCGTGAGCTGCCCTGTTATCCTTGGCTACTGTGACGCAAGACTGACAGGCGTGCCTTGTGTGTGGCAGCGGTCCCCGGACGATTTACCGAAGGACGACCCGCGGCACATCTTCCCGCGGTTCTCCGCGGAGAACTTCCCGAACATCTTGAAGGTTGTTGACGGCGTGCAGGCAATCGCGACGAAGTACGGTGCCACTCCGGGCCAGGTCACGCTCGCCTGGCTCCGCGCACAAGGCGACGACATCATCCCGATTCCGGGGACTACCCGCATTGCCGTACGTCCGCTGTGTTGCGCATCTTGGTGTGAAGACGCTCACGGTATCGGTTGTGCAGAACCTGAAAGAGAACACGGAGAGCCTTAAGGTGCAACTCTCCCAGGACGATGTGGATGAGATCCGGAAGCTGGCAGTCGCGGCGGACAAGACCCTCGCGCCCAGGTACCCGGCGAAGTGGCTGGCCCTCCTGTATGCGGACACGCCTGCCCTCGCCTAGGCGGAGATAGCATGCTCTCGTTTGTATTTGACCTCGGTTGGATTTTGAATGGACGGTGCAGGCCCGCAGTGAGACAGGTGCCCGTATGACCGTAGGAGTTAGCATCTTATGCCAGACACATTGGAGGTAGCGGATGTCGAGAAAGGTGTTGCGCATCAGTGCGCATGTTGAAATTCTTCATCTAGGGGCCAGGTACACCGTGGGTTGCCCGTTGGCTTCGGCCCTTGCGCTGATATATAAAGGGACGGGAATGAGCGAGAGTCGATGTTCACAGACTCTACTGAACTTCAAGCACCGCCACTCGCGCATTCATCGCTATGCCTTTGCCCACCAGAAAGATCGGCCAAACGGACGTGACCGCCATCGGCTATGGCGCGATGGGAATCTCTGTCTTCTACGGGACGCCGAAGACTGACGAGGAAGGCATGAAGGCGAGCGGTATCCCACCTCTCTAGCTGATGTTCGTCCGCTTACCACGGACGCTTCAACCTTGCCCTGCTAGATCCTCGACGCGGTGTACGAGAACGGTTGCACGAACTGGGATACCGCGGATGCATATGGGAACAACGAGGAGATTATCGGTAAATGGTCAGTAAAGTGAAGTTCTCTTGAGGGATTCATGCTCACGTTGTGGTGTGCCGAAGGTTCAAGAAGACAGGGAAGAGGAACGATATCTTCCTGGCTACCAAGTTTGGATTCGCCCATGGTAGCAAGGACAGATTCGTATATGCGCCGCCAGAGTACGTCCCGAAAGCACTCGAGAAGTCGCTGTCGCGGCTGGGCGTGGATTCCATAGATCTGTGGTACCTCCACCGGTGAGTGTGTATGTTTCCGAGTCCGGAAATGATATCGCTCACTTGGGTACACTCGTAGTGCGGATCCGACCGTGCCCATCGAGGTGAGCGCGCAGCTGGGAAGCTCAATTTACCCGAGCACCACACTGAACGACTCACAGCTGACAGTGGGAGCGATGGCCGAGCAAGTCAAGTACGTCGTCCTGGATTGCTCGCACGCTCGTAAAGCGATGTTGCTAATCTTCTGCATTTGCAGAGCGGGCAAGGTCAAGTATCTCGGCCTCTCCGAGGTCTCCGCTGAGACTCTCAGACGCGCGCACGCAGTGCACCCTATCAGCGCGATTCAGGTTGAGTATTCGCCCTTCGCGCTCGACGTCGAAGACGAGCAGGTCGGGCTCTTCAAAGCGGCGCGCGAGCTCGGTGTCGCGATCGTTGCCTACTCGCCGGTCGGCCGTGGCCTCCTAGGGGGTCAAATCGTGAATTCACAACTTCATCCTGCATGCACTGAAATATTGACGGAGAGGTGTGTGTGTTTTAGAAATCGCGCGCTGACCTGGATGAGGGTGACCGTCGACGGATCCTCCCGCGTTTCTCGGACGAGAACTTCCCCAAGATTTTGAAGCTCGTGGAGGGCGTCAAGGCGATCGCGGCAAAGTACAACGCGACGCCCGGACAAGTAGCGCTTGCGTGGCTCCTCGCGCAGGGCGACGACGTGATTCCTATCCCTGGGACGACCAAGGTCGAGGTGCGTCGCGTCTCTGCTGGAAGCGATGTTCAGAGCGTCGCACGGAACTCACTGTTGCTATGCAGAATTTGAAGGAGAACCTAGCCTCGTTTGACCTCAAGCTGAGCGCAGAGGATGTCGCTGAGATCCGGAGGATCGCTGAGGTCGCTGACAAGACGCTTGGGCCTAGGTACTACGAGGCGGGCATGCAGCTACTGTTCGGTGACACTCCTCCCCTCGAGGCCTAAGCGACTTCGTGAAGTCTAGTTATGAGTGTATGAATGCGAAGTGGACGTGCCGGGGAATTATTACGACTTCTAGCGGGCTTTCTGGCAGTTGTATGCAGTTGTTGTGAACGTTCAGTGCAAGGACGCGATATGGACTGAAGTAGTAGTCTCCCCTAGGCAGACGTACCGATGAGCGAGCTAGACTGAACCGACCCTATCACGACAATAAGGTTAGGGCTATCAGCCACCGGCGACCGCCGACTCGGACGTCATCGTCTTTCGCCCTTGGATGACCACCGCGTACATCTCACCTGCAATTGCAACTCGCTCACGTTCTTGGGTTGGCCTGATGCAACTTTGCGCATACGTTCATGTTCCTTCACCACCGTTACGCTCTCTCCAAGAGTAAACTGTCTCTGTCCGGGCTCGCACCAGCGCGTCGCGTCCACTCGTCAAGACCGTTGCACCCCCTACTTCCGAGAACATACCAAGCGTCACGCAAGCTGCCGGTTCGAACACAGCACAAAGAACATCTAGCAAGGATGAGCACAAGCAATACCAGCACACGGCACGTCAATCGTCTGGCCAAGGCCAAAAGTCCGTACTTGTTGCAGCACGCAGAAAATCCGGTATGTTCACTCGAGCTTCTGGCGTGGGATGTCGTTATATGTCCGCGCTGGTAGGTGGACTGGTACGAATGGGGCCAGGAAGCGTTTGACAAGGCGAAGAAAGAGAACAAGCCTATCTTTCTATCCGTACGTCTCCTTCACTTGAGGAGTGGTAGTGTTCCAAAACTTAGGCCGACGCGTACAGGTCGGATACTCCGCTTGCCACTGTGCGTGCAACGTTCACGGCGTGATGAACAAGACCATGAGAATGATACTGCTTATGCTGCAGGGTGCCATGTACTCGCTCATGAGAGTTTCGAAGATGAGATCACTGCCAAAATGATGAACGAGCACTATGTCAACGTTAAGGTAGGCATGCGTCTTGTCTCGCGTTTCCGTGTACTCATCATAAGAAGGTCGACCGCGAAGAGCGGCCTGACGTTGACCGGCTGTACATGACCTTCCTTCAAGCTTCCACCGGTGGAGGCGGCTGGCCGATGTCAGTCTGTGAGTCATGCCGTCCGGATACTTGGCACATACACGACCTCGATACTGATACCAAGCAGGGCTTACTCCCGACCTCCATCCCTTCTTCGCTGGGGTAAGATTATTCTGCATGTATGCGCCAATTGGTACTGACGGAACATCAGACGTACTTCCCTCCCGGCAGGTTCCGCCAGATTCTTGACAGACTGGCCGACGTGTAAGTATCTCCATCTCTGTATCTCATGTCTTACTGAACCCTTTGAAAAAGCTGGACATACGACCGCGAACGCTGCATCGAGTCCGCGGGCAAGGTCCTTGAAACCCTCAAAGAGAGTTCGAACGTACGTCTCGATTCCTCATGAAGCCATGACACCTCTGACCGTACACTAGATCGCTCCAAGTCCCCAAGATAGCGTCGAATTGAAGCCTCTGCCACAGGAGGTCTTCCAGCGGTTGCAGAAACGCTTCGATGGTGTGAACGGCGGTTTCGGCGGCGCCCCGAAGTTCCCCTCGCCTGCACAGACCACGCACTTCTTAGCGCGTTATGCCGCGTCTCACCTAAGCGACCTCAATGCTTCGAATGAGGACAAGAAGAATGCGCAAGCCGCTCGAGACATGGCGGTGTACTCGATGATCAAGATATACAACGGCGGTATCCGCGATGTCGTCGGTGGTGGCTTTTCGCGGTATTCGGTGGATGAGCGTTGGCACGTTCCCCATTGTGCGTAGGAGTCCCTCTTCTCCGGAGTGCGCGTACTCAGATGTTCTTGTCTTTCCAGTCGAGAAGATGCTGTAAGTCTAAATACGTGATCTTAGAGCACCAATTCTAACTAAATCTTCAGCTATGACGAGGCCCAGCTTCTATCGTCGTCGCTCGACCTCTACCAGCTCCTCACGACGCCATCGCGCGACAAGAAGACTCTAGAACTCATGGCGAAGGACATCGTGTCTTACGTCGCGAACGACCTCCGAAGTCCCGAGGGTGGTTTCTACAGCGCCGAAGATGCCGACTCCCTCCCGACGCACGACAGTATTGTCAAGAAGGAAGGCGCCTTCTACGTCTGGACCTCAGAGCAACTCGATGAGCTCCTCGGCGCGGACGCTGAACTTTTCGAGTATCACTTTGGAGTTGAGGCGGACGGGAACTGCGACCCCGGTCACGATATACAGGGCGAATTGAAAGGCCAGGTAGGCCCGCCAGCTATATTTGCTCGACGCCGCGTAGTAACGTTAGGGCACAGAATGTGCTGTTCACAGCGCACACTTCGGAGGAGACGGCGGACAAGTTCGGGAAGTCAGTCGAGGACACTGAGAAGATCCTCGGTGCGGGCTTGAAGACGCTCCGGGACTACCGCGACAAACACCGCCCTCGGCCGCATCTGGACGACAAGATACTCACCTGCTGGAACGGGCTCATGGTGAGGACGTTCGATGAGTCGCGTCTTCAACGTTGCTGAATCTCTACAGATCTCTGGCCTTGCCCGTACTTCTGAAGTTCTCGGCCACGATAAAGACGTAGCATCGAAGGCACTTGATATGGCGGAGGCATCCGCGGCATTCATTCGCGGCCACCTCTTCGATGAGCAGAGCGGCAAACTCTGGCGGAGCTACCGCGAAGGCCCAGGCCCAACCGGTCAGGCAGATGACTATGCGTTCTTGATCCAAGGTATGTTTTAGCCAAGAGGGGCGACAGACACATGAGCCTCATTACAATGGCAGGATTTCTTGACTTGTACGAGGCGAGCGCGAATGAGGAACACCTCCTGTGGGCCCTGCGCTTGCAGGAGAAGCAAGACGAGCTATTCTACGACCCCGAAGACGGCGGATACTTCGCGTCTGCTCCGGACGAGCACATCCTCATCCGCATGAAGGATGCGCAGGTGAGCCGCGCGTCCGCGATCAGACCGCGAGCGACAGCCTGATTCTTGATTTTTTCTGCAGGATGGCGCGGAGCCCAGCGCGGTGTCGGTCACACTCGCAAACCTGCAGCGTCTTGCGCACTTAGCCGAGGACAGACACGCCGATTATAACGCGAAGGCGAAGAGCATACTGTCGTCCAACGGGCAGCTGCTCACCCGAGCGCCTTTCGCGCTTGCGTCCATGGTCAGCGGTGCCATGATGGCGGATAAGGGCTACATGCAGGTACGTATCCGTTCATTGCTACCGGACGAGTCATGGCTTACAGCCGTTCTGCAGTTCATCCATACCGGAGCGTCGTCGACCTCGCCACTGCTTGAGCTCACTCGCTCGACGTTCATCCCGAATCGCGTCCTGATCCACATCGACCCGAAGAACCTGCCTCGGGAGCTGGCTAAGGTGAATGGGAGCATCCGGAGTCTCATCGAGGAGCTCGAGCGTACGGGCGGCGAGACGAAGGAGAACGTCCGCATCTGCGAGAACTTTACGTGCGGACTGCCGATCGAGGACGTCGATGACCTTCGGACGCGGTTGCCTCTTGTCGTAGCGACTTGAACGCAGGAAAGCGGATGATTAGCAACCATTGTATAGTAGTAAGCCACCAATTCAACGTCACTCTGTAGCATCTTAACCATTGAGACCGTTTCTGGCCCAGGACTGACTCCGATATTACGAGCGCTCGCGGCATGAATCGCATGGATCATCGTCACATTTCTCGACACTCGCCGGTTGGCTGAGCTACTCGTGAACAAGCAGCTGACAAGGTTTGATTTTACAGAAGTCCGGCGACCACCCCCCACACCTGGTGTCCGAGTCCGAAACGCTCGAGCCAGCTGGCCTGACACGGTCATAGGTGAGAATTATGCCACGTGGCTATTGCCTTCAAGCGAACCCCAGCGCCAAGCTTTTCTCGAGTTGAGTCGTCACACTCTGGACAGAGCTTTTTTCTCTGCTGTGGTCAGTCTTACACCTTTCGTTCTCTCTTGGCGACGAAAGTATGCTCTCTGAACAAGTCGAAATACTCAGTGACGAACGCGTCGCTAGACCCGCAATTTCGGGCTCGACGTGGTTACGCGACTATTGTCCGAGCATATATGCTGGCAACATATACGTTCCGCGTCCGCTGCGCGCGTGTCCCCGCCCGTTGTATGCGGCGGCGATCTATATCCGACTACAGCCCGCCCCCGTCGTCGACGTGGCCTTCTTCGACTTGAAGAGGCCAGGCGCGGCGGGTTCTGGCGCGATCCAACTCCACCCACGTGAGCGCAGGTCCGAACTACGACAGTCAGATGAGCGATGGCGAGCCGCGTTCCGTCACTGTGGCGACACAGCGGTCGATCGACGCTCGACGTATAAAACGTTGAGGTCTCCTGTTTGTTGGCCTCTTCTCCTCTCCCCCTCCTGCACCGGCCCTCAGACGCTCGTCTAGCGGACTGCACGACTTGAAGGAATGTCTGTGCGGCGACCGCACGAAAGCCCAATGCTAGCTCAGGGCAGGGGGTATGTTTCGTCTTCTTTTCCTTGCATATACGGTCCCACGCCCTTGTTCTGCGACCCCTGTTCGTCTGCTACGTCCATGGTGTTCTGTGTTCTGTGCCTCTTGGCAACTTGCTCCCCCGAGCGACTCCGGCCTTTTCTTCGCCGGCACCAGATTTCTGCAGTCTCCAACTAGGGCTTGATGATGTCGGAGCCGCTAAGCCGAGTTGAATCTGCGGCTCACTCAAACGCCTAATGGTAAGCATCTTCTCATGGCCGGTTCGCCTGTCATCACTGAGTTTGAATCGTCCTGCAGAACATATGGCTACGCTGCGCCGCCTCTCTGGAGCACTACTACGTCGTCCTATTGCCTCCGTCCGAACATCTGCGACCATCGCGCACTTTCCCAGGCAACAGGGCCGGATTGTGTCTTGGCTCTTTGGAGATATTTGGTGCAAATCTGTGCGTATGCTTTCCGTGTGTGCGATTGGTGCTGCGCTGATCCGTATGTGATTTTCTAGAGGGATCAGTTTTCTGCTTCAAAACAAGGCTGTCTGTTCCTGCGGGTGCATTCTCTCGATGGCTTACTGTCGTCGAGGCAAGATTGAACCAAGTGTAAGTCTCGGCGGAAAGCGCGTACAGGCTAGTAAAATATCAGAGTCATACATTATGTTATTAGCTCCTGCCCCACGAGAAGCATACGGTGCCATATGGAACTCGCGGTAAGTTTGCCATATCGTTACTATGGCAGGATGCTGATTTCTTGCTTTAAACTTGTGCTCGTCATTTTGACTCTTCTTTAGAGCCGATTGGCGCGGCGTAGGCTCTGGTATAAACCGGTAGTTCCGGACTGGCTCGGTCAATTCATCGACCAGAAGCATTGACGGCCCCCGCCTTACCCCGCGTTCTAGCGTAAGTCGTCAGGTACTCGGTCCCGGGAGAATCAATTTACCCGCGTGGGATCTGGATCATGGGCGGCATCTTCTGCGAAGACGACGCCGTGCAGTGAAAGACAGTCACTCGGGCGTACAACTTATGCCCGACTCCTCGTGATATCGTTCAGCCCGCGGATCAGACGCCGACTAGACCGTCTGGGGTCACTTCTTCTCCATCCTTGCTCCCCGCCTTCCCGCGCCTTTTTCTCATACGCACACCGTTTTCGCGCCCTGGAGGGCCTTGCGGCTCCGAAGGTGCTCCGCCCCGCCCCCACAACATCCCACGAATTGGATTCCTTGTCAATGAAGCTCGGCGCCCATCTGATGGTTGACGCCTCCAGAGTATAGCAGGCGTGGTTTAGGCGGCATCAGCGCTACCAAAAGGTATGTCTCATTGTATCCGCAACCGCTCTCGTCCGGCGCGTCCTCCCGCACGGTTCTGATCACTCTCCCCGTATGCTCTAGCTTGCCGAAGTATCCGCCAGATTGGTCCCGGACTGCTCGCGCTGCGTCTGTGCATTGTCTGTAGCCGGTACCGCAACCCCTGCTTGCATCTTGCTCCTCGATGATCATCCAGGCCATCATGGCCCGTGCGCTCTTGGGGCCTCAGCGACCTTTCCCGATCCGGCCCACCCACCTCGAAACCCCACAAGGCCTCGTCTCTTTCGTCCTGCGCGATCGTGATGGGACCCTGACCTGCGTCCTCATGCGCGTCGAGCACATGGCAAGGATGCTTCCCCGATTTCCCCGAAGTGCTGTCGCATCGCGTACGGCGTTTGCGTCATAGTCGGGCAGGCGCTGTCACAGAGCGCGCGGCGGGAGCACCTAGAGCTTGAGCTTCATGGCTTCATCGGGCACATCGCAGAAGCTCTATTCTGTGCCTTGCCTTTGCGCGACTTGCGTAAGGGGGAGTGGAGACGGGCTCATGGGGGCCGGAGCTGCCGGTCGCACACATATGGTGATGGGGACCCGGTGGGCGGACGGAGATTCTACTACCGACGTCATGCTGATGTCTGATGCGCTCGTATGGCGGGCTCTGTATGCATACGAGCGACTGGGAGTGAGTACGTTAACCACGTCGTTGCATTGTTGCTGAAGCGCTCACACAGGCCTGCAGCGAAGACGAAGCGCTAGCCTCAATGCACCCAACGTGGCCTTGCCCATGGCAGCAGCGCAAGAGCCTTGTATAGCGCATGTTCGGCGCGTCGTCCTGCGAAGACGACCAATTACGTGTAAGCCGCTATCAAACTGTATCTTCGAGTCGAGATGAAAAGGTTCGAGTGCTTCGCTCTAGGTTCTCGCGCCTCCCATTGGCTGGAGGGCGCTCGCTCGTGGGTATTCACCACTTAACGCACCCCTCCTGTCATCATTCATTAATCTCAGTTTGCAGGGCAGGTCTTCTGTACTCGCCGGTCGCCTTCGCGAACGATCAACTCCCATGCGTACAGTACGCCTCTTCGAAGCCCTTCCCGAATTCTTGCTCGTCCTCATCTCCGACTACCGAGCAAAGTCCACTACCGTCTCCGTCAGGCCGCGAGCAAGGCATCTACCGCAGCGGAAGGCCACAGCGGCGTGGCTCTCCGACCGGCGCGCTGCAGTGAGGATGCCTGTCCGCCTCCGCCCCGCCACCCTTCGCTTGTACGTACGTGCGCGGTATTCTCTCTTCACCGCCCTCCCGTGTTCGCACGCTGCCGATCCCCCGCATTTCCATGCCTGTGCGATCTGAGAGCCGATCGTCCAGATACGAAACGAACCTGTGGAATGGCACCCGCATTCGCCGTATCAGGCATCATTGTCAACCGTGCTCTGGCCTGGGTCTTCTCTTGCCGTCGGTGAGAGGATAGTCAGGGCCGTGGTGATTGACTTCTTCGCTGCACCGTGCTCCCGCGCTCTACGACTTGCGCGCCACTGTCTTCCGCGCCTGTCGCACTATTACATCCAGTACGGTATGGCAACTGCAAAGTTAGCCGGGTCACTATCACAGGCAAGGTGATCTTCGCTGTCGCTGTCGGTGACGACGTCCTGGCGGCGCATCGATGCGGCGGAGGGCGGCCATCGGTATACGGGGCGATGCGAAGGTGCAGCATGTCTCTGCGTTACAGCATGAAAGACGGATTGCGCCATCGCGCGGCTCTTCTGTCCTTCGCAGCGCGGTACAGATATGACAGACTCCTGGGGCCCCACTGTCGAGAACCTGTGCGGAGGATGGTTCTGACGGCATGGGCGAGCCGAGTCGCTCTCCGCCCGCTCGGTGTTTTTTGACATGCCGAGCTTGCGCACACGCGTCCGGGTGGTCGGGCCTGAGGTCTGAGGGGCTTGTGGTAACTGTCCATAACCTCCTAATCCCTATCCTAAGCGGGGCTTAGACTTTCGTGGGTGCGGCCTGCCCAATGACGACCGTGGGGATGCTGGCCACAGCTCGAGAGGCACGCTCTCGCGGACCTTGCTGCCTGATCGTCCACAGCTCTACCGAGAGGAGTCGGCCACACTTACCGGTCTTGTTTTCTAGAGCTACTTGTTTCCATACCTTGACGAATCTCCGCCGGACACCCATGCGGGGGCCTTGCAGCATACGCATTGCGTAATTTCACCATGTCGGCGATACGCCCATCATATTCTTGAGCTTGGCGTCGTCGAGCAATGGTGCTATTACTGCCTAATGGTCACCAACACCGACAGCATCTTTCAACAGCGCAGCACACTTCCAAGTCACTCGGGGCAAACGACGACCGACTGGTACGTTGCGTATGCCCCAAATGCTATCTGACGCGCTCCACTCACCTCCCACAGGCTCTTCGCACAAAGTCCGAGTGGCAGCGCAGTTGCGTGCGCGAGTATTCTTGACCCGCGCTCGGGCGTATTATTGTCGGCACTTGGCGGGCATCCTGGTGCGGAAGTGGAGCTGCGGGCACATTGGGCCCCAGGCACAACCCACGCCGGTGACGCTCTCTGTTGAGCGAACGCGAAGACACACGCGCGTGCGCGCACGCAGTCCAACTTGGCCCTCGCCGGGCGCTGTCCGGGCGCAGCGCCGCCCATCTTGGAGATCTCCACGTTTGTCTGCGACAGGACCCAGGACTGAACAGCGAAGACGTCGCCCGCGCTTCTCAGGATCCCCTCCTCCCCTGGCGATTCGCTCGCGGCCAGGGCGTTCCCCTGCCCGCACACTCATACTCCCCCCGCAGGACCCTGGACACGCGCGATGGCAGCGGACAGCCTGCGCTGGATCCGTCGACTCTCCGAGCGTGCGCTTCCCCATCTCCGTCCGCGCCCTTCTGGCCTTCTTCCCCGCATCGTGGCGCACGCGGCCACGCTCGACGCTCGCACTACGCCCGCGAAGCCGCTGCTTCGCCCGTCCTGCCACTCCGTCGCCTGCCGCATATGGGCGCGCGTTCCCCCGCCCCGCGCCACCGCGCGACATTCTCGGAGATGCTCGCGCGGACGGTGTCGCGCGGCCTGCCACGGGCTGTCTTCTGGGCCTACTGCCGGATCGCGCATGTACCGCGCTAGTCCTGCCCGTGCCGGCGCGACGGGTTGTGAATGTTGTGATCACTGCGTGCGGGGGCGATCGACGCGTTGCTGCTCGGGTCGTATGGTTTTCGTATCAAGCTTTCGCCCTGGGTACCGCTCCGCCGGGTCGCGCTCTCCGTCTTGCGTCTTGTGCTGCTCTCTCGCTTGGCGTATTCTGGGACTGGCTATGGCGTGGCGAAGCGGGGATGCGGGGTAATCCGACGACATTCCGTTGGGCTGCCCCCGGTCCTTGACAACCGGCTGGAAGGGACCCTCGGGTGACGCAGCCGTCGTCCGCTTGCGACGTCCAGGGGATATGATACTGACAGCGACTTCATCAGACTGGACAGGCTTCCCGGAGCTCCTTGCTAGCAAACAAACATAGCGAATATGTAGGATCGTCGTGCGGAACGGATGTGCGCTCCCGAGGGGCCGTACTGTCTGAAATGATTGGACACTGGTCGGGCTGCGTCGAACAAGCTTGTCGGCGGGCAACGCTTACACCTCAGTTCCGGTAAGTGTCGAGTCACTTTGTCAACCTTGCACTTTGCAGTATGCTGCTGCCTTGGTCCGACTTGCCATGCAGGGAATGGTGGCGTTCCCCGCCGGACCTGATTTGCACTGCATGCCATCGCGCGACGTCGCGAGTGCTCAGTTCACGCTCAGCGCGCCTGCAGGTGGTATCACATGGTGTGCAGCGAGGTTGGACATTGAATGGGTCTCGCGATACTCCTGTTTACCCTAGTGTTTCCTGCGTTACATTTACACGAGCGCTCAATACGACCACACTTACTGCTACGCATGTTCGAGCGGGCCGGCTCGAGGACCACTGCAGTTATCGAACCACATATGATCGCTGGCCCCGAACACGAGCTCATCGATAGCATTTGCGTGCGCGGGCCCGCAGTGGAGCCCGGTCATCAAGCAACAGCCTCGCGCGGCCGCGCGGCGACCACAGGACCACCCCCGGCGACCAACGCGCCCCCAGACCCTGAGTCGCCAGACTGTTTCCGCGAATCCCCCGCGTCGCAGCGTGCGCGGGCCCGCGCTCGGTGGTCCCATGACCTCGAGCACTTAAGCTCGTCGCGGGGCCGACTTGCAACACGATCGAGAATCGAGCTCGTGGAGCGTAGTTAGCGTAGCGACTTCGAGCGCAGGCTTTGAGGCTCCTGGCGGTTCGCGTCCCTGGACCTCGGAGTCCGGGGAAAGCACGGTGGCGGCGGCGGCGCGCAAGAGTGGTCGAATCGTGTATAGTGGCCTGTGGCTGGACCTTTGCGCGCATGGCGCTAGAGGTGCGAAGCACAGTGCACACGCAGCTGCGATGTTCTCGCACTCGAGTACCGAGGAAGGAGTAAAAGAACTGTATTGGTATCGACGGCAAGAAGCGTGTGCACGATAATCCTATACAGTCCAGCCACACCCTGCATGCGGGTTCCGCATAGAGGTAGCCCAGCCCCACATTCACCCACCACCCACCACCGAGTGTGCTGATACGCCTTCGATATGCAAGCAGCCACCAGTGCACCACCCCCGATATGCCAAACCGTCTCCCCGTCTTCGCGAACGCACATACGACGTAGGTGCACTTCCTTCCGTGCACTCCGCACCTGCGCTTGGCAGCCCCAAGCTCCGTATACGGGATCCCACTGCACGCAAGGGGCGCTCGCATACCTGTGCGACCATGGGAGCGGCGCGCGGCCGCGCAGGGGCATAGGCCACAGCCCCAGGCGCGAGCTCCGGGGGCCCCCAGGACGCGCAGCGGGGTTGGGAAACTCCGTCCGAGAGCGGGCTTCAATATTCGGTGGGGTGCGGCTGCGACGCGGTGGCATGGAGCATGGACGTAGGCCCGCGTCCGCGTCTGCGTCCGATGCGAGCTCGGAGGCGTGGGCCCGGGACGCCCATATGTGCATACGCCGTACGCCGCAGCGGGGAGGTGAACGGTAGCCGACGAGGGATCAAGGAGTACTGCGTGGATGATGCGTGTGTGGAATCCTGCGGAGGAGGCGACGGGTACCTTGTCCGGGGCGAACATATCTACGGGTGAGTATGCGAATTCGTTTTCTGGCTGCGGGCGCGTATATGTTAGCTGTGCAGGGTCGCGGACGGTGCGCGAATTACCGCGCGGGCGAGACGCTGGGGTGTTCGCTACGCTTCGGCCGCGATGCTTCGGCTGCGAGTGCAGGCCGCGGCATGTATGGGCATTTGCAGGTTGATTTTGCAGCTAGATCCGCGAGGAGGAGTTAGGGGCGTGGTGCGCAGTAGACAAGACGGAGGCGGACGCTACGCGTTAGGAGTAGCAAGCGGAGTACTTACTGCCAGTGGCCGTCTCGGAGTCGGTCGCGCCTGTATGTGTCCTCCGTCTGACAAGGACATGAGGCTGCTGTAAGCTTCCCGTCATCGCCCCACCCTGGCAGCGGAGAAAACAATAACATCAGCGCGCGTCGCGGCGAGGGTCAGCGACGCCGTGAAAGAGGAAGGGCGAAAGGCGGGGCGGCATTGGACGAGCGGGGGGAGGTCGGAGGTGCGGACCGGATGCGGGGCAGCGCAGGCGCCGGCGTCCCTGACGTGGAGATGGGGCGAGTGTGGGTCCGGGGGGCGGGGGAGGGGGAGGGGGAGGCGCTGCATCCAGGCCGTCGGTGTCAGACCCGTCCATCAGGCCTGCGGGGGTCGAGGGGGCCGGCCAGCCGGATGCGCGCCCGCACGTAAACGGACGGAGGTGACGGTAGTGGCTTTGTGGCATTGATGCCGATGTCGGTCTGGTTGAGATCACAAAACGGGGGTGCGCGCAAAATGGAGAGCGGGGGGCGGGCGTGCCAAGCCGACGCGTCGGGCGGTTGATGAGGCATTTGTTGAGCGGTTGGGACGTGGGCTGTTGGCGGCGAGTAGGCTCAGCCTGGCCTATGGGAGGGCGCGGTGGCGGCGGTGAACGTTTGGGCGAGCGAGGTCCAGGTGAGATCGGGAGTCAAGGACGCGGATTGGGAGGGGCGATGGAGATCAGCGAACGTGGGAAGCGACCACTGGAAAGAGGTGCCGGTCGATTCGGATTTGTTTTGAAGTGCCCCTGGACGACTGATGCAGAGCGAAAGTGCGCGCGGGGGTCGTAGAGGACGCAGGAGAGCGTGTGCATGTTGACGAGAACGAGGGAGGCGGACGGGAATTAGAGGCGCATCGACGATCGAGCTTTAGAGGGCAGGGGCGAGGATGGGCAGAGACAGATTACGTCAGGCGCGGGACCGGACGATCGAGTCGGCAAAAGGTAAAAAGACGAGCAACGGTCTTGGATCAACAGTTCGCTCACAGGGGCCACCAATGAAACAGAGCAGATGGACCGCGCGGGATTGGCCAGCGCGGACGCTAGCTGGCCAGGGCGCGCGGCGGGATGATTGATTTCTGACAGGCGTTCAGTATGCGGGGGCGCCTATCTGGGCCTGCGTCTGGGGACGATGTGGGGAAGATCGAAGAGCCGGACCCCGGATGCGGGGGGCTGGGGCTCGGCCGGCGAGAACTGATGGCGGCCCCAGAGCCGCCGCTCGCCGCGAGCGGGGGACCGGCGCCCTCCCTGTTTGGCCCTGATTGGGGGCAGATCGCAGATCGCCCGCTCCCTCGGGACGCGGGGTAAGAATCAAAATAATAATAAGGGCATTATAAGTGAATGCTTGTCTTTAAGCCGGGGATGCGGGGTGCACGGCCGCCCTCTCCTGCTCCTCCTCCTGCTCTTACTCTCGCTCTCGCTCCTCCGCTCCCTCCCTGTCCCCCGCGTCCTCCTCGCCGTCTGCCCCGCTCTCGCTCCCCCACCCTCCGATGAGCTCGTCTTTCTTCCCATCCTACAAGCCTCAGGTCCTCTCCCGCCAAGAGGGCTTCCACCTCCCGTCCCCTCCTCCCTCCAACTCCCCTCCCTCTCCTCCCGCAAACTCCTCCTCCAACGGCAACGGCTCGGGCAACTTCGACAACCTTTTTGTCCCTCCGCTCTTCTCCGTCCCCGACCCCTTCCGCAAGTTCCCCTCCCACCACAGCGATCAGTCTAGTAGCGGCATGGACTTCACCGACGAGCTGGCCTCCCTCATCGGCACCTCCCCCTCTCAGGGACACCCCCACAACAGCTCCCATGAGCGGTCCACTCAATCTCCAGGAGCATACGATGAATACCGATCCCACCACACCCACAACATCTTCGACATCTCCGCCCCCACCTCCCACCACCAGTCCTCCCATCACAACAACAGCAATCATTTCGGCGGCCATCAGAACCCCTCCTTCTCCCTTCCACCAGCGTCCTCTCTCCATTCCGCGAACATCCACGGTTCTTCCTCCGTCCACAGCACACACCCGATCCATGAGTTCTCCGCGCACTCGCACTTTAACTCCACAGTGCCCGCGATAGGCTCCTCCATGCGCTATGAGCCCCCTTCGAACAACCCGTCTTCACCAACAACCGGGAACGGAAACAACCCGTTCGCGGGCGGCGAGCCGTCGTCGTACTCCTCGCATATCTCCAACCTGTCCGGCATCTCCTCGTTCCCGAACATCAACGGCCCGTCCGACTTCCACTTGTCGCAGCCACCAAACAGTGGACCGAACGGGCAGCGCCAGACGCCATCTCCCGTTTCCGCGAACGGCGGAGCAGAGTTCTCGCGTAGCCGATCGCGCTCGCGCGCACCGTCGAGCGCGATGGACCCCGCACACCCTCCGAGCACGAACGGTGGCCCGGCCCGCCGCACGCGCACGAAGCGCAACTCCGTCTCGAGCGTCTCCCCGCCTCCGCTGCACCGCGGACATACGCAGCCGCTTGTCATTCCGAATGGCAACAGCGCCGGGCGGGGCCCCGCGAGCCCGCTTAGCCTGCATACCAGCGGCTGGTTCATGCCGCAGGGCCAGGGCAACGAGTTCGGCCTCCCGACGCCAGAAAGCGTGCATGGTATGTTTGCGCAGCCGATTCGCATGCGTTTCAGTCATTGAAACATATACGAATACAGGCTTTAACGCATTCAACGGCGGAACGAGTTTGGGCAGCGTCGGTCTTGGCGTGAGCCCGAAGGAGGTCAACGTCCCCGGAATGGGAATTGTCGGTATGCAGAAGGGGGAAAGCCCACCAGAAGATATGGCAACGAAACAGTGCGTCTTATCTTTGCTCGCACCTTTCGCGTCCGATGGCTCATTATATGGTCGCTTATCCCTTTCATCTGCTCTATCGCTGCCCGCCTGTATGCGCGCTTGCACACTCCATCGATGACGAAGCAGAGCGTTGATTGCCAACGAAAAGCGTCGCCGGAGGCGCGAGTCGCACAACGCCGTCGAGCGGCGCAGGCGGGACAACATCAACGAGAAGATCTCCGAGCTGGCGACTCTCATCCCAGAATGCCTGCTCGACCCGAATGGTACGCCCCCCGCTTCCGAAACAAGCCTTCCGGGTGCTCATCCTGAGCCGAACACAGCCACGATTTCGATGCCCGCCTCGCTCTCCGCGTCTGGCGAGGACCTCATTTTCGGTGGCGTCCGCATAAGCACGGAGAAAAAGGAGGGCTCTGGCAGCGTGGAACCCGAGGACGCGAATCCGTCGTCGACGCCCACTACCGCCAACGGTGCGAGCGCTGCGAACGGCGGAGATAACGGGAACGCCGTTAAGGCGAACAAGGGCATGATCCTCCGCAAGAGCGTCGAGTACATCCGCTACCTCCAGCAACTCGTCAGCGCGCAGGCGAACCGCAACCGCGATCTCGAGCAGCAGCTGCATGCGTTCCGCGGTGGCGTCCCACCGTCTGCCGGCTCGCCCGCGAGCGCCATGGACAGCGACGGCGAGCTCAAGCTGCTCCCTGAAGTGGAATTTGCTGGGCTCATCAACGGCAGCGGTGCCAATGGTGATGCCACGCCGTCGGCGACGGGCCGCGCGCGTCGCGGGAGCATGCGGAAAAGCTTCCACGAGTTTGGCCTCCCGAGCGTGGAGGAGATGGACCAGGACACGGAGCACGGCGATCTGGACCGGCCCTCGACGTCCGGCACGGGGGTCTCTCCTGGGAGCAGCATGGATGATGACTTGGATGACGACGTTGAGGAGGACGGGGATGAGGACGAGGACATGGAGGAGCGCGGGCGGAAGGGCAGGGACGGGCGCCCGGTCGGCGTCAAGCGCGTGGGGCGGAAGGCTAAGAGCGTGAGCGTGGACGTGAAGGTCAAGAAGGAGAGCGAGCGCGTGGACGGCATGGAGGTCTCATGAGGCTGGCTGGTCGCCCCGCGCCCCTCCCCCTGTCCCGCTCTTCTTCTGCTTGCCATGTCCGCCCTCTCCGCCTTGCCTCGACCACTATGATGCTCATGCCCGCGCCCATGCACGCTATGCCCGCTCATGCCCTCAGGATCGCCCGCTTGCTCCATCATCATCATCTCGCTGTGTATAATATCCGCGCGCCATCTTTCATTGCGTGACACCGATTCCCATCCGCCCGTCATCTTTTAATGAGGTCTCGTCGCTTGGCTACCCTCGCATGTCGCATATTCCCCTTTTCGCGCCGCCGCTCATCCTCACGATCCGCCACGCCCTCCCCTATCCCTACCCGTCATCTTTCCCCCATCCCATCCCCCATCTCGCACGCACCTCGTCTCGCTCCCGCTTTCCCGTCCACGCTCGACTGCTCTAGTGGCCCATTGATTGAACGGCTTCGCGGAAGCGTTTCGCTGTATCTGTACGATCTCCATCTCTCCATCCTGCTTTCTCTATATCTGTGTCTCATACTCTCTCATATTATCTCGTCTCTCGTCTCTTCCTGCCTTATCGCCACGCTTGCCAGTATCTACCCACTTACGACGACCCCATCTACGCCGCCTGCGCGCGCGTGCCGTGTACTATAGTTTCTATCGCTCTGTCCCTCCCCCCCCTCTTGGCACGTGCTAGGTTCCCATCACTGACCACCCTCACCATTGTCCACGCACTGGCTCCGTTGGCCGTCGTCGTCGAGCGACCAAAAGATACGCGTATAATCTAGCGCAATAATGTCTACTGCTGTTGGCATACCCTTCTCTGCGTGCGCGTGTGGCCAAATCTGTCCTTGCAACGGATCTTGTTCGAACGGTGAGCTTGAATCACCGACGATGCCGCCCGAGACGCGTGCGTTGAGCTCTTCGACTCCACAACGGCCGGTGTTCTGCAGTTCTGCAGCTATTTGCGTTTGCGATGCGCGCGACATACATGTTGCACCCCCGATTGTCCTCCCGTTGCCGCAGCGCGGAAACGCCCGGCCATGGCCAGTTCGCCGCGGCGTTCTTGTGCATGCGTTTTTCCTTTCGAGCCTAGTGGGGCAGGGGGAAATGAAGGCAGCGGCAATGTGCGGTATGAATTTTCGAAGGGCGCGATGCGCGAGCAGAGGGTTACATCGAGGGTCGGCGTGCGGCGGGTACGTACATGGGCGCGCTATGCACCCGGGGAAGCAGTGGAAGGGGAAGGGGGGGCCTGGGATCGGCGTGCGCGCCGTGCTCGTCATAGCTTACCGGGTTTGTCGATGCACGGTGTGCGTAATCTTGTGCGTATCTCTCTGTCAAGCCGTCCCGCCGAGCTCGGGGTCTGTATACTGTATGTGTGCGGCTGCCGCTGGCTGGCAGTGGTAGATGTAGAGGGCGGCTTCCAGAGGGGGCAGCTGGGGACTCCGGATGACCTCATGCGCGAAGCGGGCGGTGACGACAGCGCGGCGGCAGTGACAGCACTGTAATGGCCGCTTCGGGGTGCTTCTTGCGTCTGACGCGCTCTCCGCGAGGGTGCCGCTGGTGCTGGTGGACTTGCAGACGGTCTTCGTCCGCAGTGTGCGTCTGTCCGCGAGCTCGTCCGCCCGTCCACCTGCCTGGGCGGTTGGCCGCTGATGAGAGAGGAGTCCAGGTCTGTGGCGCCGGAGCCATTTGCCACCACGGCGACTAGCAAGATCCCCATGCGCCCCTGCTGAGGCAAGATCCAATACATCATTAGCACATCGCAACTCTGACCATGATCATACTAGCGGGGAGCAGGGCACCGAAAAATTCACTCACCTCTCATTCAACCGCGCGGCTGCGGCCCACGAGCCAGCCCCGCGGGTTCGGCGGGTGAGTGGGTGAGTGCGCGCGCATGAGGGGTAGCGGCTTGTACGCGGATTGTACGTACGACGTGACGGGCCCCGCGCGCAGCGGCAGTATTCCATCACCTCCCCGTCTACCGTCGCGGTTCTCGACCGCCGCGCGTGCGCCCAGTGCCCACGGACGCGCTGGTTCCCATCAGGCGTACTGTGCTGAAGCTGAGATGAGGACAGCAGGCTGGCCGGAGACCCCGCTGCGCCGATGGGAGGTCGCCCCTAGGCTTTGCCGTGATGAAGTGCGCGGTGATGGTGATCCTCTCCTGTAGTCAGAAATTTCGATGCTAACTCAGCCCGAGTCGGCAATGGGCATTGCAGCCTTCGTGTGCGAGAGGCCATGCACCCGGACGGACGCCGCGCGAGCTTGGAGCCTCGCGGCCGCTCTCCCTCCCCCTCTACCCCACCTTCGAGCATCCCATAAACTCGCGGTCGGACGCAAGATGGCCAAACGGAAGGCGGTCGTGCACGCACGGCTTCCTCTCGTGCCCGCAGCTTCCCCCGCCGCGCCCCATCGCGGCCGCACGGGCACCACCCAGACTTGAAGCGGCGAGACGGGTGCCCGAGAAGGGCGGGGTGCAGTACCGGGCCCACTCGCGGGACGGGGACAGGGAGCGGGGACAAGGCGTCCAGTCCCCGGGGTCTCGCCTGCCGCCTTCTCCCCAGTGCCAGTGCGCGCGCGTCCGCGTCCGCGTCTTCGTCTTCTTCCCCAAGACACTTAGCCTCGTATGAGTCAATCCAGCTTCCCCCCGGCGCCGCATCTGAGAACCGGGGACGCGCGCGCTGGGAGGTTCGGGCGCCCGTACGGGAACGTCGCCCATCGAGGCCACATCGCAGGGCCCTCATTGGGCCGTACGAGCTGTGTCGGCGGACGTATGGGCAGGACGTTTGACGGGCGGGCGGGCGAACGACGCAGGCCCCAACAGCACCCACTCTCACCGATCGCGATTGCACGAGCGAGCTTCAGGCAGCTTGTCATCTTACGGCACGGCGTAACAGGCTCTGCAGCTGCTCTTTACTTGCTCCCACGTACGTGAACCACGCTTTCCGCGTGTACGCTGTATAGGCTCGCCACCAGCGTGGCATACAGCGGGGGAACGGATGAAAGAAGCAACCGCTCATTTAGAGACCGCGCGTGTGTTGGACAGTGGACATACCAGACAATGTGGGGCGGCGCAGCGGTGAGGCTGCCCAAACGCTAACTGTTGCCTCGCGCGGGCGTCCACTGGCACCGTGACATCCAGGCGTGTGTTCGCAGGGTCCGACAGCGGCTGCCTGCCTGCCTCGCGCTTCGCAGATTCGTAGGTGGCCAGAGACGTAACGCCCGCGCGTGGACGGGCGCCCGGCTGTCCTGCAGGCTCGTCGTTACATCGTCCGGCGGCGCAAGGATGCACCAGCGGACGGAACGCGGGTGGGCTGCGCTTCCTTGGCGTCCGCCAGGATCGCCTCCTGCCATCGAACATACGGTGCGTCCGTGCGCCACGGAGGCGCCCCCAGCGCGAACGGCAATGCGCCCTGCGCGTCGGGCGGCAGCCAGGCACCTGGCGCGCGCACCCCCGTGGAGCGCGCGGCCAGGTCGATCGCCCGGCGAGCATGCAACCGCGGTTACCTATTGCTGCACTGTGGCCCTGACGCGGGGCAGCAGGGGCAACATGGGCACACGTGAGGGGGACGGTGTGTGCGTGCGTACCTGCCGCTGTGCGCGAACCTCGAACTTGCCGCCCGGCGGAGGCTGCGGACCTCGCGCTCCGCTGGGGCCGGCGAACCGCCGCGTCAAGGAAGCTTCCGCGACGGGCAGGCAAGTCGTATTGGGCCAAGTACGCGGCCGGAGCTTGCGCTGGGGAACGCGCCCTCTTCCCAGGCGCAGTTCGCAGAGAAGGCCGCGTTGGAGCAGTGTACGAATCTACGCCACGATGGAAGAGGGCCCCCGGCGTGCAAAGTAGGGCACGTAGGGCGGCATAGGGGGTGAGCGTACGGCATGGGACGCGCTGCAGGGCGTGCACAGATCTCTGGGACGGCGGCGTGAGGGCATGGCGGAGTACTGGGACGTGAAGGTTATCATAGTCGAGCCGTCGTCCAGGGCCTGAGGTGCGCCTGGGTAGGTATGCTGGCTCCGGGGGATCGGAAGGAGCGAGTACACGAGCGAGCCGCCGTCCCGCTCAGGAAGGGCAGAGCGGCTGTAAGGCGGGCGTTCGCTGGATCATGGCGGTGGAGTACTGCGATTGCACGTTTGTGCTCGTCGTTCGACATCATTGGCTCCGCACCCAGACAGCGTTGGCTTGGGGGCTGATCGCGCGGGGAAATGGACGACGGATGGTTGTCGTGTGCGTAGGCGTCGATGTCAGTGCCGTTGCCTGGAGAGGCGCAGGCGGCGGCAGCAGCGGCCTCGGCGACGAGCACGAGCGCACGAGGAATCCCCGAAGCAGGATCAGAAGGCGTGAGATCAGCCCAGACAGTCCCCGTCATCTCTCACAACGTTCAGAGTTCGCACTAGAAACGGCAGGTCCGTTCCTGCACGCGCCGTGGGAGCAGCGAGAAGAGGAAGCAGCCCGGTGCCGAGATTAATGTGGGGTAAGAACCAATGGCGATAACAGAGCTAGGTCGCAGACGGAGGAGATGGGGCTGCGATAACGGCGATCGTTCTGCGATAGGATGGTAAGACCTCCAGTAGTGGGACGCCTGCAGAAGATGCCGGATGCAGACCGCGATCGTGCTGGTCCTGTTGACCTCAGCGAGCTCGGGGGAGACGCCGCGTGAGGGCGCGGGTCGTGAACTCAGCAGGTACGCGAGCTGCCTTCCCAAACGCCAGAACAATACGGGCCAGGCGGCGGTACTGTGTCCGGCGCGGAGCTTGATTATCGTATGTCCATCGTAACTCCTTCAAGACCGCCGTCAGGCCTCGTGTTGTTAAGGAAGGATGTCGTTCATGACCTGGGAATCGCATCAGGAGATTATGCACGTCTGTAAGCATGTCGCGGGACCCGACTGTGCGAACATACCTGAGACGAGTAACGGCGTCCTTACCGGCATATTTACGTCCTCCCGATGCTCGCGCCCTTGGCAAGAGGTAACACACCGCGAGCCAGAAGCTTGAACAGACGTCCGTCCATTAACCGCGGCATAACATGGGAGGTTGCATAAAAATGCAGCTAGCATCTGTCCAAAACGTAGGTGAACAGTCCGCATCGGTTATAGTGGCGAAGTCGTAGAAGGTGGACCATAGCTTACCGTACACAGTCCCAGGCTGTCATGAGCGAGCTTCGATCGAGGTGCAACGTTGGAAGCTAATTCCCATCTAGGAGGTGGGAGTATGAATGAGGTTATGTTATAAATCCAGAGATATTTTCACCGAGGAGCCTACCGTAGAATACTTAACTGCCACAGACAACAACACGTGTGGACGTCTTCGCTGTATAGAGTGACAGGATAACTCTAACAACGGCGACATATCGCAAAGGGTCCACCACGGACGGGTATCATTCGGTGCGGACTGGGCACCGAGTCCTCGATGCCGCGTCCACGTGGCCGAAGGGCGTCCGACCCGGGCATGCGTTGGGGGCATCAAGGGTCCTCTCTTCTGGCCCCGAGGAACGCTAAGCCGCGTATAAAAGCCTATTTGTGAAGGAGGGAAGCAGTGAGCAACCGACTTGAACTAGATGTTCGGGTGAGAGGCCACCTTCGTATTCCCTTTTGCTGTCGGATTGGAAGCCCGAGTACAAAGTAGCTAGTGCTGCATCTTGAGACGCTTAGGTAGCTACGGTATCACAGGTGCCGAGCTGCATTGAAGCGAAAAGTGCTCGCGACTGACCCGGGGCGGCACGAAGCTGAACCTACGAAAACTCGGATGGAGGTGAGTATATGCGGGCAACTTGCCTCACACTGGCCTGGCTCTTTATCTTATATAGATGTGAGTTAGTAGGTACAATACAATCCGAACACCTGGAATGCAATGTGAAGGCACATCGGCAGCCGCGGTGCAATGCCAACCGGTTGCGGTCGAGCCACAAAAAAATCAGTACGACGCGGAGAGATGAACTTACAGCCAGAAGTCAGAAACTCGGTCCACATACTTGAGGGTGAACGGCGATGCTTCGCACGCCAGATCCGATCCCACTAAGTTAGGTACTGCAGATTATATTTGTAACTTATCAGGTATAACATGATTGACTGCATCTTATGACAGGACAACGAACGCAGCCGTTCAGGACATTGGCACATTGTAACACCGGGACAGAGGCAGAGAGCCGGCGATGATATCTGCCACAGCTTCGTAAACCCAACGAGAGAGACGGATGCATACAAGTAGTATAGCGCCACGCTCGTCAATGGGAATTATATCGTACTCGCGTGTAAATCTAATCATGACTTCTGCTTCCAACATGCAACGCACCGGGAGTATCACGGGGAGGAGCGGGACGCGGGCGGAGCCAGCAAGGCTCACGACCGCGATGATATACATGAGCTGAAATTCGCGTGGAGGTCGGAGACGCTGAGCCGGGCACTGCGCGTGTCATTATATTATTGCTTGAGATAGGTGAGACCGAGATTAACCACCTATACACACGAGGAGAATGCATGCGGAGCGCTGACGGGTGGTCGGTTTGAGCGTGCAACTGAGACTGCTTGTGGCAGTCGGCAGGAAAGACAGAACACCGAGCTTGCCAAGGCTTTCAACGGGCTGAGGAATGCTCCAGAGAAACGGCGACAGAAGAGCGAGGCCCAGCTCGCGCGAGCTCAGTGGAGTGCGAACGCGGGCGCTGGGCAGTCTAGTCGACCACTACCACACAACATGCAGCTGCAGTCAGCTCACACAACGAGCGAACGGGTCGCACGGCGGAATGATGTCCGCGGCCACGTATCGATCTGAATACATATTCTCGACGCGTTGGATACCTGCGGGGAAGCGGACCGAATTAGACACTACTGCTCGATATGAGGGGATACTAACGCTAGTAAGGCACTTACAACTTATCAGCTCTCGCAGCGTGCTCTGTAAGCCATTGGTATGGGTGCATATAGTGATATAAAAGCGCAAGAAAGGCTTTGTGGAGGCATCCAGGGGAATCCCTGAACAGGGGGGACGATAGTGAAAAGTCGACGAGGCGGATAGGACACAAAGTGAGCGAGTCGCGTCCGTGCAGACGCCACAAAGGACAAACAAAGGCAAGCTGATTCAAGCGCCCTGGAATGAAGGAAATTTACGGAAACCCACGGACGAAGCCGGGTTCGCCTGGATTCACGTGACCGATCCATTTCTCATAGGCAAGACCGATTCTTTGTGGAATCGGAAAGTATTATCTCAAATGTACTGGTGCGATATCTTTCATCTTACCTCACTTGGTTGGTATGTGTGTCGATACGTAAATCAGGACTGAGAACTGCGGGTCATGGGCGTCGAGCTGGTGGTACGGAGGATAGAAGTGTGGATGGGCGCTAATGGAACGTCCGCGCCTTGCTTCTCTCCTTCGCATCCGACGCCTACGAGATGTTGCCTCAACAAAATGCCCGCGCATATATGGTACGAGTATCAGTATATGTGTGGCGTAATCAACCTGTGTACAGTATAGAGTGAATTCACATAAAACGTGTGCGCAGTATCACCACCGGCCGGCGGCATGGCATACAACTATCCACAACTTGAATATTCAGTATGGCGGCCCGCGCAGCCATACAATACGGCACCCTTGGTGTATCATGAGACTGCGCGGTCTAGCTCACCCGCACTTGATAAGCTCAATCTTAAATGACAGTGGAACGTCGATCAGAGGGCATCCGGATCCAGTGGTGCAGTCCGTTTGACACCGTACGGCGGTGACGCCCTCAAACTTCAGCTTCAAGGGCTTCCACTACTTTCCAGACCCCTCTCCATACGACATCGAACGCTGAAAGAAGCGTCCTCGGGCTTCCGTTTACGGCGCCATACATTGCAACTAACCCCGAGAGCAAGACTTCGACGAGCCTGGGACACTACAGGTGCGTCTATGCGCATTACGCGAACATCTTACCGAGTCATCCTGAGTGACTCCGCCACAGTGGCCATGCACTAACTCGTCTTGCTCCCATCAGGTACAGGTCGACGGGATAACTAAGCGGGCACTGCATCATAGAGGGAAAAAACAACACTCTTCTCCCGCCGTCATACACGCCCTGCCGCAGACCGGGGCGCTCGTGTTACGATGTCCTACGTCAACAGCTACACCCCATCGCGAGAGACGACGGTACCGGACGCCGAGCTCTATGGACCCGATCCATACGACATCAACTTCGCCTTCCCTCTCTACCCGGAAACACTCAAGACACCCCGCGTCAAACCCGTTCCCTTCATCCCGCGCATCCATGCAGACGCATACTGGGCGAACGTCAAGGACCGTCGCGCCGAGCTCTTCCGCTACTACACGCGCTTCTTTGACACCCTCCCCGAGTTCCTCGCTTTCCACGAACTTTACTTCCGGCGCAACCCACATCAGCTCCTCCTTGCCATCGTCGACAAGACGCGCCCGGACCCTGCACACTCCGAGTGGGGCGGGAGCTTCGTTGGCGTCGTCGGACTCATCAACACCTCCGCAGCGAACCTACAGATGGAGCCCGGCTGGGTGCTCGTCTTTCCCGAGTTCCAGCGCACGCACGTCGCGAAGACGATGGTCGCGATCGTGCTGCACTACATCCTCCAGATGCCGACCGCGTCGCCCCCGGGGCTCGGGTTCCGCCGTGCGCAGTGGTGCGGGCACGCGCTGAACGCGCCGTCGATCGCGCTCGGGGAGCGGATTGGATTCAAGCGCGAGGGGACCCTTCGGAACGCCATCGTACTCCCGGAGGAGAATGTGGAGTATGGGAGGCAGGGCCGGCTGGGAGACGCGCTCGAGGGACGGTCGAGTCGGGATACGGCGATCCTGTCTCTGTGCTGGGATGACTGGGAGAACGGGAAGAGGGAGAAGGTGCAGGCGTACATAACATAGGGTTTCCTATTTACCTACGAAGTACACACTGTTATTTATGAACGACACACGGTTGAAGACAAAGGTACTGGTAATGCTACAGGTGCTTGAACTCGACGAAGTGCAGGTTGCATGAAGGTTCGTGAGATTAGATTAGATAGCGTCACAGCCGTCCTCGTGAATGATCGACGCGCGTTGTGGCAATCTTGGCAGCCACCGCTCCTTGTCCTCCTCTTCCACGGCGGCGCATAACGAGGCGTACAGCGCGCGCTGCTCACATCAGCCAGTACAAGTTGTGCTGAGACAACCCACCTGTTCTTCTCCTAATAGCATCCTTATCTGCGCTTCGAGCAGCATGGCCCCTACCGATCATGTTGGCAGCCCTGCAGAATCCAAAACCGGAGTGTTAAATGCAAGCTCCACCGGTTCTGACGAGTCCGAGGACAAAGTTCTCCTCACAGATAGTCGAGAATCCTCTCCGTCTCAACTAGATTTCTCAGAGTCTTCCGAAGGCGAGCATCAGGAACAGCAAGGCGACGAGACGCAAGATGCCGGTACCCCAGACCGTGCTGTGCCAGTGGCCACAGGTACGCTATGATACACCGCCGTCAGAGTCCCCCCCTACTTCTCGGGTTTTGATCCCGCCGCCGCCAGTAAGCTTAGGTCCGAATGCGTTCAGTGACGCCATACGCTATCTCGACCAGGTCAAGGCGCAGTTCTCGGAGAGGCCGGACGCGTACAAGACTTTTCTGGAGATCTTGCAGGATTTCAAAAACGGGCGGTAAGTAACGGACATCTGTATTCTTGCCTGATATCTATCCTGAGTATTGGTGCAGCCTCGACACACCAGGCGTTCTTGAGCGTGCAGCCATTGTTTTCCATGGTCACCCGTCCCTCATGCAGGGAATGAACACTTTTATTCCTAACGAAAACCGGATGATGGAGACCGTGTCCAAACCAGTCACACCGGGTGAGAATCTGGTTACTCCAATGAGCAAACTGTAAGGACCCGGGAGGTAAGTTTTTCTAAAAAAAATCAATATTCGTATAATGTGCCCATCTTACCGTCATAGAGGTTTCTGTAACAATACGTGTGCGAAGACGAGGAGAACTGTGAGTGACGTGACACTTATGCGATCCCGTTTCTGAGCATCGTATCTAGATGTTGTCAGGTATATACATTTGCTTGACGAGCCCTGGAAATATTTCAAACGGAATGGCCACCTGTACCGGCTTCATCATCTCCATGGCGTGCGTCAGGACTGGCACGCCAGGCGTTGGCGGCGTGTGAGTGGCCTCGGAGGCCTCAATGGACGGCGGCAGGAGTGGTGAGTATTCGACGGACGCATCCCAAGGTAAGTACTTGGCAGAAGGGCATCAGAACTAAAGGGTCCGCAGCATACGTGCCTAGGCGGGCTCAGGCTAGCCCCAAGCGATCCGAGAGAGTGTGCACGCGAGAGCGTTCACCCCACGTCTATCTCAAGCCATACATGTCGACGGATGCCTCGGGTCGGCGGTCCCAAGCGGTATGTAACCATCCGCAGCTGAGTCTACTGCTCGAGCGTTCAATCGAACTTTTTTGTCGTTGTAGGGATTCAGGCCCACCGGGGAATTTCACCGCTGGTCGGATGAAGGATACAGATCCCGAGCGCCGCACCGATCAAACGCACCACAGAGTGAGCGGTACGTCCACCGAACCCACGTTCCTGGGCCCCAACTCACCGTCGGAGTCACAGTAGGGCGATCGAATAGGCGCCGACGGGCCTCCGCCCATCCCGTAGTGCTTGCATCCGGAGCGTTAGCGATCCTGCCATGCAGATGTGCAGCCTTAGCGAAACGCCCACGCGGTGCTGCGTGGGCAAGGGCCTGGCGATAGGCGTCAACGGAGCCAATCCGAAAATACGCTCTCGCCCTCCTGAACTGGTGACTCGCCACGATCGCTAATTGCTATCCCTCTCGCAGGTGGTTTTCAACCTTGCGGATAGTACGGACGAGCTATATAAAGCTAGCTGTCAATTGTGCTCCAGCCGTCGAACTTCGAGGACGACCTACCCGCGACAACATGGCTTTCGTCAACCACTACACCCCGCAGCCTGAGCCCGAGTCATCGCTCCCCGACGACGAGCTTTATGGCCCAGACCCGTACGACATCAACTTCGCCTTCCCTCTCCACCTCGATACCCTCGAGACCGCCCGCGTCAAGCTCGTCCCCTTCATCCCCCGCGTCCACGCCGAGACGTACTGGGAGAACGTCAAGGACCACCGCGCGGCGCTCTACGCCTACTACTCGCGCTACTGGCGCTCCCTGCGCGACTTCCTCGCCTGGCAGGAGGTTTACTACCGGCGCAACCCGGTGCTGCTCAACCTCGCGGTGATCGACAAGACGCGCCCCGACCCCGCGCACCCCGACTGGGGCGGGAGCCTCGCGGGGCTCGTCGGGCTCATCAACACGTCCGCGCCGAACCTACAGATGGAGACCGGGTTCATCATGGTGTTCCCGGACTTCCAGCACACGCACGTCGCGAAGGAGATGATCGCGGTGAGCCTGCGCTACATCCTTCAGCTCCCGACGCAGTCGCCGCCCGGGCTGGGTTTCCGCCGCGCGCAGTGGATCGCGAACGTGCACAACAAGCCGTCGGTGGGGTTGGCGTTGCGGATGGGGTTCAAGATGGAGGGGACAATCAGGCATGTCGCGGTGCTTCCCGAGGAGAACACGGCGTACGGCAACAAGGGCCGGCCTGGAGACCCGTTCGAGAAGCTGACGAGCCGAGACAACGCCCAACTGTCGCTGTGCTGGGACGACTGGGAGAACGGGGAGAGGGAGAAGGTAGAGGCCCTGATTGCTTAGGAGGGTTTGGTATCGTAAATGTTGCGCTCGGCTTGCGAAACTTTCTGGGTTTTCGATCATCTCATGCGCACATCACATGTATTTCTGTAAGAGGCCAGATATGAAATTGGGTATGCTCCATAGACGGTGACAGCGGGTACATAGTATAAACTCGATAATGAAACGGGAATAATGAACCGGAGCATATCACTCGCATAACCCGAGAACTAGCGGTGAATGTGGTTTGACAAAGGCTAAGTCACAATGCACAAGATCAGCTGGCATTTCAAACGCACATCGCAACGATATACACTTACCAGAGGAAGCCTGCTCGATGGCGCTGTCCCGCGTCGCGCTCGAGATGACTGCAGACTGGACCATCCGGTCCATCAGCTCCCGAATCCATCCCTGCGCATGCGCGTCGTGCATGTCCATGTCCGCCGCATCCAAGCGCTCTAGCGGCGTCTCCGCCGCGAGCGCTTCGATTTGCTGGCGCGCAGAGAGGTCGACGACCGCGAGCAGGAAGCGCTTCGCGAGCACCGTCCCAGGACCTGCAGTCTTGGTGATCGCGCCCCCGTAAACATATCTCGGGGGGTCCGTTTCGAGTCCGGACTCGTTCTCGTATGAGTCGAGGTGGATGTGCCGCCAGGCGACCATCTGCGACACTGTGGGACCACCGACGGGCCATGCGATGTCCCAGCGCGTACGGTGCGGGTCGGTCGAGGTGTGCGAGGGGTAGGCGAAGAGGTAGACGGGCGCGGGAACGTCGTGGTCGTGTGCGAGCCAGTCGTCGCTGGTGGTTCCCGAGAACCGGGTGTGGGCGTTAAGGTGTTCCTGCACTTGGAGGACTTCGACCATCAGGTGTGTGTAGTGACTGCAAATCCGAACGTCAGCAAATGTAATCCAAGGCAAGGTAAGGATCTACCTATGATGTGCGATGTGTGTTGTTTGGGGTAGCGCTTCTCGTTAGATGAGGGATGCAGAAAGTCAGAGCTCACTGTCCCGCCGCCTTATACTGTCGACGACAGACAGGCGCACGGGCGCTAGATCGTGTCAGGACCATACTCGACCGCACTGGATTGCACCTAGAGCATGGGCTCTCAGTGAACCTACGCTTATCTATGAAGGGCTGGCGTAGAGAGAGAGAGATAACGGGGAGACTAGGGTGCCGCAGTTGCTGGGGCCCCGAGGTCGCTCTCATAGGCACTCACATCTCGGTCTAGGCCCTACGGTCCACCGCGGTCTAGGCGTAGCATCACCAGCCGAGTACACCTGCGCCGGCACAGAAGGTTGGAGGGTTATGTCATGAAAGCGTTGACATACCAAGTACAGTAGACATATGCGAATTAGAAAAGACGTAAGTATAGAGGTGCGAAGGAATCAACTGAGTGTCTAGACTGGGGTTGTTGTCAGCGCTAATCGAACAAGATGAACTATACGAACGTACAGTCGGAAGCTTGGAGAACGATTCGATCTCGCCTGTTGCTCGACACAAGCCCCGAAGCCACCATAGCGTCCAGCAGCTTCTTGACCCACACCCTGCTAGCTTGAACGGCGGACCCAAAGTGCTCTCCCGAAGAAAGAGCGTAATCGACTTGCGCGAGCTGCTCGATCTTCTTGCGCATAGCGAGTGTTGTATTCACGAGCATGAACCGCTTCGCAGTACCCGGTCCATCTGTCTTCGTGATCGGTCCCGAGTAACCGTACTGTGTTCCCTCGTCCGGGTCCACCAGCGACATACAGGCGTCAACACGAATGTGGCGCCACGCAGTCATGCGCTGTTCTGTCAGACCACCGACAGGCCATGCGATGCACCATTGAGCGTCCCGGAAGCCTGTGGCGAGCGTAGGCTGTACAAGGAGGTAGACGGGTGTCTCGACGTCGTGATCGCACCCGAGCCAGTCGTCCGCAGACCCTGAAGCTGCAGGTGTGTGTTGCTTGTGGTCTTGCGCGATGGTGATTTCACCCATGTTCGTGGCTATAGCTGGAACGTGAGTTCGGATAAAAGGACCTTGACGACAAGTGTAGCCGCACCTCGCGCGAAGTCAGTTGTGTTAGATGCGATTGCGGGTGGAAAGGAGGAAACTCGTAAGGGCAGCAAAATAAGGGCGACCGTTTTATACGCCATATAGTGGCTAACGCGCTTATACACGCTATTGAGCCACAGTAATGTATGGATTGTCGCCGGAGCCATGGCGCCAGACAATGACTCGCCGTTTCCATCCTTGATCCGAGAGCGCAGGCTGGACGGAAAGAGCGGACAAGCGTCTTTGTCAGACGTATCGAGCCACTTCCGGTTCGAAGTTCACCGGAGTGGCAGCAAGAGTCATCAAATGCGATGATAGGTACTGTTCCGCATCTAATACCTGGTAGAGACTCTCATATGCTGAGTGTCGTTGAGCAAGCGTGTACTGTTGCCAAAACACTCTTGAACATGCGAGGAAGTGAGTCGACCACGTAGACACGGATGAGCCGCGTTTCAAGAAAAGACAAAAACCTAGCAGGGAGCTTCGTTCAAGCAGGTGCAGCAGAGAGCGCGAGGTGAAGATGAGACGATGATGGCCGTTCCAGCTCAAGCGCTGGAACTTGAAGCAGTGTCGCGGCAAAGCCGGCGCCGCTCGCGTGACCGCCTTCGGTAACCATTTCAGTCACATCATACTGAACGCCGTGACCAATTGTGTCAAAAGAAGCTAGTTCTTCCCTCCGTCCAGTGGTAGTATACAGGTAATTCATGACAAAAACGCCTCACTCCTTGAGCGCGGGGGTATCCGCAAACAGGAGCTCCTGGATCCCGGGCGGGTACCGAGCGCCCTGCTCCGCATCTGCCGCAGCAGCGGCCTTGCGGACCTCCTCGACGTCCTCGGGGCTGAGCTTGATGGACAGAGCACCCAAGTTCTCTTTCAAGTTCTGTAAACGGAATTTAGTCGGTGCATCATGGAACCAGATCAGCGGCACTCACAGAGATCTTGGTGGTCCCGGGGATGGGAATGATGTCGTCGCCCTGCGCCAGGAGCCACGCGAGCGCGACCTGGCCCGCAGTGGCGTTGTACTTCTTCCCGATGGTGGCGAGTCCGTCGGCGAGCTTCACAATGTTCGGAAAGTTCTCCTTGGAGTACCGAGGGACTGCGCGGCGCCAGTCGTCAGTAGCCAAATCGTCGGGGCTCCGCTATGATGGGGTCCGAGAAATTAGAATGACTGAGTTCTCTAGAGTGGTTGAGAAATGCTTACGTATCGCCCGGTAATCAGGCCGCGTCCGAGAGGCGAATAGGCCACGACGGCGACGCCCAGCTCGCGGGCGGTCTTCAAGAGGCCGATCTTCTCGTCCTCGATGTCGAGCGTGAAGGGAGAGTACTCGACCTGGATCGCAGCAATGGGGTGGACTGCGTGCGCACGACGGAGGGTCTCGGCAGAGATCTCCGAGAGACCAAGGTGCTTGACTTTGCCCTCCCTTTGAATCGAGCGTCAGCAGAACGCTCATAAGCCGTGCGGAGAGTAATCTCACTTTACGAGCTCCGCCATGGCGCGTACGGTGAGCTGGGAAATCCGTCAGCGAATCTGACCGATGCGCACGGAAATGTTGTTCAAAGACGTACCTCGATCGGAACAGTCGGGTCGGCCCTGAATAACAGAAGGCCCGTCAATCACGGCATTTTGGCAACATACCCGTGCCAATCCATGATACGTACCTGTGGAGGTAGTAGAGGTCGATAGTATCAACGCCGAGTCGCTTCAGGGACTTCTCGATGGCCTTGCGGACGTATGCGGGGTCTCCGCTGATAACTTTGCCAGGCTCCGGGGCGAGACCGAACTTGGAAGCGAGGAATATCTCGTTCCTCTTGCCGGTGCGCTTGAACCTAGCGCAGGAGACCGGGGGAATTCAGTAAGTGCGTCCTAAATTATAAACGGACCGTCGAGATACGTACCATGCGCCAATGAGGTCTTCGCTATCGGCGTAAATGTCGGCGGTGTCCCAGTTCGTGCACCCTAGCTCGTACAGAGTGTCGAGAACCTGACAGGAGCATGTTCTTGTTGACGCGCAGCCTTGGCAGAGCAGATGATTCGACCCCACCTTGAAGCGCTCTTCCTCAGTAAGCTTGTCACCGTATATAGCGGCAATGCCCATGGCTCCGTAGCCTATAGCGGTAACGTCGACACCGCCAATGTTGCGTGTGGGGAGTGTAGCGGGAGACATGTTTGCGATAATAGGAGTGGCTGTCGAGGATGTGAAGGCGGGGTTGTTATGTCTGTTGGGTCCAGACGGCGCTGGGCTATATACTCCCACATTGTGCGCTATCACCGTTGCCGTATGAACACGCAAGCAGGTTTGAACGCGCAGCTTGAAGAGGCCCGGTGAGGTGTGTTAGGTGACGTATACTCATAGGATCCGCCGTGGATGCTGCTGCTAGCCTAAGCGATTCCGATCGGGATTGGTGTCTGGGAAACCAGGATTCGAAAACGCAATTCCTAGTGCAATGACGTGAGCCATAGAACACATGCAAAGCCTCATTGGACGAACCTACGAGTACGCATCGAAATGAACCCTGCACCAAGGTCCAGCGGGGCCCTCGATGATCAAAATCAAAACGGAAATAACATGAAAGGGCGCCTATCGGGCGCCCCGATAACCTCTTGGATAACCTCGATCCTGATCAGAAGCGCCCAAGGCTCTCCTCCTCCCAACGGCCAAGCGATGCACGCCGCCGCGTTGTCGACGTATCTGCTCGGCGAGTGGCTATACATGTATCCTTGTGTACTAACAACATCTCCTCCGCATCTATCTCCGAGGCTTCCGTCGATCAAGTTCAAGGCTATGCTCGACTTCTCACTGAGTTCACCTTGCACCTACTCCCTGCGCGACAAGTTGACTACTTCGACATAGGTCCGCACGGACCTCGGCAAGAACACATCCGTTCTTGACAGATTTTCTTTGACGCGACTCCGCAGAGTGTCTCCCAGACTGTCAGATCAAAATTGTGGCCGCAGTGCAGCGGTCTAGGATAACACCGTTTGCCATTCCCGATCGGACACTGCAAACATCAACAGTGCACGCCGGCTGCCGCACAGATCCATCTGAGACGGCGTTGTACGCCATAGGCATCTGTGCCGCATACGCGTCCCCATGGCACACCCGAACGAGGGCGATCATACATAAGACCGCCCACCGGGTGCTAACTTGAACTCCCCAACTTCTGTCTTTGCCCACCATACTTTCTCTACGTGTTAATCGCTTACTGCACACCTCTATACACACTCCGGAAGCTATGCGTCTCGTACTTACTGGTGTTACTGGTGTTGGTGCGTACTTTCTACATCCATTATGCAGCACGCGCGCTTACGATTTGAATCTTCTACAGCTGGTCTCGCAGCCTATCGTGCTGCTCTGGTGGACCCTGCTATCGACGGCGTCACTCTCCTCACTCGTCGACCCGTGCCCTCGTGGGCCAAGCTTCCTCCGCAAGCGGTCGCCAAAACTACTACCATCCTCCACCAGGACTTCAAGTCATACCCGGCAGATCTCGCGCAGCAGCTGGCGGAGCACGACGGGCTCGTGTGGGCGCTGGGGAAGAGCTCGGTCGGCATGTCGGAAGAGCAGTACACGGAGCTCACCTACAACTACACCATGTCGGCGGCAAAGGCGCTGAAGGAGGCTGGCGCGGGTTCCGAGGAGAAGCCCTTCCGGTTCGTGTACGTCAGCGGAGAGCACGCCGACCCTACCGGGGAGTCGCGGCAAGCGTGGGCGCGCGTAAAGGTTCGTATGATTTATTCGCCAACGAGTCTGAAGTATCGCTTGCTCATGCCGCCTTGTCTTGCAGGGCCGCGTCGAGCGCGAGTTGCCTGAGCTCTTCCAGGGCACGCACATGAAGGCGTACGTCCTGCGCCCGGGCTACTTCTTCCCATCAAAGGCCTACCCCGAGGACCGGCAGAACCAACGGAGCCTCACATTGCGCATCGCCGACGCTGTACTGGGGCCTGTGCTCGCAACGCTGATGCCTCAGGGCGTTATCCCGACGGAGGAGCTGGGCCGCTTCATGATCGAGCTGGCGAAGGGGCGATACCCCGACCAACAGTTGTTTAGGAATGCGGAGATGAGGAAGTTGGTGAAGGAGCTTTAGTGTCTTCCTTCGAAATATCGAGGCCTTTTGCGTAGCTTGTTTAGACTTGGGGCTTCCTCACTTTCTTCTTGCGCAGTACTCTGGACTCGCGAGCTTTATACCCTACTGTTACAGTCGTCAAAATTCTAGTCGCCGTGTGCCATCCTCACAAACCATTTCCGCAATATATGTCGATATCACGTCAACACGCAGTAAGTAAGTTACGGTCCGAGGGAGCAGATCTGAGAAACAAAGGATGTGCATCTGGGAATCGAATAGGAGTGAAGTGAGATAAGATTAGATGATGTCAACTAATCTCCCCGCTGCGGGCGTCTGTGCGCACGATCGACGTTGCGGGCAGGGCAATCTCAGCCACCGCTCTCTTCCTCCTCCTCCCCGTCCCCCTTGCACCAGCTCGCTGCTTGTCTCGACTACCCCGCGTTGGAGGCACTAGGAGTACTTCAGCTCTGTATTGAAATCTGTGCCGAACATACAGAGCGAGCATACGGTGCGTGCTGCTGGTGTCAATCACAAGTCGTGCTCAGACCAACCGTCTTTCTTTGCCATATAGCGTCATTCTCTGAAGTCCGTCATGGACGCTAACGAGAGCAATCTACAAGAATCAAGTACCATCTCACATCCTGGGCCGAGCGGTTCTGGCTCAGCATCGAAGGCACTGCTCGCGGGTAGTCGGCCCCCTTCCCCGCATCACCCGCAACCCGTCAAGCCCTCCGAGGGAGAGCTTCAAGGCCAAGTAGGCCATGCAGTACCAACAGGGGATCATGATTACTCTGGGGCGGGAGGTGCGTTGTATGCTGCCGTCCTCGTCGCTGCGCGTACTCAAATTGCGGCCCATCTTGCAGGTTCGGAGCGGCCACTCAACGTCAGCGACGCCCTCGGTTATCTCGACCAGGTCAAGATGCAGTTCTCCGAGCGACCAGACGTGTACAACAAGTTTCTGGACATCATGAAGGACTTCAAGAGCCAGCTGTGAGCCATTTTGCCGCAGTTCCGTTCATTGTAGTATAGACTCACTTGCGCGCGTAGCATCGACACCCCAGGCGTTATTGAGCGCGTGTCTAATCTCTTCCACGGGCATCCGTCCCTGATCCAAGGATTCAACACTTTTCTTCCCGCCGGCTACCGGATCGAGACCACATCCCATCCCGACCCCAACTACATCACCGTCACAACGCCTGCGGGTACTACGACGCAGGCTACAAACAGCGTTTTCAACTACGGTGGAAACGCCGAACACGCCCCCCTACCCCCGCCGCCAGCTAGCCATGAACCGGAGGCACCCATAGTGTCGCAAGAAACCCTGAAGCCCGCCCTCGACTATGTCACCAAGGTTAGGACGCGATACGCAAACGAGCCGGAGATGTACAGGAAGTTCCTGTCGATTCTCTCGGAGTCTTCCGGGACGATGCAAGATCACAAGGATATCCGCGGGATGGAGTCGTGGTCGGTGGCGTGCTTGTCGGCCAAGTATCCGCAGGGCGAGACGTTGCGCAAGATCGGCGTGTTGCTGCAAGACGCGCCTGACTTGATGCGTGACTTCATACAGTTCTTGCCGGACGAGCAGACGCAGAAAGACGAGCTCGCGCGCGTCGCGAAGCTGGAGGAGCAGAGGAAGGCCGCGGAGCCGAAACCGAAGAGAGGCGGCGGCGACGGGCACGCGTCATCTTCTACCGCCGTCCCCCAGAAGAGGAAGAGGAAAGTTGCAGATCGCGACAAGGAGAAAGAGCTTCCTGCGAAGAGCAGCGCAAACAAGGTACGTCTCCATCTGTTGCGAGAAATGGGAACTGTTTGCTCATAGCTTCTACAGAAGACGAAAGTGCAAGCGTCGAGCGAGGCACCTTCACCGGCTTTAACTCAGCGGCAGGCCGTCCCTCCGCCTTCTCCACCCCGCGCGCCGCCTCAGCCGCCTCCACAGGCGTTCTACCCTCAGCACCAGCAGCCCATGCCTCTCCCCCAACATCTCCCGCAGCCCATTCAGCAATCAAATTCGCTTCATCCCAGCGACGACCGACATTTCTTCGAGCGCGTCAAGCGCGCGCTCGATAACCGCGACACGTACAACGAGTTCCTCAAACTCGTCAACTTGTTCACGCAGGACATCATCAACACCACCCGTCTTGTGCGGGAGGCGAGGTCATTCCTGGGTGATGGCGAGTTGATGGCGCAGTTCAAGGCTATCCTTGGCTGGGATGAGCGCAAGGACTGGATCGCGGCTGAGGAGGAGGCGTGGACTCGTCCTATGGGAGCGCTGGATCGGCCCAGTCGGGAGCAGCTGCATACGCGATATGGGAGCTACAGGAAACTTCCCGCCCACGTACGTGTTATGTATCAATCCGCGGGTCGACTGTACTTACATTCTTCTAGGAGGTCCACGTGCAATGCTCCGGCCGCGATGAGATGTGCAATGCGGTGCTGAACGACGAGTGGATCTCGCAGCCCACGTTCGCGAGCGAGGACGCAGGCTTCATCGCACACAAGAAGAACATCTACGAGGAAGCCCTACACCGTAGCGAAGAGGAGCGACACGAGTATGACTTCCACATCGAGGCCATTCATCGCACGATTCAGGTCCTGGAACCGTTGAACAACAAGATCGCGCAGCTCACGCCCGAGGAGCGCGCCAACTTCAAGCTGAAGCCCAACCTCGGTGGCGTTGGGAAGGCGATTCACCAGCGCGTGATCAAGAAGATATACGGGCGCGACCCGGGGCTGGAAGTCTGGACGGCAATGCAGGAAGTGCCGGCGACGGCGATCCCAGTGGTGCTCACCCGCTTGAAGCAGAAGCACGAGGAATGGAAACGTGCGCAGCGCGAGTGGGACAAGGTGTGGCGCGAGGTCGACCTGCGCAACTACCACAAGTCGCTCGACCACCAGGCGGTGACGTTCAAGGCCGCGGACAAGAAGGCGGTCACGCAGAAGGCGTTCGTGTCGCAGATCGAGGCCGCGCGCGATGAGCAGCGGGTGAAGCGGGCGGCGCTCATCGACCCGCTGTTTGCTCGCACGAAGCCGCGGCACCAGCTCGAGTTCGTCGTGGAAGACACTGCGGTGCTGCAGGACACGCTGAAACTCACGTTCTCGTTCCTGGACCGCACGCAGGGGCAGATCGCGCTCGTGGACCGGAAGAAGATCGAGACGTTCCTGCGGTCGTTCGTCCCGTTATTCTTCATGCTCGACCCTGTCGCTTTCAACGCCGCGTTTGTCGCCCACCATGAGTCTATGGACGGTGATGGGGAGGCGGAGGAAGACGTTGAGATGAACGGTACTAGCGGAGGCAGTTCTCGGTCCAGGAAGAAGGGCGGAGGTGGTAACGCGGGCGATCTGCGGAAGCGGTTGCTGAAGAGCGAGCAGGCCAAGTCTAGCCGTCGTACGAGAGCTCAGGAGGCCGCTTCCCCCACCCCTTCCCGCTTCGCATCCCCAGTGCCATCTGACCCCATGCAGCTCGATGGTGAGCCTGTCAAGGGAGAGAACGGGGTTGCCTCTGGCGTTCGGCTAGATAAGAACCCTTCGCGACGACGCGGTAGCTTCTTCACCAACACCGCTTTCTACGTCATGCTGCGACTGCTGGAGGTACGTCCAGTAATTGCGTCCGGATTGAAACTTTCTAACATCATCACCTGCAGTTGCTCTACTCTCGACTCCAGCTCTTCAAGAACATTACCGCAGAGTTAGTAGCGAATGGCACGGATCCGATGGAGCCAAAGCCTTCTCTCGTCTCGAAGTTGATCAAGGACGACCTTGCGAAAATGGGCGACCGCATCAACCACGCGTCGCATTACTATGACCTGATGTTGGAGTCCTGCGAGAAGTTGTTCGACAATGAGCTCGAGCAGCACGCCTTTGAGGAGATTACGCGGTACCTGTTTGGCCTGAAGGTGACTCAACATCTCCAGTATATCCGGTTTTTTTCTGACACGCATACAGCATGCATACAAGCTGTTCACCGTGGACAAGGTCATCGGCGCCTTGATTAAGCAGGTCAGTTACGTGTCGGCTTGCAGCAGCTAGACATAACTCACATTTTGTATAGGTTCAAGTCATCCTGTCGGATCCTAAGAGCCAAGAGCTGTTCGATCTCTTGCGGCGAGAGCGCGAAATCACCTCTCCAACAACTCAGGACCTTATCAACTGCCGTCGGAATACTGAGCGCGTGCTTGGTCCTGATGAGAACTTGTTCCGCGTGGACTGGGTATGTATGAGTATATATACGGGAGCGTGCTATACTGACTGTTACTTTACCTCCACAGCTCCCGGAGCCTAGGACGATGACGATCCAGCTCATAGGCAAAGATGACAGCACTTTTGACGACTCGGAAGTCCTCACTGGGCGCTGGCAGTCATACATCGAGTCCTTCGTTTCGGTGTGTATCTCGCCTTCAGTGCCTCTTTCCCCACGACTAACATTTATGCACAGCATCACTACACTGCAGGTGTGCCTTCCTCGTCCACTATCCGCCGTCCATTCCTCCTTCGGTCAGTTTCCTTACATCGCTCTCCACGCATATGCTGATCAATGTTATCTACAATAGTACGAGATTCCCCGCACCTTCCGGTGAAATGCCCGACATTCTCGCCCGCGGCAGGCTCCAGATCAAGGTCTGCGTGCGCACCTACCGGTTCTTCTTCGTCCCGCCCTCCGAAGATGTCATGATTCGCCTATCCTCTGTGCAAGAGCGCGCGGACGCACGTGTGCTAGTTGAACGGCGTACTGCGAAGCGCAAGAAGTGGATGGAGGACTACGCGAGCAAGATTGCGGAAGAACAAGAGCCCATCGTCAAGGATACCAAAACGCCTTCGCCGTCCGTCGCCCCCACGACTGGGGAGGATGCGACTCCTGCAGTGGAGGAAGCACCAATGCAGGCAGAGACTACCCCTTCGGCGACGGAGACACCAGTGGCTCCCGCAGAAGATACTCCCGCTCCCACGAGCGGCGTAGTCGAGGTTGAGATGGATGTCGAGAAGGTGCCGGACCCGCAACCACAGGCCCTGCCCGAACCCGTCTCGGAAGCGGAAGCTACAGCGCATGTCGTTCCAGAAGATGACGTCGCAGAAGCAGCGGCAGCTGTCGCGGCAGTCATCGCTTCCGCCGTACAACCCGACCCGGAGGACGTGCCCATGGCCGAAGCGGTAGAGACGCCAGTGGTGGTACCAACGAACGAGCCGGGTCCCGCACCTGCACCTGCACCAGCTCCTGAGCCTCAGCCCGTGTCGCCAGAACCCGTCGTTCAGGACGTCGGCCCGTCTGCGGTCTCGTCGGAGCCAACAACAACGCTACCGCAACCACCCTTCGCTCAGCCATCGGAAGCTAAAGTACCTGTGCCTGCGCCTCTGCCCGTGCCGCCAGCACGCGCAGAGCCGATAGCTACACCCGTAGCCGAGGCACCTATCTCAGCACCAGTGGAAGCAGAAGTGCCCGCACCGGCAACGGCCCCGGTCGCTCCAATCGTGGAAGCAGTCCTCGCAGCGGCGAGTATCGCAGAGCTCGAACCAACCCGACCCTCGGCTCCCGCACCACCGACACCCGTAGAGCCCGCCGCTCCTCCGCCCCCACCCCCAACATCGGCCGCCCCTGATGTTCCCCCTTCATAACTCGTCAACACGGACGGTTGCGCTTCTCCACCGAGGTTGTTGATACCAAGTCTCCTTATATACTCTCTGTCTCTCATAGCTCTCTTCCCCTGCTCTGCCACAGTTTAGGCTTCTCGAATTGCGTGTTGTATGGCTGCTACACTACGTTCTGAATAAATACTTCTGTTTATGCCCCCGGCCTCGGGCGACCCGAGCGCGCACGTATGTATGGATGTATGCGTTACACCAAGATCAAGACTGCCACAGCGCGGAGTCCGTCCGGCCCTCCAAGGCCTCCTTGCTTTCCTCGTACACGTACACGCTTCTTGGGTTCACTGCCGTCCTGACCTACACAGCACACAGCCCGACCGCGACGATCCTTTCCATTTCCTGACGTCTACCCCGCACGTGCCCACCACCACGAATTAGAGGAGCACTGGCACTGACGCGTGCTCATGCCGAACGCTTGCCTCGCCATCCTGAGCCAAGGACGCCACCACCTCCGACACCGAAGCCGGCGAACGCACCACCAGGGCCTGCGCCGGGAGCGCCGCCGACCTGCGGGCCCTCTCCCGGGCCGGCGACGGGGCTGTTGAACCCAGGCGGCTTGCCTGCGAAGGAGGTGCGGAAAGAGGACTGCGGCACGGCCTGGATGGAGAGGAACTTATTCGCTGTGGGTCGCTCTTCGTTGTTATACTAGTCCGACGAGTGCGGTGAGCATGAGCGAACACGTGAATGCAACTGCAGAGGGAACTGACCTGGAACTCGAGACCGATACCGTCCGCCTCGGAGACGTCGAGGAGTTTAACCATCTTGCGCGCGATGCCGTTGATCTTCTCGACGTCCTCCTTCGAGCGCGTCCAGACCTGAATACGGTCGACCTTGCTGCGCAGCGAGACGACGGCGCCGCAGATCTCGTCGCCCTCGTCGAGGTCCTCGCCGACGAGCGCCATCGCGAGCCAGCTCCAGCAGCGGTCGAGCAGCTGCGGGTTGTTCTTCATCGTGAGCACCCACTTGCCCCCGTTCGCGTTCGCCTCGTCCTCCCACATCGGCTTGATGCCCGACTTGAAGATGTGGTAGTTCGAGTTGCGCTCGAGCTTCGACGGCGGCTTCAGCCAGTTGAAGTACCGGCAGAACGTCTCGACCGTGTCGAACTCGCCGATCACGGTCAGCCCTGCCTCGTACTCGTCTGTGTCGGGCGCCATAAAGTGCGCCGAGCCCGGCGGCTCCTGGACGGTGGCCGTCGCGGGCGTGAATGGCACCTTGTTCTTTGTGTCGTGGTACAGTGTCCTGTGCAAGGGGTGTCAATCACTTGTCCGTATGTTCTGACGACCCTCGCGTGATGTATGCGCTCGCGGTGACCTCGAATGAGCATCGCAATACTCTCGCACAATTCCCTCAAACGCATGGCGATCGCGCGAGACGGCAACGACTTGGACTCACCAGGTGTGCTCAAGAGGGTGCTCCGGGGCCTTGATACGCAGCCCAGGAGTCTTAGGGTCCTCGATCGTCTCCGCCTCTGGAGGCTTCGCGGAGCCGTCGACACTGAGCGTCCTCGCCTTCGCGAGGCGCGCGGTAATCGCGTCTAGACTGGGGATGTTCTTGTACCCCATCGGCATTTTCTGTTTCGGCTTCGTCTCTTTGTCCTTCGCAGCGGCGGCCGCGGTCTCCTCGTTTAGCTCATCGAGCTTCTCCGTCGTGAGAGGGTCGCTCTCGTCAGGTTGCGGGGTACCGGCATCACTACGGGGCGGGGAGATGGAGAGTGCGGCGGGAGATTCGGAGCGTGAAGTCGGCGGGATCACGGTGACGGAGTCGGTCGCGGAGGCCGCTGCAGAGACATTGGAGCTCGCGGAGGACGTGCGGAGAAGCGAGGCGGCGAGGCGAGGGCGGTTGCCGGCGGTGGCGGCGGAGGGCGCGTCGAGCTTGATACGGGCGGCAAGCTGGTTGAGGGAGGGCATGCGGGTGCCGGGGGCGGGGCGCTCGGGCTTGGGAGCGTCGACCGTCTGGGTGGTCGTCGCAGGGGGCGGGGGTGTCGACATGGTGCTGGGGGTCGTCTACGTCGTCGTCGGCGATGGACGAAGCACAGGGACAAGACGACCGCTCCGTCTGCACTGCCGCTCCATCGGCCCCGTGATTGCATCACTCTTCGAACCCCGCCGGTGTCGGTCCATTTATGGCTCGTCCATAGAAGTACGGAGACTTTTCAGCAGCGCAGATTCTCCAAACCGTCGTCAAATCAGGGCGGATGAAGGGGATCTCGCTAAGTCTGTATGGTAAGCATATATAGCGGGTATCATCTCCATGTCATTTGATTACAGGCTTAGCTGAGGGTGACCCCAGCTTCCCCCAAAGGACCTGTATACGAGTTGCTATGAGGGTGGAGCGTGAAGTAAGCCATCAATACAGCTCATTATTGTATATGTATGCGCGAAGTAAGGTCGACCCCCATGATATCTAGTCGATACCCTCTAGAAGACCTATCGAGTGGGAGGGAAGGTTCACACAAACGTCATATGGGCCATGACGAACAAGTCTCCAGGGACAGTGCAAGTAATATTATCGTTTGAAAGGTCAGTAAAAGCAGGCAATCGGAACGAGCCTACACCTAGAGGTGAGACCGGTGAGGTGCTCGGGGACCAGCTCGACTCGTGACGACGTCTTGACTATGTCCTGACGAACTTCTTCCTTCTCGGACAATTCAAGAGACAATTCAAATGAAAAAATAACAGGACGGTGGCATTAGAAAGTTATAGAAGAGTTCAAAGGACTTCTGAAAGGACCTAGTCTGCTTCCACACGCACCCCTCTTACCGTAGCAGACCATTTCGCGCTTAAGTAAGCAAATTTGATCTCCGAAACGCGTGTATAGATCTATGCGCGTCGCGTTCTCTCCTCTGTTTGCTCTTCCTCAGACGTCCTCAACTCTAATATCTGCTTTCCTGACGCGCCATATGCCATAAGCCTATGCTAGTACTGGTTTAGGTGGTTCAGCCGCGCCGAAATGTGATCACTGTTTGGGGAACTCCTTTGCATGACTGATTTCGCGCATCAGCCGCTGTAAGCCCAACCTTTTCGCATCGCCATGCACCAATACTCTCACAGACTCAGATTACGTCTTCCATGCTCCTAGGCGGGTATATTAGGCACTACAATGCTTTTACAGCGCCGAATGTTCAGGCCATGGGTGCAGGACCAAACGGCATACGGATTGCCACAACCGCAGGCACGGCGACACGCAGGCTGAACTTCGGGTGGACAGAGCGATATTATTTCCGAAAGGTAGACTGCATGTGAGTTGCCTCTCGTCGAGTACAAGGTTCTCAAGCGAGCAGTGGGTACGCAACACTTCAAGGTTTGGTTGCGGGGCGCAGCGAGGGTCAAACGTGCTGATATCTAGGGTCACATCTGGATTTTAATGAAAGTAACTGTACAAGATGGCCAACGATACTTTTCTCTCATATTATCACTACCCAGAAAAAAGCGAAACCTGTCGAAACACCCTCAAACATGCGCAGAGCCATCGCAGACCTCAGGTCGAGTGGCTGAGAATCTCATAGATCTAATCTAATTGAACGCCGGCATCTCGGCCATCACCAACATGCAAAGCAAATTGCGAGCTACGGTCTGAGGGGCGCGTTTGGAAGCAGACCTTTACACACTCGTCCTCCCCGCCTCCAATAGAGTGTGAAAGGTCTGCCTCTGGGAGACTAGAAAGGACCCTGGCAGGAGCAGCTGGCAGTAGACGAACGCTGAGTGCGAGCGGTTCTGACTGTAAAAGCGGCTCTTTAGTCACAGTACAGGCACGATGAAGCTGTGAATTCTGTTACGGAATTATACGTCATATTTCCATGCGTACGACGAGGTACGAAATTTGACGAGTGCATTTCGGTGTCATGAAGTTTGAGAGAACGAACCTCGATCAAGGTCAAATCGAGCTACCCGCACCGTGGGAAGAGCACTGAAAATCGGCACAGCCTCATGTCAGTACAACGCAGGCAGTCCAGGCTGCCCACCGACCATGCTCCTCCTTGCTCCTCTCGTGAAATTTATCCCCCATGCCATGCATAGACTGTCTCTGTCTGTCCTCATATGTATAGCTGGTTGCTCTCGTGCAGACCAGCACTGCCGCGACCTTGCCAATCTACACACAGCGTATCCAGCACAGCATCCACGTAACAACAGGTTTTTGTTTGTACGCGACGTTTAGGCGTGGCCATTGTCTGCAGCTTACCGCCGGTTTCGATGTTCTTCGGGCTCATTGTTTACGCATGCTCCCCGTCGGCTTCATTCTGGTCCAGGCAGCGTTACATACGCAATTCAAACCTTGTGGCAAACCCCAGATGACACGCGGCTGACCGGCAATTTTCTCCGCGTTTATAAAGGGCGGTTCTTTGCCTCGAGGTTTCTCCATCTCTCCCTCCTCCTCCCCCCCTCTTTCATCCGTCTTTTACGCTCTTGTCAACATGCTCTTGCCGCTATCTCTCCTTGCTGCACTGCCTGCTGCTTCAGTATGGGCTGCGCCCATGTGCTCTCTGGTCCCTTCCAAGTCCTCGGGCGCTCTGGCGGCGAGCGCTACCGCCGCTGGTGGCGCAAGCACTGGCTCGACTTCCACTGGCACTTCCACCTCGGGCAACAGTAGCAGCATCGGCGATGACATCGTTGCGTACACATGGTACGCTGGCTGGCACGGCACCGAGTTCCCCCCGGACAAGCTGAGCTGGAGCAAGTACACGGCGGTCACCTATGCCTTTGCGTGAGTACCTTGATCAGTTTCAGCTGCTTTGGACGAGGCTGACAGCCTCTCAGTACGACTACCAACGACGTCAACACTGTTTCATTGGCGGATTCTGATGAGGAACTGCTTCCGACGTTTGTGGACCTCGCACACCAGAACAACGTCAAGGCGATCCTTACCATTGGCGGCTGGACCGGCTCGCAGTACTTCTCGTCAGCAGTCGCGACTGAAGCCAACAGGACCGCGTTCGTGAAGACGGTCCTCAACCTGGTCTCCAAGTACGACCTGGACGGTCTTGACTTTGAGTGCGCTATTTTACCTTCCGCCAATCGCACGTGTACTGACTAGTTCTGTAGCTGGGAGTACCCCAACAAGCAGGGCATGGGCTGCAACCTGATCTCCGACGACGACAGCCAGAACTTCCTTTCCTTCCTTCAGGCCCTTCGCGCGGACCCCGCAGGCCAGAACCTTACGCTCTCCGCTGCCACCGGCATCACTCCCTACAACGGCCCTGACGGCACCCCCTTGTCCGACGTTTCCGCGTTCGCTGGTGTCCTGGACTACATTGCGATCATGAACTACGACGTCTGGGGCTCCTGGTCCACCTCTGTTGGCCCCAACGCGCCGCTGAACGACACCTGTGCGTCCGCCGCCGACCAGCAGGGTTCCGCCGTCTCCGCCGTAGCTGCCTGGACCGCCGCCGGCTTCCCCGCGAACCAACTCGTGCTCGGGGTCGCGTCGTACGGGCACTCGTTCAAGGTCGACAGCACCGCCGCGCTCACCTCCGGCAACACCCTCGCTGCGTACCCCGCATTCGACGCCGCGCAGCAGCCCCTCGGGGACTCCTGGGACGCGGTCGCCGCGCCCGGCCCCGACCAGTGCGGCGTCCAGTCCGCGGGCGGCCCCTCGGGCATCTTCGACTTCTGGGGGCTTATCGAGGGCGGGTTCCTGACGGCAAACGGGACCGTCGCGGACGGGATCGACTACCGCTTCGACGCGTGCAGCCAGACGCCGTATGTGTACAACCCGACGTCGGGCGTGATGGTGTCGTATGACGACGCGGAGTCGTTCGCGGCGAAGGGCAGGTTCATCAACGAGGCAGGCCTGCGCGGGTTCGCGATGTGGGAGGCTGCGGGCGACTCGAATGATATCCTGCTCGACGCGATCACGAATGCGATTGGCATCGAGGAGGTCGACTGCTGAGCGCCGCATCCTTCCTCTTCCCCCAACTTGGCTCATTTCCACGGGCTACGTTTGACACGACACGACCATGCACGCTCGATGCCCCTGCTTTCACCATGCTGTATCGTTATAAACCCGACCACGTTCTCTCCTCATGCCTCGCTCTCTGGTGTATTGCATACTTCTCTCGCTGGGCTTGCCTGTAGCTTATTATATTGTCAGCTTTGCTCGATGCATTGCTATAGAGTTATATTTGTATAATATCATTAGACAGCGCCCTGGTGCGCATATCATGATACATCCGCGCGTGTACTGGAACTTTATCATCGTAACGCTGAGTGAGGAGTCAGGATATCACTATAACCTTGTGGGAAGGGCGTGGCTCGAACTGTGAAGATGCCACGGATTCACTCGATGCTCGTCGCGTGCTAATTTGCAGCGTTGAGTGCTAACACCCGTGGCATATGAGCGATCAACCACCATGTGTCCTCGTAAATTAATGGTGATATTCCTCGACCGTACATTGGCCACCTCTGGCACTAACTCCCCTCGCCCCTCCTCGCGAGGAAGTCCGGACCCAGTAATCATGTAGCCTCATGTAGCTACCCATTTGGCTGACATGCCCTCCTCGGCGCTGATATCGGACACACCCGGCGCACGGGCCGCGTGTCTTGTCGTGGGCGTCGCACGAGGGGCGTGGAGGCTGCAATGTCCGTAGCTTTGCTCGTGTTCGATCAGGCGTTATGCAGAGTCTTCCTGCGAGCTTCCTTGATATCTTCGTGCGGGGAAAGGTCAGCATAAAGCACAAACGTTTAACTCGACACACACGTACCTCCTCACAATGAGACATGCGCTACTAATGTCAAAGTTCAACCCTCTTGTGGCTGCTCGGCGCGTTCTTCATGTCATCGCGTCGCCCCGCGTGTTCCCGGAGGACGTGCCGTCGTCCCTCTCCGAGCTCAGCAGCTCGTCGAGCAGCGCCGCGGCCTTCTTCTGCGCGTCATTCTTCTCGGCCTGCACCTGCCGCAACTCGGCGTCGCGCCGCTTCGCGATCTGCGTCTCGTCGGAGAGGAGCAGGAGAAGCTTCATAGAATGAATGGTCGACATGAGCGAGTGCGCGGCGCGAATCTGCACGTAAACACAAAGCAGACGGTTAGCGGACGGACATGAGGTTGTGGGGAACGGGCGCGGGGGGTGCGGGGGACGCACCATGGACTCTGCGCGGCACTGTGCCTGGAACGCCTCCTGCGCAATGCGGAACTTGTCCTTGTCCTCAATCTGAGCGTCGTCCCGTTAACACGCGCCGTTCATCAGAGACGTCCATCCGTGCGGCCGTTGGAGAAGGGATGCACGCACCGAGGCTAATGAGACTATGTCCGCCATGCCATCCACCAGGGTTTCGATCTCGACGTCGACTTTCTTGTTCCATTCCTCCTCAATCCCGTCAAGATACTCGTTTGAGCTCTGGTCGACGAGCGGCTGGGTCGGGCGTTGGAGGAGCTTGGCGGTGGGCAGCGCGGAGGGGCGCGAGACGTCGGTTTGGGGACCGTCGGCCATGACGAGAACAGTGAGCGCGACGCGTATTTGAAGTGGTATCGACAGGGGTGGATCTCAGACTCGGGCGTACGCGGAGAATTCGTTATACGCTGTGAGCAGGTCAAGGAGTCTTGGAGGATGCAGACAAGACGGAGCAGGGCGGGCGCCTGTGGCTGCCTCACTGAGCGCAGACCGGCGCGTCCACAAATCCAAACAACGCGTCTCTCCCGTCCACCGCGATCATGACTGCCAGTGCCCCATCCCAAGCCCCGACGCGTCCCCACGACGAGCAGCAGTACCTCGACCTCATCCGAACCGTTCTTGACACCGGTGCGCCTCGCCCAGACCGTACCGGCACCGGGACGCTCTCCCTCTTCGCGCCCCCCAACCTGCGCTTCACCCTCGCCGACGACACCCTCCCACTACTCACCACAAAACGCACCTTCCTACGCGGCATCGTCGAGGAGTTGCTCTGGTTTGTTCAGGGCTGCACCGACTCCACTAAGCTCTCCGCCAAGGGCATCAAGATCTGGGACGGCAATGGCTCCAAGGAGTTCCTCGAGAAGCGCGGCCTAGGTCACCGGCGTGCAGGCGACCTCGGGCCTGTCTATGGCTTTCAGTGGCGGCACTTTGGCGCGCCGTATGAGGACTGCGACGCGGACTACGCGGGCAAGGGCGTCGACCAGCTCCAGCAGTGCATCCGAAAGATAAAACACGACCCCACCGACCGCCGCATCATCCTCTCCGCATGGAATCCCGCAGGCGCGTCCTTTCTTCTTACACGCGTTCGTATACGCGTCCTGACATATACCGTGCAGACATACCACAAATGGCACTTCCGCCCTGCCACATGATGTGCCAATTCTACGTCCACCTCCCGCCCGCCGGCGACCCCACCGCGAAGCCGAAGCTCTCCTGCTTGATGTACCAGCGATCCGCTGACCTCGGGCTCGGGATCCCCTTCAACATCGCGTCCTACGCCCTCCTCACGCACATGGTCGCGCATGTCACCGACACGGTCCCGCACGAGCTGATCATCCAGCTCGGGGATGCGCACGTATACCGCGACCACATCGACGCGCTCAAGACGCAGCTCGAGCGCGAGCCAAGGCCGTTCCCCAAGCTGCGATGGGCGCGCAAGGTCGAAGGCATCGATGACTTCCGGAGCGAGGACTTCGTCGTGGAGGGCTACGATCCTCACCCAAGCATTGCCATGAAGATGAGTGTGTAGTATGCGTCCGGCGACGGAGGATATGTTGGCTGTATGAGTTCCGCTTTCCTAGGTGTTGTATGATCACTCTGTATTCAAAGGGACACCCGATCTAGCGTTGAGATTTCGAAATTTGGGCCATCGTCCAGGCTGAACTCACGGGGCAGCGTCTCAACGAGTCGGCCCAGCCCCTATGCAAGGCCTAATGGTCTAGAAGTATGATACTCGCTTTGGGTGTTTCTCACTTGCGAGTGGTCCAGGGTTCAATTCCCTGTTAGGCCCCTTTTTCCTCTCTGCAGCAGCGCTTGGGGCAGTACTACTTACCTTCCTGCCCGCCGACCTCTTCGCCAGGTAGTTTGTGTGCGACTCCGTGATCCTTCTCAACGAATAACCTGGACGTGAAGTGTTCTTTTCGCAGATGCTAACATAGACGCAACCTCGGAGTCTAAACCATCACTAAGACGTCTAGTCCATCCCGATTTTCCGCAACACCGACAAGACTCAAGAAGTACTTATACAATTCACAGCCGAGCCCACTACAAGTACACAAAGCCGAACCATGACCATGGCCCAGGGAGTTTTTACCAAGCATGGTGGCCACCGCTGACAACGATGCTGGATCGGGCAAACAGACTAAATTAGCTCCGTTCTTTATAGCGAACGAAAGGTACTCACTCGCTGCCCGTGCAGAACGTGCTCGCGTCACTGGCGAGCCAAACAGTCGCTCCGCGCAGCTCGTCTGGCCGCCCGATGCGGCCCATCGGGTTGTTGCTACACCACTTCTCCAGCAGCTCCGGCCGCTTCTCGAGGAACTGGCCCGTCATGCTGCGCCAACTCAATGAGCGATCTGAACGAAGGGACAGCAAACGCGACCTACGTGGTGTTGATGTATCCTGGGCTGATGGTGTTCACTCTGATCCTCTTAGGGCCGAGCTCGCACGCCATGCTGCGCGCCATCTGCAGCACGGCCGACTTAGAGGTATTGTACGACACCCACGGATGCCCCTGCGACACAGCGTCAGACACCAGGAAGAATGTAGTGCGGAAGGATTTGAACAAACCTGGTTCGCGCCGCTCCCGCTGATGCTGCCAATCAAGATGATGCTTCCGCCATTGTCGAACTTGGCCATCTGGCGGCCCGCCGCTTGCGCGGTGTACAAGACACCGTTGACGTTCACTGCGAGCACCTGCAAACGGGCGGTCACTTCAGTACCGTTCGTAAATCCAAGCATAATTGGTGCGCACCTCCTTGAAACGCTCTGCCGGGTAGTCCAGGCAGCTCATGTCGCCCTTGAGGATGCCCGCCGCAGCGATGCACACGTCCATACGGCCCTCGGCGCTCCCGATCTTCTCTCCAATCTTCCACATCGTCTCCTGTGAATCCGGCACCCATCTTCAATCAGCCTTGGCTCAAAATCCCAAGCACGAACCGCAAACTCTTACCTGGTCTGTCACATCTGCGCTAATATACTCCAACCTCCCCTTCCCCTCCATCTTCCCCACATACGCCTCCACCCTCTGGAACTCCTCCCCGCGTTCCTTGGGCAGGTCGACGCAGTACACCGTACGTGCGCCTGCCTCCGTCAGCGCGAGCGCCATCTCGAGCCCAATCCCGCGGTTCGCGCCCGTGACGAGCGCGACACGGTCCTTCAGTGAGAACTCGTTCTCGAAGATCGTGGGGGCCGCGCCTGTCGACACGTGAGGATCAGAGAACACCAACCGGTGAGCGTGAAGGCTGGGACGTACGGGCGGAAGACGAGGCTTCGAGAGCCCTGGTGACACCGACCGGGCCGTAGGGCGGCAGCCCTCCCTGCGTGGAGGCCATAGAACGAACGCGAGCGGTACTCGAGAAGGCGGCGCGGCCTAGCCTCGCAGGCAGGGCGGAGGCTACAGGGGCAGCTTGCAGGCGCGTTCTGGCAATGTGTGTAAGCATGTTCACGTTCTCGAGTTGGTGCAATGAAGGAAGGATCAGGGGGACGCGTTCTGGGGTTCGCCCACTGTATGCATACCTCCCATTATATATGCCTGAATGCTTGATCGTGGACGGGGGAACGGCCGTCCGTATCTAGCTCAGAGTTCGGCTTCGCGGCGCACAAGCGACCCGGAAGGCGAACCCGCCGTCACGAGTGCCCCGTGTGGGCGCGTGCCTATAGCACGGGAGGTCCCAAGAACCACTGACATCATGTCTCGGTCGGTTCGCAGACCACAGCGACTGCGGTGGAATGCTCTGAACGGTGTACCGTGCCCTTATACCCGGCTGTCGCACAAATTACTGTGACACGACGGACCCCCATCCTCAGACCCCTGTATCTCGTGCTGATGAAGGTGGACAGCCGACTTCGAGGGTGTCTGCTGGTATGCAGAGTGTGAAGGGTGCGAAATCGAGATGACAGGCTGGTGGTGTGTCAGTTATCAACGTACATGGTCACTCACTGATCTCGCAAGCCTGCAGGTTGCTCGTGCATTACGAATTGAGGGTTCTTCTCCTAGCATGGCCGAACGACGACCATTTTAAGCATTGTCAGACACCCCTCCGATCCCAGCAACCAAGCAGCGACTCGATAGAACACGACTTGCTGTAACATAGGTATGCACCTACATACGAAGACAGTGCCTCTGGTCGCCCGCACCTCCAGCATCGACAGGTTGGTTCGCAGCGCACGCCTACGACTGGACGTCCACGATTGGGGCGACCACGAGCCAGGGGTCGTAGTACGCGCATTCCTTGGGGTTGACAGAACCCTGCTCGCTGCAGAAGTCAAATTTAGGGCACCGTAGGCACGGGGTCTGGTTGATGCCAAGGGTGGAGATGCGCTCTTCGTGTATGGCCCGATACACGACGCCGCTGCCATAATGCGCCACTTCTCCTGAGTTCTGCTCGGAGGGAAGAGCTGGTGGAGGCGAACTGCCGCGTTCCGAATCGCTAGGCCAGTGGTCGCTGTGTTCTATCTTCCGCTTCTTTCGCCTGTGGCTGGAGTTGTCAGCATCGTCGCCGCTCAATGGACGACTTGACAGGCCGTTTGACCTGGTAGTGTCCCTCCCGGAGCTGGTCGCGCTCTTCCGCTGCTCCTCGTCAGATTCGTCGCTCGATAATTCGACACGTTTGCGTTTGCCTGCGGTTCGCGCAGTTGATGACCCTTCAATCCCAGTCGAGTCAGCGTCAGCGTTCCAGGACGAGAGGTGGAAAGCAGGGATCTATGCGAAGTTAATAAACGGCTGGTTGCCAGTGGTGGGCGACGCGACGATGTGTTCACCTTCTCGATTTTGCCGTCCAGAACTAGCACGTCCAATAGCATCTCGACGTGTTCGACTGTGAGCGCCGTTTCTGTCACCCTGCTCTTCTGCAAGAAAGTCTGTACATGCTATCAGCGCGTAATCATCGCCACGGCGTGAGACCGGTCTCACAAGAACCTGCTGCGACGTCGCGTATGCCGTATGGGAGCACGGATATAGTGGCCTGTGTTCCGTTTCCTGTCGCTCTTTGACCCTCGGGAAGCTCTGGTATCTTCTGTCAGTACATGTGCTCGGCGCAGCTACGTTAACTCACCCTGTCTTGCACAATCTTGAGGCATACATCGGACAGGAGTTTGATGAACTCGGTGTCAAGCTCCTTATCGGTGTACCACGGACCGCCCGTCAGCTCTGTGGCGGGTTGTAGGCTCGCTAGTATGTATGTCTTGCGAGTCGGATGCTATACAAGCGGATTGTTATCGAGCTGGGTTCGTAGGAAGCGTACCAGAAACGTACCCGTACGTCGGGAACGGTCTTGATCAGCTGCCTCTTAGTGAGAGACTTCAAGCACCGATCGACAACAGTCTGGTGTAGCTGCGTCTTGGCCTTGATGTGCTTCGTCCATATCCCTATGACATTCCGCACATACTGTAAGTAAGTTCGCAGTGAACCTCAGGAGGCTTCGGACAGCAAGCGGACCTTCAACCCCGGCTGTGCGGATGCGATCCAGTACAAGACCCTCCTCGCTGTCCAAGCCCTTCTTTCTGCAATATACGTCAACATGTGGATTTGAGAAGTCTAAAGAACACTACTCACAGGCTCAGCTCTTCTTGGGAAACCGCACGGTACGTTATCTGTGACTGCTCGCCTTTCAGGAGGACGAAAAGACCCTGGATTATATACCGTCAGTTTCGACCACGCAATAATAGCAGACGTGCTTACCGTGCCCAGCAGGAAATTGATGGCAGCCAGACGTGCATTCGCATCCGGTACAAGGTTTTCGAGCTCTTTCGGAGTCACGATCTACGACCAATGCGTCAGTTGTTGTCGTGCCGTCCCACATCTGAACGTGTAGGAACCTTCTCTGTTTTCGCTAGTGCGGCCTGATGTAATTTGCGCTCGATGGCGTTCGGTTTTCTCGTACTCATCTCGACGGAATGAAGGCACCAAACTTGTACTGGTGGTTGGAGGACAAGAGGTTTCGCAACAGCCAACCTTCCTACGTAACTACCCGATTCAATCTGTGGAACTTCCCACGAGACTCTACGTACTCAGAGGCCACCCACCAAAATGCAGTGATACGACGAGTGGGCATACATAGGTGGCACGTACATGAAGCTCGTATGCCAGCGTCGATTCGTTCGTTATCTGGGCAAGGAAGAGCATATGGTGATCTAAAGACCCCACTTGCGAACCTTCATAGACGCAGTGTACCAGCGAAGCGGGGGTTCATGCGTCCGTCTTGCGAGTTCAGACCGATCGGGCAAGTGATGGCGACGACTCGACAGAGGCATCGGAGGCAATGTGGTGGGCACTGAAGCTAAGCTGTCTGCTTGTGGGGGCGGGGCGTGGGGACAGCGGGAACGAATGCCATTTAGCGGTCCAGATACAACACTGCCATCTCTATCGCTCGCGTCCTCTCCAAAGAATGCGCTTAGTGGGCGTGGTTCTTGTGGTGCTCTAAGGAACGGGTCGAAGGTCAGCAATGAACACAACCAACTTCCTCACGAACACTCACTCAGGTGCACTATAGTCCCAGATACCGACACGAGCAAAGAATAGCAGCCAACACAGTCAGCAAACACTCAGCAATAATCTGAGAAAAGACGCACTCTGGTAGTCGATGGTGTACCCGATACCGAAGATCCCGAAGATGGTGAACAGGAGCGGCGCGGCGGACGCGTTCTTGCCGTTGAAGAAGCGGGCCTTGATGCCCCCCGACGCCGTCGTCTGCGCGGCGCCCTTCGGGAGCTTGGAGTAGAAGTTCACGAGCGGGCCAAGGCCGGCACCTGAGCCAGAGGACTGTCGGACGGAACGCACGCCCTCGGTCAGCGAAAAATCCTGGTGCTGGCGCGATCTGGCGCTCGGGCGGGCACTCACCAGGAGGGAGGGGGTGGCGACTTTGGGGGGGACGAGGCCACCGAGCTGACGGCGGATGAGAGAGGGCTGCATGGTGAACGCGACCGGGCGTGAAGACGGAGAGTTGGACAGAACGGGGAGGGCGACGAGCTCGTCAGTCGAGACAGCGCTCACGGTGCGGCCGAGCACGTGTCCCGCATTCTTCCGAGCGTAATGATTGGACAGCTAAACAGATTAGATTATATTTGCACAACATAAACCCTTTATATCTGCCCCATGGCTGAGTTGGTTACAGCGTCCGACTGTTATTTCAACGCCATCGGAAGGTCGTGAGTTCGAGCCTCACTGGGGCAGCGCTGTTTTGCTTCTCTATGCCCGCCATTGGGAGGGGTCATTGACTCTGTACATGTGCTGTCACCAAGCTTGTCATGACTTTGTCTCCCCTAGGCAGACGATGTGTGATCTATCGAGGGGGGGAGGACGATCACACGTCAACGCGTCATGACTCGATCGTAGCTTCGAGCTCATTTTTAGACAAGAAGCGATACCTTCTTCTCTTCGTAACGTCAAGCGACCTTCCTTCTCTCATACACACAAGCAAGGTAACATCCACGCCATATATCTGTATACATGTTACAGCAATATGTTTTGCAGAGCGACGATAGTGAGTGGAATCTACTAATACAGATGTACGACCCAGAGATGTTGAACGTCTGGGAGGGCCGGATTATGTTGAAATACCCGACGCACTATTTTACTTTCGCGAGCTCTATCCAACACGACCCCGTCCCCGTCTCCTCCAACCACGATCACAATATGTTACACACCACTCTAAGCAGCAGCAGCAGCTTACTCCTCGATGCCGGCAGGGCGCGTCAGCTGCGACACATCCACACCGGGGAGCGGCCACCTGCGCGCAAACTCCTGCACGCCCTTCTTGATGTCCTGCACCTGCGCGGCGCCGACCTTGCCCTCCTCGGGCACGCTCGCGACGCGCACGAAGTCCTTCAGGAGCTTGCTGCCCGCCTCCTTCTGGAGCACGAGCGCGGTCTGCACCGCGCGGTGCAGGAACTCCGCGACGACCTTCATGTCGTCCTCGCGCATGTCGCGCGACGTCAGCGCGGCCGTGCCGAGGCGGATGCCCCCAGGCACCTGCGCGGACGCGTCGCCGGACACCGCGTTCTTGTTGATCGTGATCCCGACGAGGTCGCAGAGCTTCTCGAGCTTCGAGCCGGTGAGGCCGAGCGGGCGCAGGTCCCAGAGGACGAGGTGGTTGTCCGTGCCCGACGTCTGGAGCTTGTAGCCGCGCTCGACGAGCTCCTTGCCGAGGGTGGTCGCGTTCGCGATGACCTGCTTGGCGTACGCCTTCCAGGTGGGCTGGCACGCCTGGAGGAGGGCGGTGGCGATACCGGCAATGGTCTGCAAGCGAACGGGTAAGCGAGGAGAAGGCGCATAGCTTATTACCAAAACATACGTTGTTATGGGGGCCACCCTGGCACGCCGGGAACACGGCGTCGTTGATGCGCTTCTCGAGGTCCTTCGCCTTGTCTGCATCCCGCTTGAAGAAGATGAGACCGGCACGGGGGCCACGGAGCGTCTTGTGCGTCGTGGTCGTGACGACGTCGCAGTACTGGAAGGGGTCCGCGAGCTCGCCGGCGGCGACGAGACCGCTCGTGTGCGCGATGTCGGCCATGAGGTACGCGCCGTGCTCGTCCGCGATCGCGCGGAGAGCCTTGTAGTCCCAGTCACGCGGGTACGCGGACGCACCGCAGATGAGGAGACGGGGCTTGTAGATCTTCGCGAGCCGGGCGACACCCTCGTAGTCAATCAACTGGGTCGCAGGGTCGAGGCCGTAGGGGAGCGACTGGAAGTAGATAGACGACGCCGTCATCTTCTTCTTAGCGGTCTGAAATCGACAAAGTCAGTACCGTGCCTCATCATAGGTAATGGGTACGTACGTAGTAACCGTGCGTCAAGTGGCCACCGTCGGGGAGGCCAAGACCCATGAGACGGTCCTGGGGCTGAATAAGCGCAGTGAGGGCCGCAAAGCTACAAAAACTGTCAGTAATCGGCCACCATTGCACGTATTCGCATAGACTGACTTGGCAGTCTGTAAAGGAGGCAGTCAGCGACCCACATCATGCCATACGTCAAAAATGTTACGTACGGAGCCGGAATAGGGCTGCACGTTGACGCCCCACTGGGCCGCATCGAGGTGGAACGCCTGGAGGGCGCGCTTCTGGCACAGAAGCTCGAGCTCGTCGACGTACTCGTTCCCGCCGTAGTAGCGCGCGTTGGGCAGGCCCTCGGAGTACTTGTTGGTGAGGATCGAGCCGTTGGCCTCCATCGTCGCCCTGCTCGTCAAGTTCTGCACCTCCGCATTAGCGCCGCGCAGACATCCACAAGGGACAAAACGGACACACCTCAGACGCAATGAGCTCAAGACCAGAGAACTGCCGCCATGTCTCCTTGTCGATGATGTTCTGCACCTCGGGGTCGATCTCGGCAAGGGGTGCGTAAAGCACCTTGTTCTGCACAGATAGCGCAAGGTAAGCGGTGGTTTGAGCGGGAAAATGGGAGAACGCACGTAGTCCGGGGTGGCAGACATCGTTCTGCGGAGGGCGGGGGCGAGGGAGGGCGAGCGGAGAGGACGAGAGAGCAGACGGAACATTGAAAAAATTGCGGGGCTGGTGCTATAAACCAAGTCATAACTCGATCCCATAACATGTCAAGCCACATGGCTGTCACGTGCGCGCGATCTTGACTCCGTCCTTCAAATTCAGCTTCCGGCCTTCTCGTCTCGCGACGAAGCACGCTCTTCTTACGAAACAAGTCGTAAGGCTTTGCAAGCGGCGCAGGGTCCGCTAAAATATATACTTGAAGTGTATGTTATCTCGTAAACCGTCACCAGCTGTGCACAAAGGATGCGGTATCGAGGGACGAAGTAAATCGGCGTGCTAAACGGACGGCTTTTGAGATATTTCGTGCGTGCGACGAAGTCTCTTGCAGACTAAAATGACAGACTCCGAGCAGCCTTGCGGTCAATCGTGCCATGGGCTGCGCGTCCGACGTTGCAATGGTGACTGAATGGGATGCGTCAGTTTTACGGCACGAGCACCCCTGCCGCTAAGCTGGAGGTATCTGTTCGCGGCAGAAGATCAAATCCCTGTGCCACGGTTGCAGCAGTCTTGCCGTGTAGTCCCTATATAGCTCAGAATCCCTACCAATGAGTTCGAATTTTTTTGAGGTTGGAGCGATGAAGGTGCGAGGGAGTGAATGTGAAGTCTTCGTATAATTCGTAAGCGTATGTACATCATACATACACGGCGCATCGGTTTGGCGCCCTTATTCCTGCGTCTTCTGTCAAGCCCCGCTTACTGCGACTTTTGCCATTAGACACGTCTAACGAGACGTTCAAAGTAGTGGGGCCGGCTGGTAACGAGGTTCTGATGATTCTTAAAAACGTCCTAGTACTTTGGAAGCAGACCTTTCTGACAGCATCGCTCACAAGACTTCTTACGAGGTTACGAGTCTAGGGTTCGCTCGGGTGCACACAGAACCAAGGAAGCTATTTGGGGTGCGTGTGATTGAGTATGTATGACATGGTATACTAGCGTAGTGGACAACAACAACAACATGGTAAAATACTGATACATAGCCAGATGTGAGTGCGCAGCTTGACCTTGCAAGATTATCCATAAATGCAGCATCCGAGAACCCAAGGAGAAAAGAAGGTGCGCGCGAGCTCACTCAATAATACGAGCGCGAGTCGACAGGCGGGCCATTGCACAGCTCGACACCGAGCTTCTGCACGACCTCCATCCCGAGCGGCTCCAGCGCCTCCCGCCACACCCGCGCCCGCCGCCTCGCCTGGAAGATGCTCAGGCTGCGCTCGCCGACCTCGCCCTCGGGCCCGAACACGTACACGCCCTCCGCGCGCCACGGCGCCTGCCCGTGCGCGAACGCGAGCCACCGCTCCTGGATCCCGTTCCGCACGCGCGCGTACGTCCAGTCGTCCACGACCGGCATCGCCCAGTCCGCGTCGTAGTCGTACCCCGGCCCGTCGTCCTCCGAGTCCGAGTCGTCCGCGACCGCGCACGTCTGCGCCGCCTTCTTCGCCGCGATCGCGCACTCGTCGTCCGAGTCGGGCGTGAAGAAAAACCCGTCCGCGCGCGGCTCCGTGCAGTCGTACGGCGAGAGCACGGGCAGGCTCGGGAGCGGCACGTTGTCGAAGATGTACATCAGGTCCACCGCGTGGTGCGGCAGCCCACGCGACGGGCTCTCCTGGTCGAACACGTACCGCCAGACGCCGTGCCCGCCGCGCTCCGCCCGCAGACTCGCAGCGATGAGGTCCGTCGGCCACGCGAAACGCGTGTCGTTGATGAGCTCCAGCAGGCGTTCCGGCAGCTCGTCCGCGGGCGTGTACGCGTTGATGTCGTACAGACGCAGCAGCACGTTAGCCTTGTTCAGCGACTGGCAGATCGCGCGTATCCGCTTCACCGCGCCAGCGGCCGTCCAGAGCGAGGCAGGCAGAGACCAGAGCAGAGATTCTGCGCCGCAGTCGCCGATTATTGTCGGCTGGTGGCTGGCAGGTTGGGGATGCCGCGTGCGCGAGTGCGAGCGCGACTTGTCGTGTGCCAGATGTGGGGGGACCTTTAAGTGATGTGAGTGGTGGCTCAGTTCGACGACAACGCTGTCGCCCGAGTGCTGATGGCGGGCTGTCTCGTCGACGTTGACTAGCGAGCCTGTCCATGACTTGCGGAAGAACACGCCGTCGTCAGTCGCACGGAATGCAGGGGCAAGCGTGATCAGTTTCTCGGGATCGACCGCGCGCAGCTCGTCGATCGTCTGCACGCGCAGTGGCGCCACGAGCTTCGACATCTGCCAGCCCGTCTGGTGCACGTTCGGCACCTCCATATCGACGATGGCGCTCTGGATGATGGTGCGGTGGAATAGCGGCGCAACCTCGTTGGCGGCAGAGTGCAGGTGGCAGAGGATGTCGCCCGCGCCCGTGGATTCGCCGAAGAGCGTGACGTTCGTCGGGTTGCCGCCGAACGCATGGATGTAGCGGTGCACCCACTCCATCGCGCGTCTCTGGTCCCGGAGGCCTGGAGGGGCCGATCATCAGCACCCGGCGAGGAGTGAGAATCGAAGACGAAGCACATACCGTAGTTGCCCACACCCTCGTCGCCGGCTGACTTGTTGTCGTCGCGCAAGGCCGGGCTGGCCGCAAAGCCCAGGAGGCCCAGGCGGTAGCTAGACACAAGGGTTCAGCCCCCGGGTGGAGGACATACGGGCCTTCAGCGACGCAAAGGAACACGACACGCACTTTATTGAGACGATCACCACGGGCAGGCCTGCGGTGATGCTCTTCTGGACGAGCGGACCGGCGTCCGTTATCCAGTTCGACCCAGAGCCACGGTTCGCACCCCTAAAGGCTGTTAGCTGGCTGCAGTGTGACACAGGTGTAGCTCGTCGATACGCACCCGTGGATCCAGATCATGACGGGATAGTGCGAGGCGGGCGTTGCGTCCGCAGGGCAAGTGATGTTCATGTTGAGGCACTCAAACTCACATTGTTTGAGCGCCTGGTCGGGTATGCAGTCCTCGGTGAGGTTGAAGAGCTCCTCCTCGATGCTCTTGAATTTTGGCTGGGGGCATATTGGCCTGCAACTGCAATCAACCATCGGCGCGACGCGCACACGGTGGTGGCACGTACCCAAAGCGGGAGCAGTCCGTCTGTGGGGGGTAGTGGGTGCAGAGCTTGGACTGGCGGAAGCGTGCGGGCACAGACGCGTATTTGATGCCGCGATACTGGTGGACGGGGGCGTCAGGGGTCGAGATGGGGTGTACAATTCCGGTGAAGGTCGTCTTGAGGTCCTCGTGGAGGACGACAGGCTCCTGCACGGCGTCGAATGTTTTGGCAATCATCGCGAGATGCGTCTCTGCACAAACAATGCGCGGGAGCGGGAGTGGTCGCGGAAGCGGGGGTGGGGGAGTGCGGGGGTACGAGGAGAAGGAGCAGGGGTTGGAGGGTGGGGTCGGGCCATGGGGAGGGAGTCTGGATTTGTACGCTGGGCGGAGAGCGCATCCGGTTCGTGTTCGATCGACCCTTTCCGGCGAGGAGGAGGAGGAAACGAGAGGGGTGTGCTTGATCAGGAAACTCGCCCCTCCCCGCCATTCAGTCGCCCGGACTGCCTGCGCCCCGGCAATCGCCGCGATGCGCGTCAACAGCGGACAACACCTCCATATCCTTGGGCGCAGAACCCGCTCGAACCTCGGTCCATCTCCCAGCGCGCCCGCAGAGCGGCCCAGCCAGGGCCTTGACATCAGCATGACGAGCAGGCCCGCGGACCAGCCCGTCCCATGCCCACCACGCCTCCGACATCACCCGTTTGCATCCCACTTCGACAACGCGTACCAGTGCATCGCAGGCGAAATGAATTCCATCCTCGCACTGCATGCGGTCTAGATGTATACCGGGCTACAGAGAAGTGAGAAGTTTTGACGAAGGAGACGGGGAAACGGACGCACCGCAGCGTGTTCACGGAGTGGGAACCAAAGAGCGTCTCCGGGCTCGGGCTCCGGGACTGCAATGGTGGCCCCATGGAACTGTGTACGTCCTGCACAGGCCCGTCTCGTGGGACAGGTCCCAGAGACGTAAGTGATAGACCCTTGCCCGCCTAGCAGCATCACCTGGTGATGAACCCGCGGTCAAAGACAGATGGCCTCTGCGTACCCGATTGGCAGGGTAAGTTCCAAACAGGCTTTAGGAAGCCCGGACGTAGTACAAATCGGACACGCACATCGATAGTGTAAATCAAGCGTCTTCTTTGCGAGATGTGTCCGCGGCGGGCGTTGCGAACCGCCGCGTTTCCTCATGTGTTCAGGACGAACAAAGGTCACGAAGCGTGCAATTGCCCGAGCCAAGCACGTTACATGCCACAGCGCAATCACAGGCTACGTACTGAGGATCGTTCAGCTGCAGTACTCGTTTGTAGCGCACCAGTGTGATGACATACCTAATACAGGACTGAATGGACATGCGAACAGACGCGGTCCACGGACGCGGACTCCGTGGCCGGTACATAATAGCATCATAAGCGCAGACAGCGTCGTATGGCCCTATCAGCTACGAAATCCGCTTATACCCCTCCCTAGGGCCGTCGTATACAGCACCTGCGGGGAAGCTAGATACATTAGCCCCGGAGCGACTCCCAGAGAGTGAACGTTCTCACCACATGCCGCCCGGACGAGCGTCGCTCCCAGTCGTGGAATCCCGTACGTACAGAAGCGCATATAGCGTCCATCGCTGCGCTCGATCGTGTCCATCGACAACGCTTCGCAGCACGCAGGAGAGCATGACGGACCACGAGAGCTGTCACCTGTGTCGACGCGCCTCCGGCTGGTCAAGCTTGCCCAGTTAGAACGCCACGCAGCGTCCAGAATCCACTAAAGGCAAACAGACATGCAGCCATCCCCCACGCAGCGCCGCGATTCTTGACCACGGTACTGGGTGCGTGGTACCCCCCGAAGCTAAACCTCCAGCCACAGAGATCAGCCGCAACACCCCCAGAGAACGCGGAGCCAAAGGGACATCCCAGAGCAAGCAGAGCCGTCGACCGTAGCAGCAGCAGGAAGCCCAAAGACAAGCCAGGCAGGATCCCCCTCGATGCACGGCCTGATATATATCGCATCCCCCGATGCACCCCACTTCCGTGCCGCCTCTTCTTCGGTGAGCGATATGCCACGCCCGCAGGCGTTTTGGGGTGTGCTCGCGCACGGCCGCCTGCGCTTGTCTGGCGGCACGGCGTGCCCACGGTGGAGCGGGGTGCTTCTGCAGTCGTTATCGGACGCCTGTACGTCCCATCGCCGCAGGGCGCTGGCTTGCAGAGCACAGTGAGAGGGTGGGACGTCATGGGAGAGGGAAGCAGGAGGCGGTTGGTCGTCGCGTGCGTTGGCGAGGACGCAAGTGGGCGGGGGCGAGGTTATCGATCGCGTGCAGGGCGCGCGATCGACACCGATCTACACCACGCGAGCGTCGGTGCGACCGCCCTGGCGCAGCCACCCGCGCCCCGCCGCCCATCGCGCCCGACGACGAGCACGACGACATGGTGGTAGGAGCGAAGAGCAATCAGAGATATACGCTCCCCTGCGATCGATGGACGGGGGGCCGCCTCGCTGCAGCGCGTCTCACGACCCAGTCACGGCGCACCCGGCATCGCTGATAACTCAGCAAATCGAGGCATGGGGAGGCCATACCCCCTTATGTACCCCGATTGTCTGCAAGACTGGCAGCTATGGGTCAAGAACGAGATTACATTCGCCGTGTTATCCTACAACCGGTAACATACGCGCACCCTTCCTGTAGATACCCTCCCGCCTGCCTCCTGGCTCATCAGGCGCGCACCCGCACGACCTTCCGCTTGCCCTTGCCCCCGCCGGCTGGAAGACCTGGCGTAGCTTCTTGAGCGCTCATGCCGGCCTTAACTGCGTCGATTAGCACCCCTGACGGCAGCGCGGGCGAGTAGGGCGACACCCGGCTCGTAAGAGTGGGCAATGGCTGGGGTGGAGTGGGGACCTTCGGTCGACGTGTTGTCCCAGGAGAGGGCGAGATGGTGGTGTTCGACACGGAGCCTGTCCCCGATGTCAGCTTCGAGCTCGACTGCGCGGGTTGCTTGCCCTTCGATGGCGTCGACGGCGCAGGCGCAGCGGTCTCCGCAGCTTGGACAGGCGGATCCGTGTTGTACGGCGGCTTGGGGACGTTATCCGGCTTGAGCATCTGGATCTGCATGGCGATCATCTCCAGGAGCTGCTTCTCTGCACGACACCAAGGTTAAAGGTGAAGTCAAGGTCAAGAGGTCGTAAGCACCCCGCCTGGCCCGCCGCGCGAGCGGCACGACGTACTGGTCTTGATCGCGGGGTTCACGAACCGGCCGTCCTTCTTCCACTGCACGCGCACGCGCCCCGGGTTCTCCCAGTCGCGCGGGTGCGCCTTGTTCACCTCGTGCAGCGTGCCCAGCCCGAGCCGGTTCGTCGCGTCCGCGATGTCCTTGCTGAGCGGCCACCACACGCTCTTCGCACGCGGGATGCGCCGCTCGCCGCGGCCGCACGGCCGCTTGGCGTCGATGTAGATCGGGTAGATGCATGTCCACCTGTGTCCACTATTTAGTGGGGGTGTTCGCGCGAGATGAGTAGCTGGGACGTACCTCTTGTACGGGGTGATGTCCGTGATCGTGTTCGACGCATCCGGGCCCCCACTCGGCCTGAACTGCGCCAGCGAGGGCGACGCAGGTCCTGCTGCGGGCTGTCTCAAGTTCATCGAATCGCTCTCCTCGTCTTCGGAGTCGCTTGCGCCGATCTCCTCCAGGAGCGCGCCGCGCATGCCTGTGTTAGGCAGGGGCTTGTTCGGCAGCGGGAGGTCGGTGTCGTCGTCGAACTCCTCGACGATTGCTGGTCGTCTTGACATGGTGCTTCGGGTGGTTGTGCAAGGGCTAGCGAGGAGCGAGACGAAATTCGAAGAGCTGCGGTACGAGGGGCTGATGGAGGTCGTGCGCCAAGTGACTTGCGATGAGTGGACGGGAAAGCGCGCGGGAGTGATGTGCGCAGGCGCTTGCCGACTTTGACTTTCTCAGTCACTCGGAGGTTCGCTGGATGCGTCTTTGCCAGGTACATTCATCTTTCCAACCTTTGCCAGCGTCGTTGACGGTGTGTGATCGCCACGAGCGACACAACGGACGTATATATTCCCCGCCATCGGAGGCACAGCATCATGATGAGATAGTTCAGTCTTCCATGCGTGCGTTCGTATAAGAACGGTCGAAAGCCGTTGCACCAGTAAACAGATCCTTTCTCCCCCCATCACCCTAACTACCCCTCAAACCCCTTCGACATCTCTGCAATGTCAGACCTTGTCATTCGTGAGGTAAGTCAGTCCACAAAGTTCGCAAACAGTTCTCTCAATGATATTCCTCACTTAGGTTGCCCCGGACGTCTGGACGTTCTCGAGGTAAGTTGGTTCTTAGTTGGGTCATACAAAACCTCACTCGGTTGCCGTTTCACAGGCCTTTCACCCTACTGGGTGTCTTCCCAGTAGGCGGTCGCTCAACTGCCATCAAGCTGTCCACTGGGGAAGTATGGGTCATGGCTTCGACACCGTTGACGGACGAGACCAAGGCGAAACTCGCAGAATTGGGCGAGGTCAAGTACGTCCACCGTTCTGCGCACGCCGCCTGTTCTCCGGGGCACACGCTAATGCCGCAGTAAATTTCCCAGGTACCTTGTTGCCGGCAACGCCTTCCACTATCTATTCCTAAGTAGGTGTTATGGGCGCTGGGTCATACGGCAGCTGGCTGATCGGCGTAGAGCAATACAAGGATGCGTACCCCGACGCAAAGACCATCGGCTCGGAGGATATCCACGTAAAGGTGAAAGACTGGAAACTGGACTCGGGTAGGGTTTTCCGCGGATCTGTCAGATAGACATGTCCTGACGTGCCCCCACCCAGTGTTTAGCGCGAAGTCCCCAGACACAAAATACGGCTTCGAAGAGGAAGTGAGTATGGCCGCTCCCGCGGAATATCCGTGTACTCACATCAACTTTGCGTGTAGATCGAGCATTGGTCTGTCAGCTCCTCGTGCTCTGACATAGGCTCAGCGATGCTGACAGGGAACGTTCAGTTACTTCTCTGGGTGGGGGAACAAGGATACTGCATACTACCACAAGGCCTCCAAGACTGTGATCGGCGCAGACCTCCTCATGAACAATCCGCCAGCTGAACAGGTAAGCTAGCCCATTCATGATCCCCGAACGCCCATCCTAACCCGACGACCCCTCGTAGTACTCAAAGACATCTATGTCGCCAAAGTCGAGGATCTTGGCCGCGATGCACCCGTACGGATGGCAACTGCGCTGGTTCATCTGGCTGAAGCAGAAGGACAAGGCGTATGTCTTTGAACATAAAACCACTCGGACAAGGAACTGACAGTATGTGCTGCAGCGCCATGACTTGGGAAGCGAAGACGGTGGCCGAGTGGGACTTCGTCCGCTTCATCCCTTGCCACGGAGCAGGTTCTGTACACAGTTGCGCGAACATCTAGCTGATATCTATCATCCAGGATGTCATCGAGAAGAACGCGAAGGAGGCATGGAAGTCGGCTTGGCGGGACTATCTGCACTGAAAGCGTCTTCGTATGGCCGAGTGCGCCTTGAGTACTTGACTGACCGCGCAAGCTCCTTGGTGCGTCGTGCGCGAGCTACTTCCCTCAGAGTATGGGGGTATGTGCATTCCGATGGATACTATCATACCAGCTGCGTAATTCCTACATCCTCCCACATGCCATCACTTTTCCAACGGCGGTGTGTCCACGAAGAGGAACCCCTCCAAGTGTCCAGGGTAGCGTGGGCCATTCGCCGCGTCTGCCGCCTTCGCAAATTGCCGGATCTCCTCTACCTCCTCGGGCGAGAGGGTCACCTTCAGCGAGTCCAGGTTCTCTTTCAAGTTCTACGCGACCCAGCATCAGTCTTGCACCTCATTCGCTCAAATGCAAGCATGACTTACGGGAAGCTTTGTGGTTCCCGGGATAGGAATGACGTCGTCGCCCTGTGCAAGCAACCACGCAAGCGCGACCTGCCCTGCAGTAGCATTGTGCTTCTCGCCGATCCTCTTGAGCCCATCCGCGATCTTCAAGATGTTCGGGAAGTTCTCTTTCGAGTAGCGTGGCACGATCCGCCGGAAGTCGCCCTCCTCAAAGTCCTCCGGCCCTTTCTGTGGGCTCGGTCAGCCACTGTCCTCCAACTTGTATCTACTGTATTTGAAGATTACTCACGTATTTGCCAGTGATGAGACCGCGTCCGAGCGGCGAGTATGCGATGATCTTGATACCGAGCTCGCGCGCCGCCTTGAGCAGACCAATCTTGGGGTCTTCGATGTCAAGCGTGAAGGGCGAGTACTCGACTTGCAGCGCTGAGATGGGGTGCACGGCGTGCGCGCGCCGGAGGGTCTGTTCGGAGACTTCGGACAGGCCGATGTACTTGACCTTGCCAGCCCTAAGAAGTCGCAGCAGTCAGCTTCACTGCTGGTGTTATGCGTATGGCGTTTGGTCAACTCACTTGACCTGCTCAGCCATGGCACCGACAGTCAGCTCAATCGGCACTAGGGGATCAGCTCTGTGGAAATATGTGAGCACGCACATCTTCTGTCTGAGTTATCTAACGACTGACCTGTGGAGATACCAGAGCTCGACGTGGTCCGTGCCGAGCCTCTTCAAGGATGCGTCGAGTGCCTTTACAGCATACTCGGGCGTGCCGTCGATAGTCCTCGGACCGGAGACGATGCCGAACTTAGTCGCAAGGAAGATCTTGTCGCGCTTTCCGGTGCGCTTGAACCTGGAAGGCGTGTTTAGTCGAGTGCACATTCCGCATCGAGCATGAACGGGGAAGCTTACCATTGTCCGATGAGGTCCTCGCTGTCGAGGTACCTGTCAGCGGTGTCCCAGAATGTGCAGCCGCCGTCGTATACGGCGTCAAGAACCTGTGCAGGTACGTTTAGTATTGGGTGCCGCAGACGGGCCGTCCACCACCGACCTTGAAGCGTTCCTCGTCGGGAAGGATCTTGCCATAGAAGGCGGAGATACCCATGGCGCCATAGCCTACAGCGGTAACGTCGTCATCTCCAATCTTGCGGGTCGGAAGGGGTGCCATCCTGCGAGGTTTTGTGTGTAGAGTGCGTGGGATGGGTGAGAGGTGGGTGAGTAGTGAAGTCAGGCGTCCAGTTGTCCGCCTTATATACGCCGCCATTCGAAAATCGTCACTCTGACATCAGCTGAGTGTTCTGTGGCTTATTAATGGAGAAGCCATGGTGAGTTCTGTAACTTTATACACAGGGAGCACCTGCCGGTCGGAGACGTGAACGCACCCACGATCGTGGAGGAGATAGCAAATAGCATATGTTTCGAAGATTCGTGCTTGACGCTGAATTCGTTGCGCAGCAAGTATATATATGTACGTGTGTGTCAGGCCTGTGCGCCTAGGAGTGGTGGAAGATGCTGGAATCTCGAGTCCGCCGTCAAGGGTGGTTTGAACGGCCTCCGACAGTGGGTATCATGGGGACTCGGGTTTGCTCGAGACCCATTTGGCGTTGCGGCGTCCCCAGCGTGTGTCAAACGCAAATCGCTGTCGCCGTCGTGCAGAAAGATTGATTGGTCCCGCTAGTATGTGTTGTGCAGGAGAGGATGGTGATAGCGGAGTGTATGCTCATCCGGGGCCTCCTCGAGCTTCTGGAGTAGTTTTGGGGACACGTTGTCTCCCAGCAGGCTCTTCATGCTTAGGCGACACTGCTCATGCGTAGCTACGGCTCGTTCAACAGCTCCTGGAAGAGAGGCAGAATCAGCGCCAGCTTGGAGAACCGGACTGACATGCATGTCGGAAGAAACCTTCAGGTTTGACCATATTTCCCGCAACCATCTCGTCATCGAACACGGGTGTCCGTATGGCGCTTTCTGGTAAGACCATCATAGGGATGGCGCCGATGTCTAGGCTGACTGCCTTCCGGGTCTTCTCATCCTTAAGCTCTATGAGGCCGTTGTAGCAGTCCACGAGAGTTTCTGTAGATGTACGCTCGTCTGTCGTCGTCACCTTGCGATCACGCTCAGACTCTCGGGCACCGAGGACGATGACGAGCTGCCTGCGGAAGTCATCCGGACCTATCGCCCTAATCTCGCGCGGTGTTACAAGCTCGATATCTACATAATAGGTTAGCACATCTGAGACGCACGATGGTACTATAAACACGGCCATGGTTGTGACTCACAACACGGCAGGACACAGCGCGTCCGGGCCTCTGCAGGGACGTCCTCGCGCAGCTCATCGAATAGATGTCGGCAGATGCGGGTCACGAATCGGTTGTCGATGTCCCATTTGATACCGCGCAGCCCGTTGCGTTTCTTCTGCGCGTCGACGTCGAAAGGTGTTTCTTATGGCACGACGGGGGTTCCTTCCCGCAGTCTTCCCCGAAACCTTCCCGCAAGAAGGGGCGGAGGACGTCGGGTTCGAGAACGCCTGCGAGATAGTGAGTGGCCGCATTGGCCGGCGGCGGTTGGGACGTCGACATGGGGTATGGATTTGTGCAAGTGGCCGGTTCAGCTGAGAGTGGGCAATGCAGTAGTCGCTACTGATGGGTTTGTACGTCAGCATGCGGTCTGTATAGGGCCTGAGGTATGATGTGACACGGATCCCGCAACACTGCCCGCACAGCGGCGCATCCTAGGCCTAGCAAAACACGGCTATTGTACCTCGCGTAAGGGTGGGAAGTGGGACGAGTCATAGTGATACTTACCTGCCCGGTTCAGTCTGCCATGGCACACAAGCCCAGGGGCGAGTATGGCTCAGATGGAGCCCCGACGGCCTCGTCGTGCAGAGGACGATCAATTTGGGTTCCGAGGCTGGATCGGTGTACGCGATCAGCCATGCGCCATGGCCACGATGGAGGGGGAGCGTCTGACAAAGGGGGCAGAACGATGCTGCGGCTGAGGACAAAGGGAGGAAGGAGGACAATGAGGTGGGATCGCGCCCACGTGATGGGGGGGGCGGCGCGTCGCGTCGATTAATTGTGGCCATGGGCGTAGCTCGCACGGGGCCGATTTCTGCAGTCGACCATCATGAGCGATGTCGATGAATCCCACTCCCGTTCGTACCTCCAGCCAGGCGCAAACCCCTCGTCCATCCGTCTCGACGTTCTCAAACGCCGCGTCCCCCATCTCTTCGGCTCTCAACGACACTCGCGCCGTTCAAAACGTCTTGCTATATCTGCCCCTCGCTCCCCGTCCTCCCTCTCCAACGTGTTTGACCCCTGTATGTTTGCACGACGCTCTGAGCTCTCCAACACCGTCCCTTATTGACCCTCTTCCTTTAAGTCTCCGACATCAGCGAGGACATGTCCCATGACGAATCGCACAGATCCTCCGCGCCAGCGTCGCTCCCGGCATCCGGCGCCCCTGCTCATCCCGAGTCGTATGGTACGTGCTCATGCCTCACTTGCCGTGCCAGATACTCATGCGCATGTTGCAGAGGGGTCGCTGGACATGTCCATCGTGCCGTCGCCCGGCCTCCGCGAGCGCACAAACATGCCCATGCCTCCGCCTAGTCCGCGCGGGCGCGACGCGAAGGCGAAGGAAGACGTAGGCTCGCACACCTCACCGACGTCGGGGCGCACGAGTCCGGCGTCGAGCACCAGGCACCACGCGAGTCGCTCGGGCTCGCGCACGGGCGCCGCGGGGCCCTCGCGCGCACGGGATGCGGAGCAGCCGTTGACGGAGGTCGGTCACTCGCCCGTCGTCAGGGATGGAGTCTCGTTTCAGTCGCTGGAGCTTGACTTCCCGGGGCTCCCTCAGCAGCTGCTGGAGGTGTTTGCGAGGGAGCGCCGGAAGCTTATGAAAGAGCGTGAGGAGCTTGCGAGGGAACGGCACAAGCGCAAGATGTGCGAGCTGGAGGTGAAGTCGTTGCAAACGCTCCTTGAGATGGAGAAGGAGGGGCGGGCGATGGAAGTGAAGTGGTTGCAAGCGTCCATCGAGAAGGAGAAGGAGGAGCGAGCGAAGGAAGTTAATTTCCTCAAGGAGGAGCGGGCGAAGGACGTTAATTTCCTCAAGGAGTTGCGCAAGACCGAAGTCGACCACCTCAAAGCTCTCCTCGAGGAGAAAGATCGACGTCTCCAGGAGCAGGATCGATGGCTCCAGGAGAAGAATCGGGAGAAGGATGATTGGCGGGAGTCTGTAGTCAGCTCGTACAAGGAGACGGTTGCGATGTTGAAGGAGAGATGCGAAGAGCTCAAGAGGGAAGTGCAGGCGGCGAGCACCGGGAAGCCTCTCTGAACCCAGTAGCTCGACTTCCTGCCCGAGCATTGTCTCTCATCCCCACTGCATTTCCCTTCCACGCCATCATGTGTTTGCTCTCATGTTTTTCATCGCTCGCTTTGTAGTTTTGACTTGCGGATTCGGATTCTCGGTGCGCTGCGAGACCTGGCTGTTATGTATGTACAATATCTACGCTCATGAATATCATCAAATCACGACTCGGACCTGGAAGAATGGCGGCTCTCTTGGCCGTCGTGCTACTAGCGCAGTCACTCTCGTGCCTGTCTGCGCCCGTGCGAGCGGGTGCAACTGTAGAATTATGAGGATATTTTATCTGTTGCTTCCCGCAGGCGCGGAGGTGCGTGATAAGGAGCAGTACTAGCAACATGCATCGTTCAGAGTCACTCGATCCTACTTACCGCAACCATGAACAGACCCCCAAGGGAATGGCTGTTACGTTCAGACCGACTGCCTTCCGAGTCTCCGGGTCTGCTATGACACTGTAGTAGCAGTGCACGAACTTTGCCAGACGAGCACGCTTAGACTCTCCTCTGCGGATGCCCATGACGACGACGAGTTCCTTGCAGCTAGTACTGTGACTTTATCATGACACTCGGCCGTGAGAGTTCCGCGGCTAGACAAAAACGTGGGATGGTCAACAAGTCTGGGTGGTGCGGCGACTGTGGAAGAGACTCGCAACACGGCACAACCATCCGTTTTCGTATTTTGGCGTCCGTAACATCGCACGCGCATCCCTTCGGAGCAAGGTTTCGCAGCGGTTGCTGATGCGCTGCTCGGCGTCCCATTTGGCAGCCCCGAGCTTGCGCAATTCCTCGTATTTGTTCTCCGAATGTAGGTTGGCATCCTCTCTGGCCGTATGGCACGTCTGGTGAAGAGACTCGAGGGTGGGAACAAAGGGCCCTAAGCCGCAGTTGATTGGACAGACGTCCGTCGAGTGGAACTCCACCGGGCGGCGAGCAAACTGTCGGATACATTTCAGTCTCTATCAGGCGGGGCGGCGGAGAGGCGGATGAATGAGGAAGCTCTGCCGAAGGCGATCATGAGGTCTTCTCACAGGCCTCCACATTTGTCGATTCTCACTGGGCCTGATCGTCCAAGTCCGAGGAGCATGGCTAAATGGGAGACGTCGGCTGCGCGCACAGTGGTGCGTCATACTGGCGAAACACGGCCATTGTACATCACGTAAGGGTAGGAACTGGGAGGAGTCATAGTCCTACTTACCTGCCCGATTCAGTCAGCCATGTCGCCAAAGCGCAGGGGTGGGTATGGCTCCGGTGGGGCCTGGGCGGCCTCGCGGTGCAGAGGACGATCGATTTAATTTCCGAGGCTATATCTGCTCAGCCATGCGCCATGGCGACGAATGGGGGTGAGCGCTGTGCGTCTGGCTAAAGGGGCAGAGGGATGTTGCGGCTGCAGACAAAGGGAGGAAGAAGGAGGACAATGGGCTGCGGACGGGCGCCTGTGGGGAGGTGGGACCATGGCCACGTGATGGGGGGACGGCGCGTCGCGTCGCGGGGCCATTTGAGCCGCGTTGTGTTGCTCTGCAGTCAACCACGATGAGCTATAAATCCTGCCCCCGTTCGCGCTCTCCTTCTCCCTACCCCCAGCCAGGTGCAGACCTCTCCTCTGTCCGTCTCGCCATCCTCAAACGCCGTGTCCCCCATCTCTTCGGCTCTCGACGACACTCACGCCGTTCCAAACGTCTCGCCATGTCTACCCCTCGCTCCCCTTCCTCGCTCTCCAACCCCGCATCCGCCGTCAACCCTGTCGACACCGACACTATCTGGAACATCCACCGCCGTCTTTCCCAGCTGCGAAAAGCCCGTAACACGGACGACTTCCCCCCTTTGCTCGATATAGAGCTCCTCGTCGGGCTCGCTGAGGCGTTCCTAAACGCTCCTTCCGACAGTAGCCTCAAGAGCCGGTTCTGGGCCGAGCTCCTTCCCAAGGTTGACGCAGCTCTTACCAAGGCGTTCGAAAGAAGCCGATCACTCCTGAGCCCGGGTGCGTCTGACGAATTTGTTAAAATCCCGACGGACATCAAGGGCTGGATCGAGGAGGTCGTCCCTATTCATGTCGAGTTGATCAAGGACATCGTCCAGCAGGGCAGGGGGAAGGAGGCGGTGTTGGAGCTTCTTCCAGTGCTCCAGGAGTTGAAGAACGTCAAGGACATCCCGCCGGAAAATCAGGACACTCTCTCTGACCTCGTATTGGCACTCGACCGCCTGCTCAAGTCAGAAAGCCAAGAGCTCTCCGGAGACGACTATGTCATCCCGCCGGAGGAGAACTTCATGCGCATATTGGGCGTCAACAACAGCGATGAACTACGGCAGCTCTGTGAGGCCAGCGGCATATTTGAATACAGTATGTTTGCACGACGCTCTGAGCTCTCCAACATTGTCTCTTATTGACCCTCTTCCTTTTAGCCTCCTACAACAGCGAAGACATGTCCCAGGACGACTCGGACAATCGCTCCATTCTACGTCGTGGTGGTCTGTACGGTATGTGCAGCCCGTCCTCATCCAAAGCTAGGCGATGCTCATTCCTCCGCTGCTCCAGCAGCACCCCCAGCGCCCGCCGCCGTTCCTCTTTCACCGCCTGGAACAAGTGCAGCCGCTGCGTCCGCATGGCCCCCGGTGCCCCGCGCCCCTGTTCCTGTTGCGCCAGGCGGTATGTGCTCGTGTGCCATCCACTTGGTCTCCCCGATACTCACATACATCCTTCAGACGGGACTATGGACATGTCCGTCGAAACCAACCCCGCCACCACCTACACGGACGACTCGAACATGTCCTTGGAATCCACCGCGTCTACCGGAACCCCTGCTCATTCCGAGGTGTACGGTACGTGCTCATGCCTCGCTTACTCCGCGCCCGGTGCTCATGCGCATGTTGCAGAGGGCACGATGGACATGTCCCTCGCGTCCAGGTCCGCCGCCATCAGCGTGAGCGAGTTCGACTTGAGCCTCGACCCCCGCCTCGACGACACCCCGGCCGCCTCGCCCACGCCCCCGTCGCCCGGCCTCCGCGAGCGCACGAACATGCCCCCGCCCAGTCCGCGCGGGCGCACCGCGAAGGGGAAGGAAGGCGTGGATCCGCGCACCCCGTCGGTGTCGGCGTCGGGGCGCGAGAGCCCGGTGTCGAGCGCGGGGAGCCAGAAGAGCCGCTCGGGCTCGCGCACGCGCGCGGTGCGGGCCCCGCGTGGATGGGGTGCGACACCGCCGTTGATGCACTCGACGCCGGCGGGCCTGGGCGCGCACCCGTCGCAGAAGGGGCCTGGGCTTATGCGAACGCCCTCCGGGCTCTCGCACGCGTCCAGTGACGCATCCTGGCCTGACTTCCAGAAGCTGCGGGACACGGAGGATGCGCTTGCGAAGGAGCGTGATGAGCACGAGAAGAGCCGTCAGGAGCTTGCGAGGGAGCGGCAGGAGCGCGAGAAGCGCGAGATGGAGGTGAAGTCGTTGCAAGCAGCCGTCGAGAAAGAGAAGGACGAACGAGCGAAGGAAGTGAGGTCGTTGCAAGCGTCCATCGAGAAGGAGGCCGACTTCTTCAAGGCTCTCCTCCAGGAGAAGGATAAGATCCTTCAGGAGAAGGACAAGCTCATTCAGGAGAAGGACAAGCTCATTCAGAAGGAGGAGGAGCGGCGCGAGTCCGAACTCAACAAGCTCGAAGGTCAAGTCGGCTTGTACAAGGACATGCTCGCGTTGTTGAAGGACCAACTCAAGACGGCGCAGAAAGTGCAGTAGGCGAGCACCGGGAAGCCCTTCTGAAGCCAGTAGCTCGACTTCCTGCCTGAGCAATTTCTCTCATCCCCACCGCATTTCCTTTTTTTCGCCGTTATGTGTTTGCTCTTATGTTTTCCATTGCTCGCTCTGTAGCTTCGACTTGCGGACTCTGATCTACGGTGTACTGCGAGGCCTGGCTGTTATGTATGTACAATATCTACGCTCATGAATATCATGTATCAAATCGCAACGGAGCCTTTATCTCACGGACCTCCCGGAATAGCTGTTCATAGAGGTAGTTGGACCGGTTGTCGATGTCCCATTGCCTGCAATTGTGAGTCGGCGTCGGAAGGGATGTCGACAACCCGGCGGGACGGCTCGGACGCGTCGATCGTGTATGGGCCGCGCGGTCACGTGGGGCTACGCGTGTGCTGATGGTTCGCTTCGTGAGCCACGCCCGACTCTCTTCATCCTCCTCCACTCTTCTCCTCGGCTTCCGCTCTCTGCGTCGACTCCAACGATGCCGCCCACTACGAAGACGCGTGCTACCGCCACGCGGACCACACGAACTGCCACAAAGTCCTCCAAGTCATCCTCCGCCGTCTCGCCCGACGACCTTGCGGACTCCATCGCCTCAAAACTCTCCATCTCCGACCCCAAGGGCAAGGCCAAGGCCGCCGGACCCAGTCCACAGCAGCGAAAAGCGGACGCGATGCGCAATGTCAACGCCGCCTCCAAGAGCCTCTCCGCTGTGGCTGAATCTGGCTGGAAGGCCTCTGACGCCAAATCGGACAGAACCACTGCCGCCTCTGCTGTGAAGCATGCCGCGTCTGCACGCAAGGAGCTGAATGTACTGCGAGAATTCAGCCCGGGAGAGGTCGATGTTGAGCGCGCTGCGTCTAGCGTCGTCGGGAAACTGGTCTCCCTCGAGATGGTGCGCCTTCTTTCTCCTATGCTGCGGCCTTGCTCACCAGCGTACAGTACCAAGCAGCATCTGGCGTGCTGCAGGATATGCGTGCGCCTGTCGCTGGCCTCTACCATCCCAATCCTCCGCCTGTGGCGACCCACTCTCTACACGACTTGCTTTCGCTGCCTCTCCATGACGGCCCAATCTCAGAACTGCATCTAACGCTGATCTCTACATATCTCCTACACGCACTCACCGTCGCCCTGCATACAACAACTGACTTACCCGCCCTTCTGGCCCTCCTGCACGACCCTACTATCCCGGCACTGCTGTCCTGGACACTTGCGCTCTCCCGGTTACCTGAGAAGCAGCACGACAACGTCTTCACGCGTGCGTATACTGTGACTTCTCGCTTTGCCACCTCGTCTGGCACCGCTCCATCGTCTGCGTACTCCTTGCGAGCGTACTCTCTGCTATGTCTCGCGCACACTCGCCCCTCGGTGATCGCCCCAAACACGTTCTGGGAACAGGCCACAAAATTTGCTGCCGCGTTCGCCAAGGAACAGACTGTGAAGCCCGCAGAGGGCGCGCGGACTGTCTTGGAAGGCTCTGCTCGTCTCGTGGCTTGTGTCGAGCAGCGGAGCGATCGCGCAGAGTTCATGGCAGGTCCTGCATTTGCGCGTTTTTGCGAGTATTGGGGCAGGTTTGCCAAGCAGGTGCGTCGTGGATATGTACAACCAGAAGCCAGTCCGTGCTCATAATCTATTATACAGGCGGGGGATTTGCGCACCCTCGACCAGATTGGCAAACTATCACAAGGCGCGGGTGGAAGTGATGCGGATACAGAGAGTGACCGTGCAGTCATCGAGACATCCGCGCTGTCCACCACGCTCGCTCGTGCGCTTGCCGTTTTCGAGGCCTGGCAAGGTGGGTTTTCGCCTCTCCCCCCGTATCATATGCTATGCCATTCTGACGTCGGCTGCAGACCATACTGCCGACATTGTTGACAAGTTGCGAGAGGCGTCGAGCGCGATCAAGCGTTGCGGCCACTCTCTTGGACAATCTGGCGAGGACCACGACCGCGTCAAGCGCGGAGTGGAGAGATTGCGCCGCGCCGTCGTCAAGATCATCGAGCCGTCTGCATCTGCGGAGACAAACTGTCCTCCCGAGGTACGCACCTGTGCGCGCGCGATACTCCAACAAATCGTCGACGTACTCTGTGAGAAGGTGAGTTCCTCCGTTCACGGCGCCAAGCTGGGTGCTTAACGAATGCACAGAGAACGGCGTATTCGTCGACCATCCTGACGGGCGCGGTGGAGAGCCTCTTCGCCCTCTCCCGCACTGCCTTCGTCCTCAACAACCCAGACACGTACGCCCCCGCACGCGCGTACCTCGAGCGCGCCACGTCGCTCATCTCACACGCGGGGAGTCAAGAACGCACGTCCGACGCGGTCTCCGGTGTGCAGCTCGCGAACTACACGCGCTGCGTGGCGGGCGCGTACTACAACTTCGCGCTGCAGCTGCATCAGGGCGGGCGCCTGGCGCACGCGGTGCCGTTCCTCGAGCAGGCGTGCGCTCGCGCGGAGGGCGCGCTTGGGGAGTGGCGCGCGGCGGTGAGGGAAGAGGGGGACGGGGATGCGAAGAAAGAGGTGTGGGGGCAGCTGGAGGAGCAGCTGTATAGGCGGTGGGAGCTGCTGGGAGTGTGTCATGCGAAGACGGGGGACCGGCAGGTGAGCATGTGCGTATCATTCGATGATGAGCGGTAGCTGACTGGGTGTATAGATGGCGTACGACGCGTTCGTGAAGAGCATCATGGCGTTCCCGTACGGGCCGCATGGCGTCGCGCAGCTCGCAGCGACGACGCTCCCGTCCGCGCTCTTCGACAGCGCGCCCCTCAAGCACCTCGCGACGCTCGTCGACCGCGTCACCTACATGGCCGCGTGCGAGCTCTTCCGCGCGCCCGCGTCCGTCCCGCTCGCTACCTGGCCGAACTTTCCCTGCTCCGACGCTGGCGCGCTCGTCGTGGGCGCGCTGATGGAGCGCCAGCTCGCGAGCCTGGAGGAGTGCCGGTGGAAGCAGGGCGTGCGGGCGGTCGTGGACGCGCTTCTGGACGCCGTGGCGGGGCTGTATGAGCGTGAGGGGTGTGCGGTAAGGCGCGCGAGGGTGGTGGTGCGCAAGCTGGAGATGGGGTACTATTGCGAGGAAGGGGAGGGGCAGTATGAGGCGATGAAGCGGTTGGGCGAGGAGGTCGAGGCGCTTCTGACTATCGAGGTGCGTCCGAAACATATGACATCCATTGGAAAGAAGAGCGCTGACGGACGAGACAGAATATCGAACAGGGGCAGGATAAGGCCCTCGCGCGGTACGCGCCCGAGCAGCGTGCGATGGCGCACCTGTGGCTCGCGGCGCACGCGCACCGCGCGCGCGACCCGTCGCTGCCCGCCGTGCTCGTCGCGCACGTCGAGGACGCGTGCAGGGTGCTGAAGGGAATGGTGCCCGCTGCGGTGCCGCGATTGTCGATGGGCAAGTCGCCCGCGGGTAAGCAGAAGGAGACAGTGGGGGAGGAGAAGGGGAGGAGGGGCGTGAGGACGACGAGGGCGAAGCCTGCGCCGGCGGGCGGCGAGGCGGCGAAGGGGAGGGTGCCGGCTGGGAGGACGCGCGCGGCGAAGACGGCTGTGACTGTGGCCGCGCCTGTTACGCCGAAACGGCGGAGAGGTACGTTTGTTTCTTAGGACGGGTGCGTGCAGTAGTTGATGACTTGCGGGGCTCAGCGTTGGACCCGGTGTCTCTGAACACTGCGGTGATCAGTCCGACTAGGAATTCGCTGCCTGTGGCAGGTGTGCAGGGGAAGATGGAGTTTGACGATTTCGGAAGACTTGTGAACCTGATCCGTAAGTCCATTAAGGCGCAGTAGGGAGGCCAGAGTGTGCTGAACACTTATGGACACAGGGATGGTTTCACATTTAGTCGGTTTGGTGGGCCACGTCCTCGCGCGGGTCCAGCTCCTGAACGCTGCCCGGAGATTGACGGAACGGCACACCGGAGTTGCGTCGGAAGGTGAGCTACTTTCCCTATGATCTAGCTCTTTGCGACTGACTGCCGGTTCAGTGTATGTCTCGCTGACGATCGACACCGCGCACGAGTACGTCAAGCTCGGCCGCGCCGAGAAGGCGGTTTCGGTCCTGGCGCACGTCCTACCCGCGATCCGGAGCGGAACGTTGTCCCAGGAGGGCGTGATCGTGTTCTTGCTGCGCTATGCGGAGGCGCAGGCTGCCATGGGCGAGGTCCTGAAGGCGTAAGTAGCCCTGCGGGTTGTGAGAGTAGCCGCTGACAAGATGCGTTATAGATCGCTCACATATTGCGAAGCTGTTACTACTGCGGCAGACTTTGTTATTGACGAGAAAGGGCTGCCGACGGCGCAGCGTATCCGAGTCCGGACCGCGCTGCTCGAGCGTGCAGCGGAAGCTGCGCTAGCGTATGCAGCTATCCAAGACGCGAGGGTGAGTGACCCCTTTCGGGATCGGTGTTTCACAAAACTGACGTCTCTCGCAGGACGATCCGACCTCATCACTCGAAGGCCTCCTCCAGGCCCTCCGCCTATGGAACCGCGCGATCGACACCCTCTCGCGCCTGCAGCCCACCACACCCAAACCAGCCCCAGAAGACAACCCATTCGAAGTGCCCAAACCCGCAAACCCCGCACAGGCCGTCGCGCAGCTGCAGGAACCGCGCGTGCTCTCCCCGCACGCGAGCCGCGCGCCGTCTGCGCTCGACTCCTCCGGGTGGCGCCTCGCGGAGGGCTTGCTGTGCACGCTGCTCGCGCTCGCGCAGGCGTACGCGGCGCGCGGGAGCGCGCGCGAGGCGGAATTCTTCGCGCAGCAGACGCGCGAGCTCGCGGGGGCGCTGCACGCGCCGGTGATGGTGAGCCGCGCGCTCGCGCAGCTGGGCGAGCTGCAGATCCAGATGGGGCTGCTGCAGAAGGGGCATGCGGCGCTCATGGAGGCGGCGGCGCTCGTGGGGCACCTGCGGGGCCCGGACGTGGCGGAGATTAGGAGGCTGCAGGGGCGGTATAGGGAGTTGAGCGCGGACAGTAAGGGTGCGCAGGTGTTGTTTGAGGAGGCGACGAGTTTGTTGGATGAGCTTGGGGGCGTGTTTGCGAGTATGGATGGGGGGAGCGGGTGAGTTTTTTCCGGTGCTGTGGTGGAGTGCGAGGGAGGGGCTGATGGTGGGTTTGTAGGGCGAGGAAGAGCTTGGTGGCGTCTCCGAGGGCGGTGAATGTCAATGCTCAGACGTCGATGTCTGAGAGCATCCTCGCGCCGACGTTGCTCGCGAGATTGTTGAGGCATCATAGTACGTCGTTTCGTACAGGTTATGATGCGTCGTGTAATGTTCTCCTCTACTTAGTTTCGCTACTGCACGAGGTGGGCGAGGAGTACGCCAACCTCCTCCAACGCTTCGCGAAGCTGCCTCAGACGGCAGACGCCAAGGTCAGCCCTCGCCCTTTTGAACCTATCTATGTATGCATAGCTAACGGTATCATGCAGGCGGAAGAGATCGCTTTGCGCGCAAAGCTCACGCTCGATGATTTGTATTCTCGTTTCCGTGCGGACATGTTCCTCAGCTCCCTTGCAGAGTCCGGTGAGTGTTGCCCGCTGGACGTTGTATCGTTATGTGCTCATTTTTCTCCACGTAGCCATGACTATCCCGATGGGAATGTCGGGAGACATTGCACCCTCCCCCGCCTCACAAGACATGCTGGAGACTCTGGCTACGGCTGAAAAACTGTTCTGGGAACATATGAGCTACATCGCCCGTCGGGGACATGTTTCGTCTGTCCGCGAGGCGGCCGTCTGCCTTGCTCTCATCCGGACGTTCCGGACGAGCTTGGGTCGCGGAGACGTGCAAACGCCCGTACTTGCCGCTCAGCTGCTAGGTGAGTTGCTCGTTGAATGATGTGCCCTCTGAGGTCTGACTGGGATTGTAGATGGGTCTACGGTGACCACGCTGCGCCGCGAGATGTTGGACGTCATCCGCCACAAGTTCCTCAACTTGAACGCCATGGACGACATGCAATGGCCGCACATCACACCCAATGGGTCGCCCCTTCCGCCACAACCGAAGTCGAGACCGGCCGCACGCTTTAGCTCTCTTATATCCGACTCGGAGGACGATGAGCCGATGGACGACGTCGACCTGAAGGCGTACTGGCAGGCGATCGCGAAGCGATATGAAGCGCAGAGCTTCGACATGGCGAAGATGTCTGTCAACCAGGCCGACCAACTTCCGCCGCACTGGACGGTCGTGAACGTCAGTATCACCGAAGATCGTCATACCATGTTCGTTACTCGCCAGCGTGCGGGTCATAAGCCTCTCATTTTCTGCCTGCCCCTCAAAGGCAGGAGAGAGGGCCAGGAAGACGAGCATCTGACATACGAGGACGCGATCAAGGAGCTGCAAGAGATTATTCGTTTGAGCGACGAGGGCACTCGGCAGGCTGCAGACGTTAAGAAAGATGATCGGGAAGCTCGCATGGCCTGGTGGAAAACCCGGTCTGAGCTCGATGGCCGACTCCGCGAGCTCCTCGGAGACATCGAGTTCTGCTGGCTTGGCGCGTTCAAGGTACGTACATTCAACTTACGGCAAGAACGCCCATTGACAAGGCCTCGACAGACCATCTTCACACCGACAGATCTGCACTCGGAAGACCTCGCGGCGCTTCGCACTCGCTTGGACGTGGTGTTCAAGGGCAGCCTCGTGTTCCAGGAGAAGAAGCCGAAGTCCCGCCTCGGCCTCGACGACGGCCTTCTCGAGTGCTTCTCCACGCTGCCGCCGAACTGCCGCGATGAGGAGCTCGAAGACCTCGTCTATTTCATCCTCGACCTGTACCAGTTCCACGGCGTGCCGGTCGCCATCTCCGAGGTGGACATGGACCAGGTGGTGGTCGAGCTGCGGAACGCGCTCGAGGAGCACGCCGCGCGGATCAAGGGGCGCGGCGCGGCGGACGCAAACGCAGACGGAGATGCAGCCGGGCAGGACGACGGCCACATCTTCCTCGTGCTGGACAAGAACGTGCAGGGCATCCCGTGGGAGTCGCTCCCGGTCCTGCGCGGGAAGAGCGTGAGCCGGGTCCCGAGCATGGACTTCCTCACCGACCGGCTCGAGTTCTCGCACTGGCGCAAGTGGGAGGACGGGCGCGCGCAGGAGGGCCGCGTCGACCAGGCGAGCGTCGACCCGCGGCGGACGTACTTTGTGCTGAACCCGAGCGGGGACCTGAAGGGCACCGAGGGCCGCTTCGCGGAGTGGCTGGCGGGCATGAAGAGCGTCGGGTGGGACGGGGTGGTGGGGCGTGCGCCGAGCGAGCAGCAGTTTGTGGATGCGCTGACGAACCGCGACCTGGTGATGTGAGTTCGTGCGCTGTGCGGGTGTCTGATTGGGTTCTGACTTGGGCACAGATACTTTGGGCACGGCGGTGCTGAACAGTACGTGCGCTCGCACAAGATCCGCCACCTGCCGAGATGCGCTGCGACGATGCTCTGGGGCTGTTCGTCAGGCATCCTCAAGTATATGGGTGACTTCGACCGAACGGGCACCCCATACCATTACATGCTCGCAGGCTGGTACGTTCGAACAGCGTCCCTTCTCGGCGTGGGCTCGAAGCTCACCCACCTTGCTCTACAGCCCAACGCTGGTGGCGAACCTATGGGACGTGACCGACCGCGACATCGACAAGTTCTCACAGTCGGTGTTCGACGACCTGCATCTGAACGCGGACGCGGTCAAACGGTGGCGGGCGGACGACGGGGGCGCGGAGCGGACCTCGGTCGTGCGCGCGGTGGCGAAGGCGCGGGAGAGCTGCAAGCTGAAGTATCTGACTGGGGCGGCGCCTGTGGTGTACGGGATACCCTTCTACTTGTGATACCACCGTGATGTTTTCTATCTTTATATATGAACAAGTTTTTGCTTACTTGATGTTGTTCCATCGCCGCTCGATGTTGGTCCAAAATGATAGATACATAGCTTATGCATTATGCTCGCGCGCGCCCACTCGGCCTGCGCGTACACGTTCGGATTCGGATGGCTGACAGACGCGAAGCTGTTCGTCAACGCCGACATCATGTGGCAGCGCTGAATGTTTGTGTATCTGCGATGGAGATGTTGTCGGCCGAAAAGCGGCTGGATTCGCTTCCTAGATTGGGCGCGGCTGAGTTCGATGGACATGTCCCGTCAAGTTTCAAAATGACAACGTTCACCGAAAACTGACCCGGTGGAGGGGCTGTTAGAGTTCAGTCAGCGTTGAAACGGGACACTGAGGACAGTACGGATAGCTTGCATCACGCTAGAGTGGTCCTAGGGGTGAATTGGCTCTGGACGAGAAGGCTCTGGACAGGAAGAGTGAGCGGCCGCGGTAGGTGTACGGGGACTCATGGGTTTCCGGACTGTGAGTAACCTACTCGGATGACCGGGAGTCCGGGACGAGATGAACAGAGGTGGAATTTGGGTGGAATGCTCACGAACACAACTAGCCGAGCTCGTCGAGTATGTTGCCAGCCCCACTACGAGATAAGATCCCCCAGGCGACCTTTTCGGTATGTCAGGAATTCGAAGGTGGGCGTGAACGACTCGGAGCCGGCGCCGCGGATGCAGATGAGCCGGGGCTCGTCGTCTGCGGTCTCCGCGTGCTCCTCGGCGGGAAAGATATGTGCTGTGCGAGTTCTGTATACGCGTGCGCCGGGAAACGTGGGAGGCGGCCGACGAGCGTATCATACGGGCGACGAAAGAGCAGGGTCCCTGGCAAAGGTGCTCGTCGCTGCAAGCCGCTGCGGAGCCGGGGAGGAACGCGGGCGGATGATCGGCGCCACCGCCGGGCCGCGCGCGTCGTCGGCCGCGGGGAAGGCGGGGGCGGGGCGACGACCAGGGGGGCTAGGGATCGCGCGGACTAGTGGCTAGTGGGACGGGGGCTGGCGGCTCGCACGGAGGAAGTAGGTCGGGGCGTATCAGGGCGGGAGATGTGCATCTGCCAGAAGCTGACCGCGCCTTCTCTTCCCACTCGCCCCCACCACTCACTGGCACTGCGCCTCTCCTGTGTCTCTTTCCTTTCCTTTCTTCCACCGAGTATCTGTCTCTGTCTGTGCGTCCCCCCTCTCGCTCCCCGCGTATACAGCTAGGCTAGGACTTGGATGCAAGGCGTGCGCTACGACCCGGACGACCCGCTCGCGGCCGCGCTCGCGCCGCCCCCGGGAGAGTCGGCCGAGGAGCGGGCGGCGCGCGTAAGGCGCGAGGAGGAGGCGAAGCGGGTGAACGACGAGATCGACGAGCGGCTGAGGGAGGAACGGGCGGCGTGGAAGCGGCGAAGGTCGGACTTCAAGCTGCTGCTGCTGGGGCAGAGCGAGTCAGGTACGTTTGCATGTTGTTAAACTGAGAGTCCCCACGCCCGAGGAGTCGTGCAGGGGCGGGCGTGTGTGTCCGTTGTGGAGATCGTGCACGACGACGTCCCGATCCTGGGTTTGCTAGCCGAGAGATCGGGCCCTGAGTGTATGAAGGCATGCTAACCCTTTGTGCGCAGGGAAGTCGACGACGCTCAAGAGTACGCACTCGTGTTCCTCGCCCTGAGACACCCGGCTGACTAGAGCGCAGACTTCCAGCTCGCGTTTGCGCCCAAGGCATGGCAGGCGGAACGCGCCTCCTGGCGCGCCGTCATCCAGCTCAACCTCGTCCGCTCGATCAACTCCATCCTCGATGTGCTCTCCCAGGAGATGGCCAGCTCCCCTAGCACGACCTCGCCGACTACTTCCCCCTTCATGCGGCCCACGACCTCACAAGGCACAAACCGCTTTGACCCCTCCACATCCACATCTCCCACCGACGGCTCGAGCACCTCCAGCGACCCGGACGGCCTGCAGTTCACAAACACGCACGCGCTCCTCAAGCTACGCCTTGTCCCCCTGCGGCGCGTCGAGGCCGACCTCAAGCAGCTCATCGGCGCGGCCACGGACGAGGTCGCCCCCGACGCCTTCGGCGCCCCCGCACAGGCGGCGGACGACGCGAACGGCGCGGTGCTGTACGACGGCTCGCCCGCGCGGCGGCGCCCGGCGGAGTTCTACGTGCGCTCGAACCAGTCGTGGCGCGAGGCGCTGCGGAGCACGTACCAGGGCCTGGGTGGGGCGGCGAGCGAGCGCGCGGCGGCGGCGCACGAGAGCAAGCTGGAGGACGCGACGGAGATCATTGCGAGCTGCGCGGTGGACATGGCGGCGCTGTGGGCGGACCCGGTTGTGCGCGAGGTGCTCCGGCGGCGGCGGATGCGTCTGGAGTTGGCGCCTGGATTGTGAGTTTTTTGCGGGCGCACGGGTGGGCGGTGAAGGTGACGGCGCTGACGTGCGATGCTGAGCAGCTTCTTGGACGACATCGAGCGCATCGCCACGCGCGGGTACGAGCCCTCGGACCAGGACGTGGTGCGCGCGCGACTGCGGACGCTGGGGGTGCAGGAGCACAAACTCGTGATGGAGCGCAGTGGTACGCCCTCTTGCGCTGCTCGCTGCTGCAGGACTCACCGGGTGACGCAGGGGTGTCTGCTCTAGCGACGAACGACGTGTCGCGCGACTGGATGATCTACGACGTCGGCGGCTCGCGCACCTCGGTCCGTACTCGCTTCCGGTCTTCCATTCCTCCTGTCGCTGACGGTGACATGGGGGTGACAGCGCGCGGCGTGGTTCCCGTACTTCGACGACGCCAGCGCGATCCTCTTCCTCGCGCCCATCTCGTGCTTCGACGAGCTCCTGCAGGAGGACAGGCGCGTCAACCGCCTCGAGGACTCTTTCTTGCTTTGGAAGGCGATCGTCCAGTCCAAGCTCCTCGCCAACTGCATCCTCGTCTGTGCGTGCCCCGCCTCCGCTCCCGCGCACGGTGACTGACCCCGGCTGTATGCGCAGTGTTCCTGAACAAGTTCGACTTGCTCGACAAGAAGATCCAAGGCGGCGTCCCTATCCGAAAATACCTCCCCAGCTTCGGCGATCGCGACAATAACGCAAAGGTGCTTGCGCACTGTACGTCCTCCCGTGCACCCTTGAATCGCTGCATGCTCACTCCCTCGTAGACCTCCACCAGAAGTTCAGGGACCAGCACCGCGAGTACTCGCCCCAGCCGCGACGGCCGTTCTACGGCTACGTCACGACCGCCATCGTACGTCTTCCGCATTTCCCGTCCGCATCCCCGCTCACGCGCGCCCATACAGGACACGAAAGAAACGACGGCGACGCTCGCGGCCGTGCGCGACGGCATCCTCCGACACAATCTGCGCAAGGCCGACTTCGTATAATCTGCATCTTTCGCATCGTCCGGATGGATCCCGGGGAGGGACACTGTATCTTTAGTTGTTAGTACTTATATCTGTTGTCATCGCTGTTGTTGTTGTCGGGCGGTACCTACCATCTCATTATTCCCTAATGTACCGCGCTTCGTATACGGATATAAATTATGCTGGTATCGGCTTCTCTGTTCGCGTGGTGTGGGTCATGAACTGACTGTTATGGCGAGGACAGCGTCCAGGAACGTATTCCAAGTCTCGACACTGCCCACAGCTTCCCGACTAGCTGCATTTGAGATTATACTCGCGAGCTTGAAGCTAACATGCACTATAGCATGTGAGAATTCGATTCTAGCATAGGGTGTGCGTACGGACAGTAGACACCCTGGGCGACAAACGAGTATTAAGAAAGGGGTATGGCGAACAGAATGTCGTGCCGAGACACATGCAAGCAGACCTGTAACTTACGAGCATGCCATCCTGAGGGGAGGACACTGCGTAGGAGGTGTGGCGCGCGGCGAGGGTGCGGGTTGGAAGGTGTTCGTTAGCTATTTCCGAGTATACGCTATACGCTAGTCCCGTGTATACGGGGGCGGCAACACCATATCGTCATACAGTCGCAGTCCCGAGTCCGCGGCCCGCGAAGCTATCGGGGGGCTGCTGGAGGGCAGGTCAACCCGCGATCCGCTGGAGAACACTGAGCGAAGCAGCGAAAATGTGGGGCTACGACGGGGGTCCGGAGGGGCGTGCGACGTCCCGGAAGGGAGCACGGCAGGCGGCACGGGGGCTATCGTGTCCCGGGCGATCAGGGAAGGCGAGAGGACGCGAGGCTGAGGCGGGCGCGTGCTCGCCTGAGGGGGCGAAGACGAAGGGGAGGGACGGATGTTGGGGAGGGACTGCCTCGGGCTCTTCTCCGAAATCGTGGGCTGACCGTGGCCTACGGGTATGATCGCTTGCGTGGACAAAGATGCGATAGGCGTTGGAGGGCCCAGTGAAGTGCATCCGGCCAATGGATGAAGTGTGTCGCATTCGGATTGGCCGAAGCTGATGGTCTCCCAGTCCCCCGGTGCGGCTTCGCGCAGTGTCGTAGAGAACGAGCTGTGGCTGAACAGACTTGCATGCGCAACAACAGCCCGAGTGGACAGCATCGAGCTGGAGTTCGTAGACCATGGGTGAAGGCCCGAAGAGACAGCGTCGAATGGCTCGGAGATGAAGGGAGCGATAGTTCCCGCTAGAGAAGCGTCGGTCAGCGATTCGGATAACGGGCAGTGGCTCACGTAGTGCGTACCTTGACCGACGTGGGGACGGCGCCTGCGCCTAAAGCAGAAAACGCGAGGACGAGGAATGCGAGGATGGTTCCACCGGCCACGGCGGATCCCGCAATCGCGCCTGGGTTCATACGCTTAGCGCGAGGAGTGTTGGTGCTGGAGACATCCGATGGCGTTGCAGTGATGGACATCGTCGGTAGTTCGGGGTCGATCGCCACACTCGTCGGGGATCCAAGGAAGGGGCCATAAAAGAGGAAATAGTCGAGCGAGAAGGTGTTAGGGCTCGTCCCGTTCATATTTTCGATTTCGATGGTGTGGTTACCCATAACAAGATCTCGGACGGAGAAGAACGTTACGTTGTATCTCATTACGTCTGAGGATGGAACAAACGGCGCGGTATACGTGGCCGTAATTTCCCCGTCGATGGAGTATTGTGTTGTTGGTCGACCGGAGATGTCGAAGGGCGCCAGCACGCCGATCACGCTCACACCGGTGCCTTTATGAAAGATTGGGTTGCAGTCAGGGTAGGTAGCGGGTAGTAGGTAAGAAAAAAGGCTAACCAACGAACGAAAGCCGTGCTTTCAACCCTGCTCTGGTGGCTAGGTGCTGGGTACCATGCGGTTCGCGTGGTCCTCCTATTTCTACCCAGCCGGTCTGGTACTCCACTGCGAGGTCGGAATCGTTGATAAAGATGGTGACAATGCGCGAGGGGGAAGACGGCATCGTTGTGAACGGATCTCCCTGTGGGTCCTGGAGCAGGTGCGCAGCGTTAACCCAGAGGATGTTTGGGATACAAAGAAGGGGAGTGTTTGCTGGCGTTAGGGTTTTGTACGGGGCGAGTGGAAGTCACTGTTGACCCGACGGAACCGACAACGCCGAACTACTTTCTGCGAGCGACAGCTTGCGGCGCTTGACTGGTGTGTATCCTGGGTACGGAGATTGCGGTCGTGTTCATCAGTGCTCGAACCGCAGCAGTAGCTCTGCTAAAGTTGATGTTGTCGAGCTTGTGACAGACAAGGTGTACTGTAGGACTTACAAAATCAGATGGAGACGGCTGCTTCACCTGGCTCACCGAGGTAGCGAACGAGAGCACCGGCGATGAACTTCGTAAGACAAACAGCTCAACGGCGAGAAATGGGGTTTGCCGGCGGCCAACAGCCGGAGTAGGCCCGGCCACACGACCACCTACTCAGAGAGCAAGAGGCGCAGTGTGTGGAACGTCCCAGACGTGATTGACAAGTGCACCGCCCCGAGACGGGATAGCCCTGAAAGCTGGAGGATATAACGGTAGAATACGAGAACACATACCCACAATTTGAGACCGGGGAGCTTACATACAGGGGTCCGCGCCTTCTCCGCAAGTACTGGAGCAAAGGAGAAGTAAGGCAGGAAGTCTCGAGTATTAGCCCCTCACCTCATGTCCAGATTGCGCCAGCGCACACGTCGGGTGAAAGTCGTGTCATAGGTTCACAAGATATATGTCCCGGCAAACGACCGACACAGCGGAAACGAGGGAGCGGAGCGAGCAGAGATGAGTCAGGCGTTGTGCGGAGGGAAGGTAATCAATCCTGGGTATATGGCGGCGGCAGCACAACGTCATCGTAGAGCCTTAATCCCGAGTCGGCGGCCCTTGGAATATTGGCCCGCTGTCCCTGGGAGAAGAGCGAGCGTAGCACAGAATACGCGCGGCCATGAGACTCCGACGGGGCGTGCCACGTCCCAGGGAGGAGCGCTGTAGGAGGAATGGGAGGTGCCTTGGATGGGGTGGGCGGAGGCGCACCGCGTCTCCGAGGGACCAGTAAGGGGGACGCACTGGTAGCCGAGGCGAGCGAGGTAGAAGACTCCGATTGACTATCGACGCAGGGCTCCGGTGTTGCTTCGTACGGCGGCGTAGCGCCAGACCTACGGCTAGAGCGGCTTGCAGGCGCGGGCGCCCGAGTGGAGAGCACTGTGCTTGGAGTCGTAGAATATCGCATCGACGCCGGGCGAGTATTGGAAGAGGGCACGGCAGAGGGGGCAAGGGACACGAATGAGTCCCGAGAAGACGTGAAAGGAGCGACGATTCCTGCTAGAGGATGATGAGCACTGAAGACGGGCGCAGACGTAACCGCAACTCGTACCTTGAAACACTTCTGGGCGCCGCCGCCGCCTGAGGCAGATGAACAGAACGGCGAGGATGGCTGCTAGCACGACGCCACCGGCAACGGCGGCTCCCGCAATGACGCCTGTGTTGACGCGCGAGGCGCGAGGAGAACCGGAGCCGGATAGGTCGGACGTGTTGCTGATTTCTGCCGTAGATGTGTGCACTGCTTCCACCGTGGCCGTACTGATGCTCGCGCTGGCAGTCAATATAATGACTCCAGTACTCCCGTTGGTCGACGTGACGTGCTGTGCGGAGACTGATGTAGTGTACTGGGTCAAAATCGACGAAACGCGCGAGTCAGACGTCGACGTTGTTGACGGCGGAGGAACGGCGGTCACAGTCGTGGTGGTCTGGACGGCGGCCAATGGGGCGGGCGTTGTCGACGTCCCGGGACTGGTGGTCACAGTACTGGTCTGCTGAACGGAGATCGTCGAGGTGGGTGATGTGGAAATCGTCGATGTATCGGGGTTCACGGTCACGGCTGGCGGGCCCGAGTCGATGAGGAAATAGTCAAGCCAGAACGTGTTGGGGCTCGTTCCATCCATGTTTTCGATGGTGATCGTATGGTCCCCAGGAGAGAGGTTCTCCGTAGAAAAGAATGTGGTATTGTAATGTGTCTCGCCTGAAGGAGTGAGGGGTGCGTGGAAAGTTCCCGCGGCCGTCCCGTCGATGGAATATGTCGTCGTTGGTTGTCCATAGACGTCGGACGCCCCTAACGTGCCGATGACGCGTATCCCTGTGCCTACAACGCAGTGATACGCTGGCGGTCAGGTCGGACCACGTTAGGAGGCAGGAAGCACACTCACCAACGAATGAGAGCGATGCTTGTAATCCTGCTTTCTGCGCTCCGTGGCGGGTTCCATGGACCTCGGCGACGCCTTGGTCCCATATCCAGCCGGCACGGTACTGCACATGGGTATTGGTGTCATCGATTAACTGGCTTGCATCCGATGACATAGTGCCAACGGACCGCCGCGGTCGACCTAAACGAGGAGCTGGTATAAACCGGGAGTATCTTAAGGGGGAGTCAAAGAGCAGGAGCGTTTGCTGACGATAGGGAGCGCTATATGAGTGAACGCCGGATGGACGTTGATTGCACGCGATGTCAAACGTCCAGGATGGATGGTGTCGAGCTGTTTCGCGCAGTCATGCCCGGACAAATATGCGCCCCGGGATGGAGAGTACAATGCTAACGGCGTGAATTGGCCACCCCCACTGTCAACGGTTGAGTGTTCGTAACTGCTGAAGTATTGACGGCGTACCTTGCGAGACAGGATACTATTGGTCGCTGGAAATCATCAACTAGGTGGCGCACCAGCGCAGTAGGGTTAGACATCGATACGATGCGGGCCTCCCGTTTTGAGGCCCAGAACGTCGAAAACAGATGGCGTACCAGCGGCGTGAATCAGCGGTGCCAAACAAAGTCCGGTTCCAGGAGAGGCAGGATGAGAGCCTTGAGTCGAGTATAAAGCCAAGAACAACAAGCACAAGCAGAACAGAATATTGCGAGCGTCGACAAGAGCAATCATAGCGCAGACCCTGGCAATCTCCTAATTCATATGCACCTCTGCGGCCGGTTGAGCAGTTGGGCGCGATCCGGATGGGATACATACTAGACGGGAAGCGTGTGCGTACCGGACCACCGCCCAAGATGTTGTGGACGTTGATACGCCACTATATTGATATCCTGTAGGTCAGAAATTCCGAACGGGCCGCCATGCTGGATCGCACGGGTAGTATTGCAAAGATACGGCAGGGACGAGGGGGCATGGATCGCGGAGGAGGAACACCAGACGCAAGCATGGCGAACCGAAACGTTGAACAGCTTTAGTCTGTAAGGAGCCTCCTTTGCATTGAGCAAATACACATAGCCAGCGAGAATTTTTAGAGAATACGAGGCAAGAGGAAGAGGAGAAGGGAACGATGCAGGAATGAACTGACGCGTCGTTCGAGGTCGAGAGTGCTCCACAAGCGCCCGGTGCGGAGAGACGCGCGTGATGCCCCAGGGATGCTTCTCAGCTACACACTCGTATAGTACTCCCCATCTCCAATAGAGTGTGAAAGGTCTGCCTCTGGGAGACTAGGGATGCTTGAGACGATGCGCGCATTTACTCGGAGAGCACGATGCAAGTGCCTCAGAGCAAGAACGTCGAGATGGTGTAGAAGGTACAAAGAAAGCTACGCACGGTGCGGTGTGAAGACCGCAGGCGGCGAGCACCACAGAGGTGTCTGCTATGTGTGTGACGGAAATTCCACGAATCCGGGAGCTAAGTATATGTATCTGCCGCAAAGTCGCTACGCAATAAAACATACGTACGGGCATAGTGGAGCGCGAGATCGAACCGAATACTTGTAAATAAATACCACAAAAGACAGATAATACTGGTAGAAACGATGAAAGGAATGAGTCGTGTACGGAGCGAGCAGGAGGTACCAGAACACATGTATGTCTGCGCGTAGGGGGGCGCGGTGAGGGCGTCGAGTGGGCGACAGCTAGTCCTGTGTATACGCAGGCGGCAACACAACGGGGTCGCCGTACAGCCTCAGCCCCGAGTCGGCGGCGCGGGGCGCTGTCAGGGAGTCACTGCTGGGGAGAGTCGCGGCTCGCGACCCCTGGGAGAAGAGCGATCGGAGCAGCGAATATGCGGCATCATGAGCGTCCGGCGGGGCGTGCCACACCCCAGGAGGGAGCTCTGCCGATGGTGTGGGGGGTTCAGCCGTGCCTGGGGTGGGCGAGGAAGCTCGGAGAGCTCTTGCCTGTCCCGTGTCCGCCATACCTGTAGACGGCGACAACCGAGGCAGGACTCGGAGGCTTGGCGAGGGCAGCGACAAATGTTTCTCCGATATCGGACATGGAGGTTGAGTTGTGGGGATGGATGAAGATGCGATGGGCCCCAGAGGGCCGAATAGCGCGGGTCTGGCCGATGGGTGCGGAATGTCGAACTCGGAATCGCTCCCGACGGTCTCCCTGGGGACGATTTCAAGCTCGCGTAGTGAAGGAGAAGCTGGGATGTGGCTCGCAAGCCCGACAACAGCTTGGGTGGAGAGCATTGCGCTGGAGCCGATAGAGTACCGCATTGATGACGAGTGAGGACTGGAGGGGGGAGTCATGAATGGGTCCCGAGAGGATGTGAACGGCGCGACTGTTCCTGCTAATAAATGGTTGGTGAACGATCGGAAAAAGCAGGCGGCGGCAGCGTTTTAAGTACCTTTACCTGTTTGAAGAGGACGCTTGCGCTGCAAGCAGAAGAAGATCAGGGCAAGGAAAGCTAGAATGGCACCACCGGCTACAGCGCCCCCCACGATTGCTCCTGAGTTCGAGCGATGAGGAGGAAGCGGACCAGGATTGAACGCGTTGGACGTGTTTGTCGTAGACGTCCGCGCGGCGTCTGCCGCCGATATAGTGACGCTCGCACCGATGGTGCTGGTCTCGCTGACTGTCGCGATGGACTTGACGGTGACTGATATAGTAACACCCGCAACAGTAGTGCTGGTTTCGCTGACCGGCGTGACAGACTTGGCGGAGACCGATGCTAGTGAGGAGGGAGATTCGATCGTCGTCGACACTGGCAGCTTGGGGTCCACGACCGCGGCAGTCGGAAGTTCTGAAGGGGAATCGACGAGGAAATAGTCGAACCAGAACGTATTGGGTCTTGTACCGTTCATGTTCTCGATGGTGACAGTGTGGTTTCCCGGGGCGAGGTTCAGAGCAGAGAAGAAGGTTACGTTGTAGAGTGTCTCGGTGGACGGAAGAAGCGGTGCGGTATACGTGCTGACAATCGCCCCGTCGACGAGGTATGTTGTCGTCGGGAGACCATACATATCGGTGGCGCTAAGCGTGCCGACGACATGTACGCCGGTGCCTGCCACACAGGGATATGTTAGCGGTTAGGTCTGACGGGGGAAAATAAAAAGGACTCTCACCGGTGAATGAGAGCCATGCTTTCAGTCCAGCGGTTTTCGCTCCGTGGCGAGTTCCGTCTACCTCGACGACGTTCTGTTCGAATGTCCAGCCGGCCTGGTACTGCACGCGGGGGTCGGCGTCATCGATCAATTCGCTCGAACTTGAGGACATGAGCCCTGAGAGACTTTTGCAGTCGTCCTAAATGTGAGGCCGACCCGAAGAGAGGATCTTTAGAAAGCGCGAAGGGGTTTCGTTGGGCGCATTTTATATTCTGGGCGGGTGAACGTTGGGCGCACGGTGATTGCGGGAGACGGAGATGTGGGGCATCCAGTTCAGACAGTGTCGAGCTACTTCGGGCTACCTCGGGCGGGTACCGGTATGATGATGCGAGCGAGGCAAACTGGCACCATTTTTGCTGTCAGAATGTGAGTGTTTGCAACCGCTGTAGCACCGGCTGAAGGGACGTGATACACGCACATTGAAACCTCCGATCACTAGGCGGGGAGGGCACTTCGGTCGTCGATTAGTAGCGCACTTGAGCTCGAAGAGGCCGGGACGCGTTCGTCAACAAACTGTTGCGATCATCCTGCAGTGGGGCTCAGCGTCCGCTAGAGTGACGTTCAGAAGTAGTAACATGAGGAACTCGTGGCTGGCAATGGGGTTAGGCTAAGACATTGAACCACTTGTTTACTCGTCGACGGACCTCTCTTTCATTCATCAGCCATGTAGAGTTCGCGAGGATTGTGAGTACAGCCCAAGAGCCTCGTATACAGGAGGAGGCAGAGGAACAGGAAGAAAGGAAGGAAGCGGTGCCGCAGTGTGGACCGCAGGCGCTGTGCACGTGGAGTGGCGTCCAAGGAGGCGCTAGCCTGAGCTCGGAGAGGCTTGCGTCGACGGCGGTGTTGGTATGATGAGGTGAACACGAGTACGTCCAACCAGAAAAGTCGGGCGGGTAAGTAAGCTTTGAGCAGTCTGGCACGCGATGCGCGGGCGGCGGGCATCACATGAATATTAATTTCTGCGAATCCAATACGTAGCTAGATGCGTATATCGCACAGTCGTATACGAACACGAGATCGTACTGACGAATGCAATGGAGCGTGAGCTCATCGCATCCGATTGTCGTACATATATGATATACTTAAGTGATGAACGAATATCAAGAAACCTGGCGCGAATGGGATCGCGAGCATGGCCGATATTGATACAGACGTGTCTCCAAACAAAGAGAGCGCGAAAGCAGAGGCGAGGGCGCCAGGCGCAGCGCGAAGTGTCGGGGGGTAGCTAGTTTCGTGTATACGGTGGCGGGAACAACGTATCGTCGTATATCGGTAGTCCCGAGTCGGCGGGTCGTAGCGAAGTTGGCAGGTCACTGCTACGGAGGTTGGCCCGCTGGCGGCCCACATACAAGCCGACGAATGAGCCTGAGACAAGAATTATGCACGAGACGATCCAAATGTACCCGAAGACAAAGCTCTACAATCTACGAGGGCACAAGGGCACGAGTGAGGGCACGACGGCAGGGGTGACGAACATTCAGTCGCTAATCCTGTGTATACGGCGGCGGCAGCATCGCATCATCATACAGCCGCAAGCCCGAGTCGGTAGCTCGCGGCACTGTTGGGAGATCGCTGCTAGAAAGGTTCGCCTGCGGACCCTGGGAGAAGAGCGAGCTAAGGAGCGAAAGTGCGCGGCCATGAGAATCCGGCGGGGCGTGCCACGTCCCAGGAGGGAGCGCAGCGGGCGGCGTAGGTAGGGACGATGGGGCTATGATGGACCTCGCAGAGGGCGGTCGTGTGGACACGGCCTCAGGAGGATGTAGGGTGTCGAACGCGGATTGGGCCTTGACGGTCTCCTGGGGGGCGACGTCGTATGGCGGCAGAGTGGGTGACGTGTGTGCAGAACTGCTTGCGTACGCAACAACAGCCTGAGTGGACAGCATTTCGCTGGAATTTGTGAGATGTGAGATGGACGGGGGAGGAAGAGGGGCGGAAGTCGCAGATAGGCCCCGTAAGTCGATGAAGGGCCTCGGGACCTTGCTCGGGACTGCACCTGCTGAAAAAGACGTGGGTAAACGATTGAACACCCTGGGTGGCGGCACTTTCCGCATAGGCCCGGCGGGTGCGGGACGTACCCAGGTGGAGGTGGCGGCGGCAGCGGCGACACCCGAAGCAGAAGAAGAGAAGGGCGAGGAGAGTTAGGATGACAGTGCAAGCCAGGGTGACCCCAACGACTGCAGCCGTGCTTGAAGACATGTGTGCCAGAAAGCTGTCGTGGTTGTTTGCCTGTCTAGACCACGAGAATGCTTGGGTGGGGTCGAAAAGCCTGCCGGCTTGTTGGTAGTAGGGCTTTTCAGCGGGCGGGTGGATGTTAAAAATTGGATGGTCGTGAGCGCAGGCGTTGTGGGGACCTGGTATAAATATTGTTCAGCTTGCCATGATTGACAGTTATATCGATAAGATTGGTGTTATTTTACTTGCCGACGGCGGAAGGTGACTGTCGCTTGAGAAGTTGCAAGACGCGATACCATGGGTCGCAGCAGCACTTCTCAAGGGCGCCCTAATGCAGGAGGCGGAGTTCACCTGTACGATACCTAACATACCGGTGGTCCGGAGGTCCCGGAGAGGGAAGATTGTAGCACATTCGAAGGCGAGACCAGCAAGCAGAACAGCCCACTAGGAAGTAGGAAACTGGCTTGACGATCAGAGGACTCGAAGCGCACCAGCTAATCCCCGCCTTCATCTCCACCTCCGCATCGTAGCATCTGGTGAGCTTATGTAGCACAGCCATATGGTGCCGAAGCTCAGCCTGCGCGGATACACCAGTGATGCCGTCTAGGGAAAACGCGAAGAACCTGAGCGCAGTGTCGGCGGGGTTACGTTTTTGTTCGTATCGGTCGATGGCGCAGGAAGATACGACCCGGGTGCAGTAAAGTCGTCGCGTCTAGCAGATGATACTCCAGTGAAAAGAAGAAGGTATGGCGAGCGACCATGGTAGGGCGACCATAGTTGCGAGGTTAGGTGTAAGATCTCTCCTACGAGCGCTCAGCGCGCTGACACACGAACAACGCCGTCAAAAAGGATTTCGAGTAAGGCGATGGGCTTAGCGTCATCCAGGGCCAAGAGCATCCTTCGTATCTGCTGCATCAGTAGTATAGGGTGACACAGTCGATGACGATGTGCCGTCTCGAGGACAGGTTCTCGAGCCATGGAGCAACGCGCAGGGTGCGCATAAGTGCTGCGGGTCCTTGTAGCTGGACGTCCTAGACAGGCTGTGGCTGTAATATCCCAGTCTTAGGCGTTGCATGCTGCGAAGTTTTCCCATTGTTTGCGTCGCCAAAGATGCGAATTGCCTGGAAGGCTGGACGAGCGGGAGAGAGTAGAGGGACGAGGAGGTTCCGGGTCTCACCGGGTGCGAGCACGGAGAACTGAGACATTGCCAGTGAGCCACTCGTGATTTTATGGACGAACCTGTGTTTCGTTCAACCGCTGCACACAGCTCGCGAGGATGAGTGCGACGCAAGAGCCTCGCAGGCGGAGAGAGAGGAAGGTACTATAGGAAGGAGCCGGTGTCGCGTGGGCGTGGTGCGGCGCGCGGACCGCAAGCGCCGTGGGGTGACGTCCGAGGAAGCGCCGGGGACGGAAGGAGTTGCTATTGTCCGCCTACGCCGTGCTGGCCACGTCTCCCATCCTCCTCTCCTCCTCGCCACCGCCTGCTAGTCTGTGCTTTACCATCCTAAACGACGTCAGAGAGGGCCAGGAACGAGAGGCGCAGGGACAAGGTTGAAATCGGTGCGCTGTAGTCAAAGTTGGGAATTTGTTTGATGGGAGCTGATTGGTGGCGGACGCGGTTGCCTCGTGCGCGCGCAGACTCGACGCTTTTCCTTCCTTCGCACACGCCAGTTACGCCCTTCTGCTTTTCCTCCTACCTCGATCAGGCTGTGTTGCTCGGTGCAACGCGCAGACGGCCGGGATGACCCACTTCGGCGACTTCGAGCCTCTCTGCCACCAGGTCCCTTCCTATCCCTGGTGCAATCTCTTCTACCGCCAGGTCCGTCTAGCTATTCTTCGCTCACCTTGCCTTGACTGATGACCGGGCCCGCCAGCTCCAACATCACAACAGCTCTGTCCTCCAGGGCGACTCCGCAGATCCATCCGCCGCTCCCGTCGGTATCAACCCAGAATGCGGTATCGCTCAAGCAGGCCACGACGGCTCCCTCGCCAACATCGCGAACATCATCGCTTGCGCACTCAGCATGATCCTCGTCGTGCTCCTCGTCTTCTGGACCAGCCGTAGAAGGGCCGCCGTCGGTGCGTACCCGCTCTTCTCTTCCCGCCTCGCTCCCGCCTCGCCCTTCTTCGACTGCCGAAATCGCTCTTTCTCTCTTCCTATCGCCGCTTCCTCTTCTGCATGATCGTCATTGCTTGACACCTGTTCTCGCGATACTGACCTTCCCTACCAGGCCGTGTCGAGTTCCGCTTCTTCCTCGTCCTTTACTTCCTCACCCTCCCCTTCCAACTTATTTCTACCGGCTCCTTCCTGCAGCAAGGATCAACAGCCCTCACCGCGATCACCGCCATCCACGCCGGCCTAGTAGCCGCCACCTTCTGGGCCCTTCTTGCCAATGCTATCGTGAGCACACAGGTCGTAGAGGATGGCACGCTTAGTTCGATCGTCGTACGTCCACTTTTGAGCCTGGTTTCCCTCTGGGTCTCGTTTTCGCGTACTGACCACGGCCGTCCCAGCCATTCAATTTCTTCAATCTTGCCTTCTTTATCGCCACGGGCTACATCGCCCTCGACGTTGGCTTCTCCTTCACATCCGTCTTCGGGCCATCAAACCCGCCGGCAGACCTTCATAGTATCCCGCTATTCGTGCTCACCAGCATATGGCCGGGCGCGTAAGTACCAATTACCCCTCTGACACCGCCCCGCACCCGCACGCTCACACGCCCTTTGCTTTTCCCGCGCAGCGCTGCGATCCTCTACTTTGCGATCATGACCTACGTCGTGCTCGCCATGCTCAACGAGGTCCGCCCGATGTGGTACTTCGTCCTCGCCGCCGTCCTCTTCGTCCTCTCCCAACTGGACTTCTTCCTCCTGAGCAAGGTCATCTGCAAGGTGCGTCCCGCGTTCCGCCAACCTCCCGTGTCGCATCTTTACGTCCGCTGACCGCGCGCGCGCGCGCTGCACAGGGCGCAGCACACAAGGTTGACGGCACCTTCGTTGCCACCGTGCTGGAAACCGCCGCCGTCGCCGTGCTGTACTTTGCGTGGCGAAGCATTACGGAAGGTCCGTCGCTGTCCTGCCCCTGCCCCCGCCTCGCGGCTTTCCGCGCGCTCGCGACCCTAACTGACACGCCCTGCAGAGTCGTGGGAGGACGACATGTACTACCCGCGGTGACCATCGCAGTAACGTGTCTGTTGCCCGCACACGCCGCGCCACCCCTTGATCCTCGACTCCTTCGCTTCGCTCCGACGCGGACTGGCCTATACCCGGCCCCAGCTCACCCACGACGCTCCCTGTCCTAACTGCGCGTAGTCGCTTGTACTATTGTTTATGACCCCTCCCTGCCGCGGCGCGCGCCGTGATATCCTACCCGTGTTTATACCGTCCCCTTCGTCTCTCGCCGTCATGGCCGGGGTCTTCTGCTGCGGTTTTTCCTTCCTTGATTTGTTTTATTTTCTGTGTTGTGTGTTCGTGCCCTTTTGAACGATCTCCCCGTCGATCTGTCTCCACATCTGGATAGCTATCTCGTATGTCTTAGTATCTTCTGTTCTCTTTCTGTCCGCTTTACGACGCTGCCGCCCGCCCGCGCCGCACTCACGAAGGACCACGTCGGGGGGTAGAGGGAGGGAAGGGAGAAAGGTAGAGCGCGAGGGGCAAGGGGGCGTGGATGGGCGAGCTGGAGTCGTGTAGAAGCTGGTTCGCAATGCAACGACTGTTCGCGCATCGCCGATTGGCTCAAGGTCTTGTTCTCAAACGACTGAGCATATTTCGCCAAATGCGACGACGCGGAGCACGCGGTCCGCGGACATCGAACACCTTTCATGGCCACACCTGTTCGTACTATCCATGTAGAGGCTGTTCTGCAATGCCAAGGCTGTTCGCGTCTCGGACACGTTCTACGAGTTGCTCTGGAGTCTCGGACAACTCGCGTATTTCGGAATTCGACGACCGTCCGCACATCGTGTCTGCTCTCGAGTGATCCGCTGTTGAATCTACGAAACGACCGTCCGTACATCGCGCATCGCGCATGTCGGTGCTCTAGCGCAACTCGCTGTATATTTCGCCGTACGACGCGTTCTGGTGCGTACATGACGGGGCAGGTAGGTGGAGTTCGGCCGTACTACTACGGCCTGTATGTATAGCTATATGGCTATCATCAAAGTTGGGATTGGGGAGGGGGTTGCGGGTGGTTTCGCTCAGAGACGGGACATCGAGCGCGTGCTACGGATACAAGTACAGCATACCGAGGAAAAACACAGAGACCGAGGCGGAAAAAATAACGGTACAGGCGCGAGGACGACAGGCAGAGAGGCAAAAGCGGGAAAGGGGACGGCAATAAGGAACGTGAGAGCGAGATCGCCGATCTCGTGGACACTGTGTACACGCCGTGGAGCGGGCAGCGTTCGAATGGGGGCGCACGCGGGGAAGACGGCGAAAGCGGGGAAGACGCGGGATGCGCGCGCGCGGGGCAGGTGGCGTGCGCACCTGCACCCTACAAGGGGCGTGGTGCGGGCACGCGTGCGCGAGAGCCCGCCGATCCGCCTGCCATATACGCGGGGGCGCCCCGCTTGTTTGACGCTTCTTCGACAACGGAAATAAGAACTGTCCCAGAGACATACACACGCGCACATACACGCCGCCAGCGCCGCGCGCCCGCCCAACACCCGCCCCACCCGAGGATCCCCCGGTCCTCGGTCCCCGCACCTGTGTGCGCGGACGGTCCGGGGCCACGGCGAGGGGCGGCGGCGGAGGAGGGCGTGTGTGGGTGAGGGCAAGCTAGAGGCTCACGACGCACACGCGCTGCTTGACCTTGTGCTGGACCTCGACGCATACCCAGCGGTCATCTTCTTTCCCTTTATTGCAGCTGACGACACGGTGGAGGAGCTCCTTTGTCCGCCGGAGGCTGTTCCGGCGCCCGCTTGTGCTTGCAGTGTCGCTCGAGTCGGCGAGCATGCGCAATGCGCTGGGTGGGTGCGACTGCGTCGCCGGGTGCGGGTAGTGGTTGTAATACCGACGCGCAAGCACTTCTGAGGGCGGCGCGGGTGAGGACGGGGACGGCGGCGGCAGGGGAGGGAGAGGGGATGAGGACGTCGAGGCAACGTGCGAACTCGGCTGCGAGGGTTGCTGCGACCGCGGCTTCTTCAGCCGCCGACCGACCTCGAGCGGGACGTTGAAGCAGATGTCGCGCTGCACGTCGCGTAATGTAGTCCATGTTGACTCGTGCTGGCTCGCAGCACCGTCGCATTCGCGCAGCGTGCGCGGCGTGGGCTGGCCGTCGTCGTCGGAGCGCGGGTGGTCGATCTCGACATACCGCGATGTCGAGGTGGTGGTCACGGAGAATGCGGAGGACTGCGGTGAGGTCCGAGCATCATCAGCGCGTGGCAGGCTAGAGGGCGGGAACACTACGTACGAGGTTGACGTCTACGAGCACGGGCGCGGTTCCGCACGTGCCGCGCGTCAGGCGATTGTCCTCGAAGAACCCCTCGTCCGTTACTGCCGTCTTATCGCTCTCGGCCGTCCGCGGTCTCCTCGCCCGCATCCTCGTTGGAGGAGGGTGGTCCATGTACTTCAGGTCGTACGGGCTGACCTGGTATGGCCCGACCGTCTCGTCGTCGTCCTCTATCGGCACCTGGGCATCTGGCCTCCGCGAGCGCAGATGGTACGCCTGCTTGCCGCGCTCGACGAGCTCCTTCACGAGGCTCTTCCGGAACGGAGCGTTGATTAAAGAGGCTAGAGCCATCGAAGACGCTGCTGCGGGGCTGTCGGGAGCGGTATGGATTCCTGGGGGCACGCGGAGACCGCCGGCGTTGCTAGCGAGACCGAGGCACGAGCGCGAATCCATCGCCGTTTCGGCGTCTACAAGCGCGTCGCGCGCGTACGCGAATGAGTCAAGACCCGCGGACGGGTGGGCGTACCCAGCGGCCATGGCGAAGCGGTCGATCGTGAGCACCTGCGACTGGCTGTCGGGCGAGACGTCGTACGGGGAGTCGATCCGGCCTTTGTCGACGGGCGGGTCCAGAAGGTGCGCGCCCGAGAAGGTGACCATGCCTTCTTCGGGGTCCCAGATGGCGGCGAAAGTGAGGGCGCTGTGCGGGGGCACGAGCTCTGACCAGCGCCGCTCAGCGTGTGTGTCGATGTCCTTCAAATTCATGGCGACTGTGTGCTAGAACAACGGTGCCCTTTGTTAGACAATGCTGGACATATCGAGCACAAAGACGGTGGCGACGTACTTCGAACGCTGCAGGGTGTGTCACGGTGGCGACGTTGACAGAGAAGCGGGTGAAAGCAAGCAATAATCGAACGAAGTAGTGGAAGGACGAAGAGGTGGTGTGCAGGAACGAAGAGGGGCGAGGGGGAGCGGGTATGCCCAGCACACGCGGAGGACCTCGAGGGATAGAAGAGAGCTGCGACAAAGGAGAGAAGGCGAATATTAATATTGCCGCGCGCGGGGTTGAGACTCTTGCCTCATGGCAGCCTCAGACGGAGAGGGTGAGGGCGAAGGCGGATTCGAAGAGCAGGGCTTCCTTCCTCCGCACGCCCGGTATCAAAAATGGGCAGCCGTGGGAGGACGGGCGACAACGCGCCCACCGCGTTCTCCAGAAGCTGATCGCCTTGTCCGCCGTGACCCCCATCGTCACGCACGTCCTCCGTGCCGGCATCCTTCCAGCAGCGTTGCGGGTGGCACCGCTGCGAGTATCGCGCGCAATCCGCTGGGATCGCAGCATCCGCCCATGCGCCCTGTCGACGAGCGGGAGTACGTTGGCTGCGCACGGCGTGCGAGCAGCGCACTCGGACGCAGAGTTTAATGTACGCCAGACGCACGGCGTGCGAGGGCGCGCTCGCAGGCAGCTTGGGCTCGTTCGCGGCCTCGAAGGAGGGCTGCAGCTAGCCGGATCAAATAGCTATCGGTCCCGGCCCGAGAGAAGCAGAAAGGCACGCACCTCTGAAAGTGCAAGCTCAGAGTTAATGGCCATACATACCCCGGCGAAGCCCCGCCACGCCCCCCATCGATCGCCCAATACGTGTGCAATGAGGGTCGACATTGGCTGCTGTAGCAACCCCCGACGCCGTGCCGTAAGGCGTGGTTACCGACCACCAAACCTCCTGCGTGACATATGGGGACCACGGGCTGCCTGCGTGAACGAGTCGAGCTTGTCCTGCAGCGAGTGTGAACCGCCCTTATCGTCGCGCGCCGACTGACCCAGAAAAAAGCTAAACCAGCAGACGTACGGATGCTCAGAAGATTTTCCGGTGAAAAGCGGGGCCGCCGACGTGCTCGTCGCTGCAATTCGTGATGTCAGCCAAAAGGTAAATGCAGCGGCGCAGGAAATTCGAAGGGCGTTGCAGCCGCGTGACGGGCTGGTCGGACACCAGCAGAACACCTCCGCGGCGGCGGCAGCGAGCGACCCATCACGAGGTGTCAAGGCAACCCCTCTCTGGCCATCTCCGTGAACACCGATGGGCAGCCTATCGGGGACTGCCGTGCACGGTCGAAGACCGCGGGAGGAAAACGTGATGAGTCCACTGCGGAGCCCAAGATCGACGCGAAGATACCATGCTAACCGTAGGCACCGAGCGAGGCCTCGAGAATAGACGTGCGACCACGCGGCAGGCACCTCTTTCGTATATTCTGTGCTGCGCGATAATGCTGGGCCACGGACATGGACGAGCAGCTAACAGCATGTAGCGTCACATACAGCAGTCGGCACCGTGCTTGTCATACTCTGTCGGACATGACCCTGTCAGCCAGCCTGAGATGAACGAGACACGAGGCGGAATGACGTGCCTTGGAAGAGGGCCCGAAAGCACAGAGCGCGAGCAAGATCTTCGCCCTCGGGCAGACCGCGTTCGGCAAGAACGGAGCGAGCTGGAGGAAGTGTATCTCCCGAACCGCTCTCGCTTGCCATGACGCGTCGGCTATACAACAGTAGAAGAAGCGCGATTAGGCTCCCAGGTCGCGGATTCGTATGAGAACCGCGGAGGTTACAGAGCGGCCGTGGGCGCAGGTGATGTACACGTGCCCGCCGCTGGTTATGTATGCAGCGGAAATGAAGGGCGTAGCGAGCGCGTTCACGTTTGGAGGGTGTTGATTTGGACGGAGGACAGACGGAGGGGACCGGCCGGGATGATGAGCCTGCACGAGCGAGCAGTGTACTACGTCAGTACGCGCCGGATGCGCCGCCAGAAGTCCTCGCTGGCCCCCACGGTCGACGGCTGTCCGTCGCGGCTCTTCGAGCGGACACAGAGAGGGTGCTTCGACGTGCGACGTACCTCTGCTTCGGCTTCGTATCTCCGGCTACTCCGCGTGCGCCATATACGCCACTTTGACTTGGTCGTCGTTGGAAGAATACCTTCCTGAACATATTTTAAGCATCTGAGGGAACAAGAAGCGGTCAGCTCGTATACAGTACTGAGAGGCTCGACAGCTCGGGAGCGACGGTACTTTGTCGGGCGCGCGCACTGTCCGACGCGAGCGCACAATACCGCATAGTGTCGACGCGCAGGTCGCGACAGGTGGGCGGCGGTAGGACGTGCGACGCCGAGGACATAGCGGACGAGATTAGGCGCATTTCGGGGTGCGCACGGATTGGGCAGGCAGGCGCGATCGGAGTTCTACTGAGTGTTCGGATAGACCAAGGGTGCGTCATCCTGTGTCCGAACGCCGTCCGGGCAGAGCGTCCTAGAGCGGCGGCATTGCCCCAGGTGAGATATGTTCGCACCAGCACGGGACGAGCACATCGCTGATGCGTATCACTCTCTGCGTCGGCTGCATAGGGCCGCTCTACTGTCAAGCGGTGAAGAGGGGGCGCATACAGTAGGGCGTGTTACCCGGATAGGGTGGAGTATCGGCGCCCCGCTGGCGAGCTTGTTGAGAGAAGTGTACACAGGGCCCAATGTGCCCACGCTCCCAGGCGGGATGCTATTGGTCAAAGGTTGTGTGGCATGGAGGATCGGTGTGCTCGGGAACCGACGGATAGGAAGAAATCGGAGACGATCAGTGACAAGCAGCATTTGGAGGGAGGGACACGACACATAGCGGGGGGCTTTGGGTGTCGAGAGCAACCTAGACTGGCGGCCATCTTCTTGGTGGGATTGTTTCGCACCAGAGCATATGCGTGCGGAGCCCTGATATAAACGAGGGACATTCTGTGCGATCCGCCGTCGGTCTCCCGTCCTGCATGGGCTGCTCGGACAGCGCACGTCCGCGGGGGACGGGGCAGGCGAGCTTGAAGGCCTACGAGAAGGGCTTAGTGCAGAGCGTGGTGGGAGAGGAAGGGAAGCGTATACCTTATGTTGAGTTGCCGCCAGCTCGTATTGGTTGCCAGAGACCGGGTAAGAGAACGTGGTCCGCTGCAGGTCATCGCCGCCGGCGCACCTCGTCTAGCTCGCCGGCTCGAGGTCGCTCGCGTGGATGCACACGTCGCTTTTCCTTCTCATTTCCCCATGTTCATAGCGCAATCAAGCGCATCTCGTTCATACAGCACGCTACATAGCGACCGTCCTGTACACTGTGTGTAGTATCAGCGTAGTCTGCGACACGGAGGAGAAGCTCGGGAACTGACCGTCCCGTTCGAGAGCCGAGTACGGCACTAGGCACCGTGTCCGCTATAAAGACAGTCTCTTGGCCCAGACGGCCACGTATGCCAGCCCAGAGTTGAGTTGGAGGCCGAGCTCGCCGTGGGGAACGGTGAGGAGAGAGGCAAGAGTGATTGCGCCCTGGGCGCGACTACGATCATGGGCGCCTGCGCAGGCGGCTCGCAGCCACCGAGCGCGGGTGCGCAGCCTGTTCTCCCTCTCCTCCTCGTCCTCCTCGTCTCCCTCGACCTCCTCACCGTCCCCCTCTCCTTCTTTTGTCCACGGTCCATGCGATGAGCTCCGCTGGTCTCTCTCGCCGTCGGGTTCCCGCCTCTGCCTCCACCGGAGATGACGATGCCGACGGCATCAACGGTCCCTCTGTCTCCAACGGCGGCTCTGTATCACGATCTGACTCGCTGACTTCACCCTCATACCATGCTGGTTCCGCGTTCGAAGGCGGCAGCAAGATTGCGTTTGACCCCCGGGACCTCGAGCGCGACGACGAAGATGCACGGCTCGGCGGCAAGCCTCCACGGCTCACGATCATGGAGGAGGTCCTTCTTCTCGGTCTCAAGGACAAGCAAGTGCGTATCTGCCTTATTTTTAGTTGTTCTCCCCCATCCGAGTCTGTTATGTGCCTGAAATACACCGGCACGAGCTATTATGCGTCGCTACCTCTGGTGTCAGTCCCGACCTCTACAGTCCCTGCAACGAGTCTGCTAGCACACTCCTGCGTCTTTGCATCTCCAATTTGTAATGGACAACCGAAGCTCACCGCCTTCCGCAGGGATATCTGTCATTTTGGAACGACAACATCTCCTACGCCCTTCGTGGCTGCATCTTGATCGAGCTTGCCCTCCGCCGCCGCATAGCCCTCGTTCGCGACCCAAACAGGCGACAGCTCCCCCTTCCCGAGCGCGTAGTGGAGGTCATCGACGACCGACAAACGGGCGAAACCATCCTGGACGAGACACTCCGGATGATGAAGGGTCAGGAGCAGGAGCGCATGTCCGTCAACAGCTGGATAGATCTATTGAGTGGTGAGTCTCTTCCCGCTCTCGCGCCGGCCCCAGGACGCCCGCATGCGCTCGTCCAATACGCGCCCGGGCGAAACTCTACGCGACGCAGACCGCTGATCCACTTCTCACCGCGCCCTGCGCTGTAGGCGAGACATGGAACGTAATGAAGATTGGCTTCCAGCTGAAGCAGGTGCGCGAGCGGCTCGCCAAGGGGCTCGTCGACAAGGGCGTCCTCCGTACCGAAAAGCGCAACTTCCTCCTCTTCGACATGGCCACGCACCCCGTCGCGGACGTGCGCACGAAGGAGTCGATCGTCACCCGCGTCGTCGCCCTCCTCACCACGACGACCGCGGCCGTCCCGCCCGCCGCGCTCGACAAGGAGGGCACGCAGTGCCGCGCGGCGCGCGCCGTCTGCCTCGTCTGCGCCGCGTACGCCGCGAGCGTGCTCGACAACGCGTTCGGCCGGCTCACGTACGAGGACCGCGAGGCCGCGTTCCAGCGCTGCGACGACATCCTCGCCGAGTTCTCCACCTGGCCGTTCGGCAGCTCCGGCGCGGGGAGCGGGGCGGCGCGCGGGAGCAGCGGGCCGGGGAGGCGGCGGGAGGCGGGCGCGCGGATTGGGATGGGGAGCGCGGGGGTGAGCTCGCGCGAGATCGTGCTCGGGCTGCTGCAGGAGGTCAAGAAGGAGATGCATGGCGAGGAGGATCTCTCTTTTGAGCTCGTCGCTGGCGTTCTAGAGGTGCTCTCAAAACTGGACTCGCTGCTCTGACCGCCCTTGTCGTTCGTCTCACTCCGTTCTGGTTGTTTACTCGTAGTAAATATTATTATCGGATCTCGCTGCCATAATCACCAATTGGGTGCCCATAACTGTATCAGAACTATCCTAGGCGAAGAATGTCTGACGAAAGGATTATTTGGACCAGGAGAAAACGGGTGGTGCGGCACATTTGCTCTCATGTTTCCGGCTGGTGTTTCGGAGGTGCGCAAACGGTACGACAACAACCTGTGCATATCCGGGCGACGCTCAGGAAGCTTTGCCCAACTATTCCCTTGCACTCTGAGGAACGTAGGCATGAGGGGCGCGAACGGAGATTTACCCCGCCATTGCATTTCTGACCGACGGTTCCCCTCTGCCGACGGCACATCAAGCCGTTGGAGGGCGCGGACTGATCCGCTGGCGCCGCTCGCAAAGTGGTGCAGTCAAACAAAATGTCAACGGAGTGTTATTTAATGGGTCCCTAACTGACATGAGTAGAGTAAGTTCTACGTGTAAAAGAGCTGTCGTCGGCACGTCGTCCCTTCGAACAGGCCGTGGAAGCTATACGTGTGAGAGAAACAAGCGTATCCTACTAGGTAGCGCGGAAGCGGCGCCCCAGGCCGCGACAACTTATCTTCCCCCCCATGCGCTGGAAGGTCGAATGCGTACAACATGCGCCCATTAGCCGATCGTACTCGTCCTGGAGATGGCGATAGCGACGATAGCGTGTGAGACGCGGAGTGAATGGGTTGAGCAGCACCGATGAAGCAGGCTGCTGCTGGTTGTACATGTCTTCAGGGGGACGCTCATCCAGGTCGCTTGTTCCCGATTGGTTTTCACGTCGTGCGCGTCTGCGCGCGCCGCGTAGGAGTAGTGCCATAGTCTTGAGGAATATCGTTGTCGTGCATAAGGGCGTGAAGCGCGTGGCTATGGGAGCCTCTGAAATATGCGACTGTGTGTGGTTCGGCTGGGACAGCGGAGCGCGGTGACGGGAGCACGGTATGAGGCGTCTGCGCATTCGCCATGTCGTAGTCTTCTTCTCGGCATTTTGCTGCACCGGCGCCGCGCGTGTAGGTCTATGACCATGACGTTGACCGAGGTTGGTGCTTGCGATATGTGACGCCGGAAGTCTGAGAACTCGCGGTACAGCGTACAGCCACGCGGTTGAGGGAATGGGTTCGCCGGCCACCGATGGATGGGCGTAATGCGCGATATGTACCGTATCAGGGATCACCGCGTCTTCTCAGTTGCGTCGGCGGAGGCGGGACACGATTCGTCGGCGCAACCTTCGCGCCACTTTGAACCCGATATGGGGTGCGGAATGAGTGTGAATGAGGTTGCAGTCTCGAGCTTCTGTACGTCCAACGGTAGTCGAGATCGTGAAATGGCGGAGGCGATGGAGTGCCGGGTATGGCTCGAGGGTGTCCATTCGACGTCCGAGGGAGCTTTGAGCAGCAGACACTACCATAAGTACGGTGGATAGGGGCGGCAAGGCAACAGAGAGTACTTACATGACGCGAAGCCTTCCGAAGTGGCCTGCAGAGGACGCAGTGCTCTAAAACACCGAGCCGGCGGAGGCTGCTTGAACTAGCGGCGGCGTGATTTTCTCTTCACGTTCATCGCTTGCGCCTATGCTGTCGCGACGCTCAAGTGACCCTACAGTGGTGCTGCGGCGGTTGGCGTCGCCGTCACCGCACAGTGCGTCGCTCTTCTCTTTGTCCTCCCAGACCATCTCGGTGTGGATGGCGAGAAGGGACTGAGGCTTGAGCGTGAGGCGCGGTCGTCTCGTCGCGGTCCAGAATGCCTGGGTGATGTTCATGCTCGGAGGGGAGCTATAGCTTCGGTGTAGAGATAGATAGTGTCGGATATTGAGACGTGGAAGGCGCCGGAAGACCGGCTTGAGAGGCTCGTCTATCAGACGGGGGAGTCGAGGTAGGCGTGGTTGGGGTGGTCGAGTCCCCATCGAATATTGGAGTGTGTTGGAGTGTCGTGCTATCGGTAGGGTGGTCTGGGTGAGAGGGATGGGGGATGACGCTTCTTCGGTCCCTGCGGGGGGTATTTATACTGTTGTTGGGCGGCTCAGTGGCTAACGGCGGCATGTCGGTGGACAATGACGCACCAATAACGGCCAGAACCTTAGCTTTGAAAAGAACGCCACCCTGGGGAATGAAGGGTGGCTGGCGTGCGCAGCTGCGAAGAACGTGATGGTTAGCCAGAGTTCCGGAGAAGCCTCTGTACGATGTGGGCCATGGCTGGCTCTTTGTCGCAATCAGCCCACGCAGCCAAAGAGCTGCATTCTTCACGGGCACTATCCACCGTTCGAGGAGAAAGTATCGATCGGGTGAAAAACGCGCCGCACGACGCACAATACCAGCAGTGCACGAGTGTGAAGCGGTGTACGCCAGGACAAGTGCTGCTAACGTCACATCTTAGCCCTGAGTCGTCGCTATCGTTGTAGAGGAGGTGCATTTGTCCCACCTGTACGAATCAATCCTCGTGTGGACCCTTGCACCGAACGCCGACGACCCTAAAGCTCCCCAAGGCAAGATAGCTAGGAGAACAATAGCGGCGGGACGCTCACCTTGATGCCGTGGCATATTTCGTGGCGTACGACACAACTTGAGATCGCCGGGGACAATGCACGCCGCCGGAGCCCTCGTAGAAAGGACGTGAGGTCGATATTGTGCCCCGCCAGGAGATCGCGATCAGGAGTATCTGAAAGCAAAAAATGGGGGGGGGGGGCAGGGCGTACGCCATTGTACGGAGCCTGAAAAGATTTTCAATGAGCACGGGTGATGCGTCGTGCTTCTAGAGAGTCAAAGACAATGACGTACCCACAATAATGGCGGCTAGTGCGACCTCGCCGACAGCGCTGTGACGATGCCCCTGCAGTATAAAAGAGGGCGTCAGTAGCATGTTCGACTCGCTATCACCATCACCCCTACGACCTACCCACTCGCCTTCACCTGCCCTTGGCCTCGCACTTGACTCTAGAGCGGACGATATGCTGCCTGACCTCCAGGACCCTCCACCGCGAGGGCACTCGCACCTCGCTCGTATGACAGACAAACCTCTCATCAACCTCTTATCAATCTATCTACTCCGAAAGCGGCTCGGCAGCTCGCGCACCCAGGGACACCGCGAGTACAGAGGGGAAGGGCATCGCAGAACGCCCTCGCGCGGAACCCCGAAACCCTCGGACGGTGTGGCCCTCACGCCACTCATCCTCCTATGCACTCGGGCTTGGGGGCTTGCCATTCATCCCAGACAGTCCGCATGTCACAAGGTACCTTGTGTACGCGACCAAAGGCAAGCCCAGAGACCCGCGGAGATGCTCACGCTACGGTACCCTCGGGTCGTCGATTGGGCGCGCAGACAATGAGCACTGTCAGACTGGGTGAGTTGCTACGCGCTCTGGCCATAGAGAGTATGCTGACCTTGCGTCTGTTTCTGGTAGCGCCGACATTATGGACCGTCGGGTGTCCGCAAGGACGGATATTCAGCCAACCGCTACCTAGTGGTTCGGAGATGGAGTGCGAAGCCGAAGAATAAGCCTACACTTGCGGCAGTGGTGTTCAGACTTGCAGCAATGGTGCTCAGTCGCTGTAAAAGACAGGTCGTAAGTCTCTCGCTCGTATCGTACAGGGTTAAAAACACGGACTCACGCTGCATGCGCAGACCATCCCTGCGCGACGGGAGCGCACCGTCGAACGGTTATTACAGAAAGTCGACGACTGCGCACATACACTCGCGCAGGAGATAAGGTGCTATGCAATACGCTAATTTGTTACCGCGCACTGTTCAGCTCGGGGACAGCCTACCGTGCCAGTACGCCCATGCCGGGATGTCGGACTCGTACGCGTGGTGGAAATGGCGAATCGCAACGTTGGAGAGCTGAGGTGGTAAATTCTCCGAGGACGGGAGGGAGAAATACCAGACTGACGAGGATCCCGGAGTATACTCCCTTTTATGCGTACCCCAGCGTCGTGTTCGACCAACCCATCGACCCATCTGCGACTACAAAGGGGCAGTTCATCGGCTCCAGCCTACTGTAATTTGTACGATACCGGTTGCTATAAAATTGCACCTCACTTTCTTATTCTCTTGGTGGAATGAGTCTCGCGGCAGGTGGTGCACCGGTGATGGTTTGGACGAAGAGGTCGAGGTAAGGGTCTCTTTGAGACTGTGAACGCGAGATTAAAAAAGTTCAAAGTCCGATGAGTGAGCCTCCTTACACGCTACTTACACGGCATTACGCTGATGCCGCCCATCTTGTTCATCTCGGCCGTCTTCCGTTCCGCTCTAGCTCGCTCGCTGCTCCCCGCGTACTGGCATACTCGCAACTTCACCGTATTTGCGCTCGAGTCCTCTGCAGACGGCACCTACGCGGCCGCATTTCGCACTGCAAGGCGCTCCCGAACATCGTCATCAACTAGCGAGCCGGCGGCCTGTCTTACACGCGCGACGCGACGTCTCTCATACCCCCAAACCTCGCGCAATGTGACGGGATTCATAGTTGTTGCAGTACACGCGCAACAGACGACCTTCGCCTCTCCGCGCTGTGCTGGAGCGGAACGTCGCAACTTGATCGGTGACCGTCTGAAGGCGCTCCAAGAGGCTGAGATTACTGTGTCGAACGTAGACAGACCGCGTTCACATGGGATTTTGGTATGCCGCAAAGTTCCCACGTGTGCTCATATGCTGATGGGTTGTTCAAGAGAGACCGGGTTGCCTGAGTGTGAGTTGTCATGCTGCGCGTGAGCAAGCCGCGCTCAGTCAACCTGCGTCGGCGTATGCCACAAGGTGCGTGCGCCTCTTTCCTCCCGTCCACAACCGCTAACTTGCATGCAGAAAGGACGCGCACCAATTCCACTCCTCACACTCGTGCTCTTCTTGCTCCTCTCATTTACCTTTCCTCACTGGGCGACCAGGCACTCCGATATCATGCTCCTGCTCTCGCCGCCTCAGCTGGTGTTACTTCCCCATCCTCGCAGGGAACGGCCAGGACAATGTTGCAAGCCTTCTCCCTCCTCCCCAACCCTTCGCCGGCAGCTCTGCCGAAGCCACGCTCGAGCGGGGACGGGGGCGCGAGACTAATGAGACGCGTCTAGTCACGCGTGACTGCACGCGGAAATTACCGCAAAAGGCAAGGAGGAGACACAGGAGTTGCAAGAGCTCTCCTCGTAATTGCAACACCCATTCGCCGTTATTGCAATGCCAACTATGCGCGCCTCTTTTCCTCGCTTTTCTCTCCCGCCACACTCATAGCGACTTCCCTGTCTTTCTTCACCCGCACGGTGCCAACCTTGCAACGCCCCTAACCCGCCTCCTCTTGTAACCCGCCGTACATCATGGGCGTTCCGAAACTTTGGGAGGTGCGTCGTTAGCTAGTTATGTCCCTTTCTTGCGAGGAACGCGCAGCGCTGAGCGATTTTCTTCCTACCATAGATCCTCAGCAAAGCAGGAGAGTCTTGCGCGCTCGCTCAACTCGCCGTCGTCGAAGGGTTCGACAAGAATGAACACGGCACCCGCTCATTCCGCCTCGGTATCGATGCAGCCATCTGGCTCCCCCATGCTATGACCAGCGGCGGCCGCAAGGACGAGGATCGTGGCGCCGCTGCAGAGGTCCGCACCCTCTTCTTCCGCCTCTGCCGGCTCTCCAGGTTCCCGTTCTCCATACTCTTCATCTTCGATGGCCGCTGTCGCCCTAAGGAGAAGCGCGGCTCTCGGATGGGCAAGAGCGGCACCCACTTCCTCTCACTTCCTTTCCAGAAGCTCATCAACATGTTCGGGATGGATTGGCGCGAGGTGAGTGTATTGGTCGGTTCGAAGGGAAGCCTTGTCTCACATCTTTCTGTAGGCCAAAGGGGAGGCAGAGGCCGAGCTCGGACGCCTCAACCACCTCGGGCACATTGACGCTGTCCTCACGGACGACGCCGACACTTTCCTCTTTGGTGCACGCATGCTCCTTAGGAAGTGCGTCATCAGCTCTCGTTTAAATACCAACTGATCCTGAGCCGTCTGCAGCGTCAGCACTAATCTCTCCGGGAACATTGCAAACCCTGCCCTCGACCTCAACGGGAACCCAAGCAAAGAGCATGCGATGGTGTACACCGCTGAAGTGTTCGCGAACCACCCCGAGATTCGCCTCACTCGTGGGGGTCTCGTCCTCGTCGCCCTGCTCGCAGGCGGAGATTACGACTCGGTATGTCCGCCCCTATTCAACCCATTCCCGCACTTATTTTTTGAATAGGGCGTTTTTGGTGCTGGTGTCGGCGTTGGACGCGCGCTAGGACACATTGGATATGGCGATCGACTGATTCAAGCCTATGACACGCTCAACGAGGATCAATTCCGTGCGTGGCTCCCTGGCTGGCGCGCCGAGATGACGCTCGAGGTGCAGACAAACGCTAGCGGCTTCATGGCCACCCGTCATCCGTCCAAAAGCATCCCCGCGGACTTTCCCAACATCGAGACGCTCGCGAACTACGTTCGCCCAGCGCTGTTCGCTGATGGCGGCGGCGCCCCGAAGGACCGTGTCGCGATCGACGTCCCCGCGCTCGCCGGCTTTTGCGAGCAGAATTTCACCGAGTGGGGCCATCGCTCGAAGATCCTCTACCGCTTCCCGACCCTTGTCTATCAGGGTGTCGTCTTCACCGTTTTCCGCAAAGCCACACTCATCGCGGACAAGCGCGAGACGGACAGACGCATCGCCGCGGGCGTGCTCCCTGGGGACGCCAAAGTACGCGCCGGGTGGCAGCCCACCACGGAAGAGGCCGTAGGCACGCCCGCTGCGCTCGTTAACATGTGCGCCTCACCCCCAAAGGCGAAGAAGACGCCGCCGAAGGATGCGCAGACGCGCAGCATCGCAGGCGCGTTCGCGCGGCGCGGTACCCCCAAGCCCGAGCCGCCCGTGCAGGTCGACGAGGACGAGGCACAGCTGCTGCGGCATGCGGGCGAGCCCGTGCGCGACGAGCACCCGCTCGTGGTCGCGATCCACGGCACGCGCCAGCACGTCTCGACAGACAAGCTGCTGGAGTACCGCGTCGAGGTGTGCGTGAAGCAGCTCGCGACCATCACCGAGCTCGGGATCAAGGGCAAGCACAAAGAGCCAGCGGCGGGGGCGAGCGGGTCGCGGGGCACGGGCACGGGAAGAGGCAAGAACTGGCGACCGAACATGAACCCTGGACGTCGCAGCAAGCGGTACGAGGATACCGAATCCGAATCCGAGGAACCACGGCCTCTACCGCCGCCACCGCAATCGGATCCGGAGATCGACGACCCCCCACAAGACGACGAGGCCGCCGCGGCACCGGGCACGACGAAGAAGACGAAGGATCCGAGCGAGAACATCCGCATGTGGATTCCCGCGTCGATGGTGCGGCACGTCCACCCCGCGCTTGTCGCCGAGTACAAAGAGAAGCAGGCCGCGAAGCTCGTGAAGAAGGTGCCTAAGAAGCAGGAAACCGGAGCCGTTGGGCAACCTGCCCCTATAGCGGTGCCCCCTGCGGTTCCCGCTCTCGCTGCGGTCGGTCAAGACGCAGAACACCAACCGCCCCTCGCGCGCGCCCGGCCTACGAGGGGTAAAGGCAAGGCACCCGCGCGCCCCACCGCTCTCGAGAAAGAGATTCTCTGCGCGAATCTGCATGCGAGTTTCATGCCCCCTGCTGAGCCCGTCGACGTTTTTGCCCCGTCTTCACTGCCCTTCCGCAACTGTGGCTTCGTCTTCAACTGGCCAGAGACGGACGACCCGGACAAGCTCATCGTTGACACGAACGCACGTCACGACCTGCCGACGCAGGTGGACTACGCCGCCGTCGAGCGCGCGGGCGGTGGTGCGTACAGCGAGTACGATGAAATCTTGGCGTCCGCCGCGAAGCTGCGCGCTCGACGTGCACCTGCTGCCGCTTCTTCTTCTGTGGTCTACGTCGCCCCTGCTGCAGCTGTGGGGGTCTCTGCTGTTAGTGGACTTTCTTCCGCCCCCAGACTCTCCGCCACCGCCGGTACGGCTTCCTTGGCCCCCAGGGAGAGATTGCAAGGGATGCCAATGCAAACCGAACCTCTAGTGAACACTAGCACCCGCAAAGGGAAGGAACGCGCCGCGCCCAAACCCTTGAACATACCGCGGGCTGTCATTTCAGCCAGTGCCGGGCCCTCGCGTGGTGGGGGACTTCTCGCTCAGCTAGACGACTGGAGCATGTTCGGCGATTACCAGGCCGCGACCGGCGGCACGAAACGGAAGGCGCGCGCATCCGTCTCCAGCAGCCCTGCGAAGCGCAGCAAGATCGACGTCGACAAGGCACTGTACGCCACGCGCGACTCCTCTGAGGAGCACGGCCTGCCGTGGCAAAGCAGCGCTCCCTCCGCGCGATCCTCTTCCCCCGTATACGACCCGCGCTCGTCGACTGTGCCCCGCTCACAACCGTCCTCGTTTCCTGCGCCGACCCGGCCCCCTTCGCACTCGATCTCTGCGGCCCCACGCCGGAAGGTCACGCTCGATGCGGATGTTATCAGCATCTCCAGCGACTCCGATGGTGAAGCCAGTGACGATGACCTGGTGCACGAGTGGTGAATGGCGGCATCTTCCTGAGACTCGCCCACTCTCTTCGGTGCTACCAACAACTTGGGACGTCGGAATGGTCAACACCGAAGATCCACGGACAGCAGCGAGCGCCGGTGGTGCCTTCTTTGGCGAATGTGATGAGGCTCTCCGACACACATCTATGGGACACTCCCCGTGCGACTGCGAAGCCATGCCACCTCGCCGGCTCGTCCTCATTTGCAGAACGCACTTTCAGCGCCAGCTGCGGCGAACCGGTACCGTCGACCTCCGCCTCCACCTGCGCTCAAACACTCCTAGGTTTGTATTATCTCGGCGTATTTATTTCCAAGTTTTTATGGTTGATTGGGCATGGATGTAGAGTGTACTTAATCGTGTACTTGTTTATACTAGTACAACACTAATACAGTCTATTCGCACATCGGAATTCTTAGACTTGTGCCGGAAGGATGATTTCCGGGCTGTTACTTAAGATGGCGGCGCTGCCGGCGCTTGCAGACTTTGGACCGGTTGTTCCTGCACGCCCTGTCACACCTTGCAACATGCACCAAAAATCTCGAGAAGATACTTGGGGCTAGACTACAGGTGCACTAAGGCAATAGACCAAAATCAAATCAAACTGAATAGTGGGGAGCCTGGAAAATGTGCTTGTATCTAGTTTTACTTTAGCTGTGTTACACTTACTTCCAATGGAAGTAAGGCTATTATGGAGAAACCACTGCAGCTATCACCCCCAAACTATCTGCATCATGTAGAACATGTATGGGGATATCATAAAATTCAGAGATGCAAGGCAGTTATTCAGACAGTGGTGGTGCTACAAGCTTAACATTGACCTTGTATTCACTTTGTGTCTGCAAACTGAGCTCAATGTGCCAGATTATAGAGATAGTGCGAGAGGCGCTGCATCCAGCCCATGTCCACGGAATTGACCGCAAGCTTGTGAATGTCAAGGGCGTGGGCGATGGCGTGCTTCTTGTTGGTGAACATAAGGGAGCACCCCTCCTGCGGGCATGCAGCGCCCCACTTGCGCTCAAGGCCCTGGTACTCCACATCTCCAGGCGTGACGGTAGGCCATCCAGACTGAATTGACCCTTCGTCCACCAGCGCCTGCAGCACATTCCTATCAACCCTGAGCTTGGCGGGCTTACGGTGGTGTGAGATGGCGGCAGCAGGTGGCTTGTGGTGGTGCGAGACAGCGGCAGTGGGGGTGACAACAGATTTGCAGCCCACACAGACCAGGGCTTCGAGCCGCCTATTGATCTGGAAGCCCCAGGTGGCGAGGGTGCCCTCTGGGACATCATAGAGCTAGATATAATGATAAGCCAGGCATAGAGCACATGATATATTGATACTTACCTCCGACGCCTCATTCTCAGGCTCTGGAGATGGAGGGGGGTCTACAGACATCTCAGATGCATTGGAGCGCCCCCCTGGACTACGCACAACATCCATGGGGGAGGCAGGGTTTGTGGGGGTGGCAGGTCTTGAAGGCTATAGAATATTTGAGTGCTGTGGATATTTACAGGATTATATGACTCATAAC